GATCGACAGGTGGATCAGCTGGGCTGGACATCCCAAAGTCATAACTACTGACAGAGGGACGCATTTCAGAGGAGAATTTTCAGAGTATCTGGCACAGCATGGTATAATCCATAAGAATGCCCCTCTCGAGAGCCCGCAGACCATCGGAAAGGTCGAGCGCCATGGTGGTCTTGCCAAGGCCATCATTAGGAAGGTCGCGCAGGAGGCTCAGCCCTCGAATATCGAGGAGATGGAGGCGGTCGTTGCCGAGAGTGTTACTACTAAGAACGAGCTTAGTAGACACCAAGGGTTTAGCCCAGCACAACATGTGTTGGGAAAGCAGCCTCGAACACCAGGTTCCGTGCTAGATGAATCCGAAAGCCTTGGTACATTGTTCTTCGGCACAGAGCACGGCAGGAAGCCAAGAAGGCCTTTGTCCATTTAGAGACTTCTCGCAAAGTGGCCAAAGCGTTACAGCGTAATGCAGCCCCTCTAGACACCGACTATAAGGTTGGTGATTTAGTTATCTACCGCCGAGACAACGTCCCTGGCAGCCCAGGTGTCGTATGGTCCACGGTTAGCCGCGTCATAGGACGCGAGGCAGAGAATGCGTACTGGGTATTACACGAGAATATCCCTGTACTAGTGAACGCTAGGAAGATGCGCCCAGCTGATGAAGTCGAAGTTGCAGCGCATCGCGTTTTGGCAGGTGAACCAGTGCTTCCGGAAGCCATCGTACATGGGCCGGAACAAAGGTTCCAGGATGAACGCGTAGCGGACCCGGTCACAGCACCGGCGACGCCACGTCCAGTGGCCGTAGCTGCCCCGCTTACACCGGCGGTCGCGTCTGATGTGCCTATGCCAGCACCATCGACGCCAGCAATGATGCCCGGCACACCGATGCCAGCGCCATCTACTCCCGCAAGGTTTCGCGCCAAAGATAAGACGGGCGAAACCGCTCGGTCGCGATCACCAGTAGGAGGCCGTGATGACGCACTAGTTGCGGAAGAGCTTGATCAAGTAGAGATCATGGCAAGAGGCCTGATAGATGCTCAGGGTTTCTCCCCAGATGAGTGTCTGGCCCTCCTTCGCGCTTTTGACCGCGACCGACGCGAGGCGTACACGCGCCCGCTCCTAGATGATGGAGATCCCGGGAGCATAGCCCTCGCGGTAGGAGTATATCGACACGGTGGTCTTGTTGGTGTCTCTGGACCGACGCGCGAGAGGCCGTCGTTCGCTATGTACCTCAACCACTACCTCTTGCATCACAGTATGCAAGCCGGACACCACCTCCCACAGTGGAGTAGCGTTCAGCTTACCAACAGAGGCGCAGAGGCCCATAGAGACCTAACGAACACTCCTGGCTCGTTTAACTACACTATAGGTGTGGGCGAGTATCGTGGAGGCGGTCTATGGGTGGAAGAAGCCACGGGTACAACTCCCGTGCGTGTTCAGAACGCGACAATGCATGGCACCGTCCATGATACTAAGAACAAGGTTCTTAAGTTTCGCCCAAAGGACGTGCACATGGTCGCGCCGTTCGTAGGAGAACGATACAGCATCTCCGCATACACGGTGAGTGATCTCGGCAAGTTGTCTAAAGATGACATACAGCTTTTGTCGGATCTAGGCTACCCCATATACAGGGATACGCCTAATACCTTTGGCAGGAAGAGCGATGGGATATATACCATGGGTCATTCTGACCTCCCCATCGAGTTGTTCCTAGAACGCATTCACGAATACGGGATCAAAGAAATCGTTGACTGCAGGAGTCACCCGTATAGCGTTCGGCATCCACAATACAATTGTGATGAGCTTTCTGCCACATGCTTTGCAAAAGGAGTTGTGTACAGTCACGCCCCCGAGTTAGGCAATAGGAACCGGGGCGGGATTGAGGCCAACCTGCAGACAGACCAGGGGCTCTGTACGATCGCTAGGATAGTTAGCGAGTCTCACGACGATTTTCACCGGACACTTCTCTTGTGTTCGGAGGCCAGTTGGCGGCGATGCCATCGGCGAAATATCGCCCAGCACCTATGGCTCGAGCACTCGAAACTCGCGGAGCACATACGTGCTAACGGACTGCCAGAGGCCCATCCGTGTCACTATGCCCCTGAGGAGGACGACGGACTGGCAGCAGCATCGCACACAGCTGCGATTGGCACGACAGCGCCAGCAGTTGAGCTCTCGGATGGTCGCGAGGCGGAATCCAAGGCCTTTGCTCTCACCCCTGATGGGGAAGATGCCTTCGGCTCTAACGTCGATGTTGGCTATATGGCTTCACTCTTGGACCATCACAAGGCTCCTGTGGAGGTGCAGTTGGGCCTGGATGCTGCGATGAAGACTGAGTGGCAGAAGTACACCGAGTTCAATGCGGTGGTCCCTTGCACAGACAAGGAGTTTAAGGAGCTTACAAAAGCTGGCCACGTGTGTATCCCCACCAAATGGGTTCTTACCGATAAGAACGAGCACCTAAAGGGGACAGCAGCATACACTCCCAAGTGGAAAGCACGCTTGGTCGCATGTGGAAACTTCGAGCATATCTCGAATGAGGAGGATATTAGGGCAGATAGCCCCACGGCCGAGCCGGAAGGTATAGCCCTTCTGTGTTCATGGGCGGTTTCGTTGGCCCTGCGGCTCAAAGCAGCCGATATCACGAACGCATACTTCCAAGGGAAACCCCTTGAGCGCCTCCTCATCCTTCGGGTTCCCAAACACCCTAAGGGTGTGCCCGATGCAGAAATTCAGAAAGCCGGGTATATGATTGCCCGAGTACCCGTGTACGGCACCACCGACGCGGGTCGGAACCTTTACCTCCGTATAAAGGAGAGTTGTAGAGAATTTGGCTTAAATGCCTCGCAAATTCTGTCAGCCCTGTACTATATTACAGGAGAGGGTGGTCGTTTGTGTGCTTGCTTGTGCACCCACGTGGATGATTTCCTGTGGGCTGCTACAGCCGAAGGCGAGCCAGCTATCCAGAATCTGCTGGATAAGTTTAAGATCGGTCGCATAGAGACTGAGAAGTTCCGCTTCTGCGGACGCGAGTATGTGCAAAGCGCCGATGGGACCATCAGTATAAACTGTAGGGACAACACGCGTGCAATTCGCCCGATCGATATACATAAATCGGAAAAGGGCTCGACTCCAGTGTCCAGTCTCGAATGGCCAGCGCACAGCGCTGAGATCTGTCATAGGATCGCTGGCCTGGGTGGCTCGCGCCACGAGACCTGATCTTGCCTATAGGGTGAACGCCCTGCAGCAGCGTGTTACGACAGCCACGGTGGATACGCTCCGTGAAGCAAACCGCGTAGTAGCACTGGCGTTAGGAGATGCGGATAGGCCGATCACGTACAGCGCTAAGTTACCCTGGGGCACAGGGGATCTGGCAGTTGTTACGTTTTGCGACGCTTCTTTCGCTGGAGAGGCGAACCATAAGTCGCAGAGAGGCCGTTTCCACTATCTCACTTCCGCACAGTCGGCGGTGGACAAGAATGCGCCGACGCATGAGATGCACCTCATTTCGTTTTCCTCATCCACCATGAAACGGGTTTGTCGAGCCACACTACAGTGTGAGGCTTACTCGTTGCAACATGCCATAGAGCATGGAGATCGCATTCGAGCAGCTGTACTCGAAGTACTTGGCAAACTGCCCCGGTCACAGAACTGGGAAGAAGTCGCTAAGAGATCGATGTTCCACCTGCAGTATACGGACTGCAGGTCCCTTTCGGATCACTTGACAGCGTCGATTCCAAAGTCATGCGAGGATAAACGCCTTGCCATTGAGATGTCCGGGCTCCGCCAAGGGCTCTGGGAGGAGGACGAGCTAACGCACGTCCTGTACCATCCCTGTGGTGACGAGTTGAGATGGATACCGACGCATTTACAACTTGCGGATTGTCTCACTAAGAGTATGAAACCGCTTTTGATCAATCACAGCATTGATCGCAATCTCGTACAGGTACTCGATGTGCCCGCGCAAGCCGCACAGAATACCGAGAGTACCGAAAGCACTCCGCTTCACGATTGAAGAACTCAGCCTTGAGCCTTGAGTCGCCGTACTCGGCTCGGTTGACTGTGCAAGCTCCCGGTATAATCCGTGAAGTAGGGTTGGTCCAAAGTGACCAAAATTCGAGCATGATTCGGACGTCACACTACAGATAAGACGGGTGTGAAATTTCCCTGTCTTGAAGGGCCGTGTTGACTTGTCCTCATGCGAGCGTAGTTTTTCATGTTTAGTTCTGGACGCACCCTGTATGACAGACGTCTTGGGCTCAGACCAAAAAGTGCGCTCGTTGTGTGGTTGGACACTCACTAATCCAGTTCCTGCTTCAAAATTCTAGTCTTAGTTGAGCAATCCAGATTCAGGCCTCGCGAGTTCGCCTTTCCGCTGCACTCAGGTGCTAGAGAACGTTCAAGTTTCTTTCGTGCAAGACAATCGCACACATGGGCCATGGAGGGAGCATGACGAATCTTGGACGGGCATTGGCCCCAGTTATCAAATGAACGCTGGTTTGGCATTTCTAATTTCATCTTACGCTTCCTTACATGGGACTTCCTAATATACCACGCGCCCGATTTTCGGAACAGTGATTCAGGCCAAGTTTCGTTTCAAATATCAGAGATCCGAGTTTGCTTCAGAGTTTGCTTGGGCACACCTCTAACACCCAAATATGCGTTGAACAAGAGTCCTGCGACGTTGGGTTTTGCTGTGACGCCCTGCTTCTAAGTATCTGTAATCAGCGCGAAAGAGGAGATAGAGTGATTCGGCTGATGGTTGCCCTAAGACATGAGCGGTGGCGCAGCTTGAAGCTAGAGATGCCTTTGATGTCATCAGCGAAGGGGTCGGCGGTCGGCAGGTGTAGAAAGCTGTGTGGTTGAGAAGGTTCAGAAAAAGTGTGCCGGAACATAAAGACACGTCGCCGAAGCATTCAAGCCGTTTTGAGCAGCAAATGCGGAAGTTGTAGGTTCGCTCTGTTACTGTCTGTGTCCATTTGGCATGAGATTCAACTTCGCGCCAGGTCGTGCCTTCTGTTGCAACATGGCGCGGAGTGACCGAGTTCTGCATGGTTTGGACAAAAGTTTGGCCCGCGCCATTCATGTCATGTGGATCTCGATGCGAGTTCTGTCTTGGCATATGTGCACGGCGGAACGCAACAGAGCGGAAGCGATGCTGTTGAGTTTCTGTGCATTTATGGAAAGGTTGGGAATTCACCTGGGTTGTGTGTGGGGAAGAAGGCCTCCCTGGGCTACTGTACTTGTTGCAACATCCTCAGCCTCGCTCTCATGGCATTGTGCCATGCTCAGCGCTGCGGTGCGACCAGCATGGAAATGAGCCCATGGTGAGTTGGGACAGGAGGCTTGAGGCTTGGAGCGCACAAGAAACAACAACCCGGGCCTTGAGAAGACTACGATTTGTGGGGCGAATGCCGGGTTCAGTTCCCGGTTGCTTTGGTCAGTTCGGCATCGGAGTTTGAGCCAGGAAGTGCAGCTCAGTGCCATGCTCGCGCAGGCCGTGTCGGCTCAATCAATGGAACAGTGAAGAAGCTTCTTGCGTTTTCGATGAAGGTTGCATGGTCTTTGCGCGGACTGGCAAGATTCTCTCAGTCGGTTGCTATGGAAATACCGAAGTGGGACTGCGGAGTGACGTGGTGTTGCATTTGAGTCTCGAACTTTGCGGCTGATTTTTAAGCTTCCATTGTGATGGCACCATCTTGGCTCGCTTCGAGTCAGGTCCCGAGATGAATCAGCAGTTGGTTTATGGGGACAGTGACAGGGTGGTGCTTCTGCAGAATTGACTTTAACACAGAAGAAGCAGACTCACGCATTTTATATGTTTTGGCACAGCAGGGGCTGAGTTTCTCGAGCACTTGGACCCTTAAACCGCAGTAACCGCGACTGCGGCAACATGGGACAGAGTCTTAGCGCGCTTGATGCCTCTTGCAGCGCATGTGGTTTCGGCTGAGGTTTGGAATGGCTTCGATCTGAAGGGTCTTCGTTTGGCTTGGGGCTTGGAGTGCGGTGTTTGATGAAAGCCTTGGATGTTAAGTTTCTGAAGCCAACGCAGTCATCTAAGCACTTGGGAAGCCCGAAGCTCAGTGAGATGGCGCGGCTCCAACGGAAGTTTGGTTGCCTTTTTTGACTGACAGGAAACGCCGCGACTTCCTCTGGGGTTGTGTATAAGGCCAGGACCCCAGCTGCCGTGTCTCCGGCGGCGAGACCCGGAGAATCCTTCGTCGTACAAGTTGGAAGTTTACCTATCCTGGAGGTGATTCCAAGCTGCCACTTTCTGAGAGGGCGAAGCTGTCGGCTTTCAAGATGTTTCAAGCATAGGGTCTACTTTTAAGTGACAACCTACGTAACTCACGCGACTAGAGGTTTGCGTTTCGTTGGAGTCGCGCCCTTCTCACCCTGGAGCTGGGGTCCAAGAAGACTGTCAGCATGACCCTGAGCCCCACTTTGGCCCGCAGCAAAAGATAGACTGAAGAATCGCGGCTTGATCTATCGCGTCTCCTCGATTTGAGCAGAAATGGCGAAGCATGTCCCTTGCTGCGGTACGTCAACTTGTTGGCGCAAGTGGAACCATCCATGCTACCCTTCTCCTGCGGCTCAAGAGACCTGCGTTTTGTACAGCCTGTGAACACGCGTTCAATCCGAGCGGGAAGCCAGCATTTGGAGCTTTTTGAGGGTTGCATAGCGGACTCCACAGCCGACATACCCGTTGAACCCGTTGAAGCCCGGATTGCACGTGCGCTGCGACGCCTGCAGGCCACCCTTTAAGGGAAGTGCCAGGTCGGGTCCGCGAGCAGATCGGGTGAAACCCCGTGCTGCTTTTTAAAGTGCAGGTCACCGGCTGTAAAAAACCGGAGGTCGGTCCGCTTTGGCCCCTTTGGTCTGCCAGAAAGGAAGCACTGAGACAGAGGGTTTAGGGCTTTAGGGTTTTAAGAAGAGAGAAGAAGAGAGAAGGCAAAGAGCAAAGGGGCAAAGGAATCCTCGACAACGAAAAGCAGCGGAAGTGGGGAGCCGGTAGAGAGCGAGAGTCCGGCCCGGAAGCGGCGTTTTGTTGCCATGTCGCTGGCGGGCTGCTGCACGGTGACGGTGCCCTCGGTGCCCTGTGTTCCCTGCGCTCCCTGCGGGCCGGCAGATGAGACCTCCGCAGCGGCCGAGCTCATGAGCCGCTGTCAGCAGATGCACGAGGCGAGGCATCTCTCTCTGTCTCTCTGTCTCTCTCTCTCTTTCTCTCTCTTCCTGAGAGGACCTGGGGAAGCTGGTGCGGGAAGAGCAGGACCTGCGCCTTGCCTGAGCGCCGGTGCGAGTCCGGGTGCGTCCACGTCGGCCCTTTGCAATGGGTTTTCTATCTGAGCTGAGAGCTGAGGTTGTTCAGCCTGTCCCTCCACGTCGAGCGGCTCAACTTCGGACCGGAGACGCGCCCGCGGCCCTCGGCGGCTTGGCCCTTTTAAAGGGATTGAGGCAAACAGCGCGGGACGGGACCGGCTCCGACGTTTTCGGGTCCGACGCAGGCGCTGAAGACGCCACCGGACGGCGCATCGAAGGACCGGCCGGCGGGCGGAGAGAGGGAGGTCCTGGCGTTTCGTGTTGCGACGGCCAGGAGAGCAACCGGCACAGCGAGAATGACGCAGGCAGGCACCGAGCACGATCTCCCGGAACCCGAAAGTAGCCGTGGGGGAACGGGCCCTGGGGTGAAATCTGAGCAACATCAAATGACATGAGAGATTTTTGGCAATAAATTTTGAATGAACAATGTTTGAACAACAGATTGTGAAAAAGACAGTGATCTTTTCACATGTTCATTTTGGTTTCAAGGCATCTTTTGTTCGACCTTTCAATGTTATCAAAAGTGACAATGAACCCACAATGAACTGTCCAACAAATTCCAAAGTCAAAAATTTGAATTTTGATGGAAAAAACAGATTTGACATGAAGTTCAAGGTTTGAAAAGAGACGGGTGCATTTTCTTGCTCGAGAGAAAACCTGTGATCAAAAGTTTCAATCACTCCCTAAAAACAGAAAAATGTTCGAGAGAGCTCCCAATCCAAGCTCGCTTGCCGCCCCGCCGGCTGCCTGACGGCGCCAGGAGATCGGCGTGAGGTTCGCTTCGGGCGCCACAGCTACGGGTCCAGGGCCGAGCCTCCCTCCCCCTCCCTCTCCCTCTCTCTCTTTTTGGCCTGTCTCTCCGCCGTTGTCATATTCCTGTTCCTGTGTCTCTGTAGCAATGTGCGCCCATGCTTTCTGAGGCCGCAGGCCTTCGAGCCACCGCCGCCTCTGATGATGGCTCTCCCAATGAAGCCGGAGACCACGGTGGAGACTCTGCGACCCCTCCAACCGGGACAGACCTCCAGCCCCTACAGGCAGAGGAGGGTTTTTGCTTTTGCCTGCTGCCTGCTGCCTGCTGCTGCCAGTTGTCGTCGCTGCAGGGGCCGCAAGTACCGCGGCGACTCCTCCAAGGGAACTGCGACGAGCCGGCTGCCCGAAGCTGTGAACAACACCTATTCGCCCAGCGCCCAGAGACATCAGACACGAGAGTTCGAGCATCTGCGGTTCTCCTCAGGATCAACGGCATCACGTCGCAGCCGATCCAGGTCTTCCGCAACTCCTTCGTGGAGTTCATCAGGCCCGGGGGGCGCTTTGCTACCTCCCGTTTGGGGAGAGGCGTCGCGGCGCTGTGCGTCAGGTCGAACTACTCCTCGGTGGAACGGCAGCAGACGCCCTGCAGGCGCCTGATTGCCAGAACCCTCAGCTAAACCGAGCCTCGCACGGCCTTGCGAGCCGTGGTGCGCTTTCTGGGGCAGCCTCCGACCGGCAGCCCAACTGTCTAAGGCCTCCTTCGTGATGTTCTGTGCCTGGCTGCTGGACCGGAAGGAGCCCGAACGCAACGGGCGCCTTGGGCAGGGCAGAGCGGCAGGTTGGCGAAGACCCGTCGTAAGCTTCTTTCTGTAGGCACCCTGTGTTCTTACGGCATTAGCAAAGAAGGGGTGTTTCGAGGCAATGTGCTAAAACACGCGGAGAAACACGCACATGACGACGGGAATAAAGTTTTAGAGTCTTCGAAACCCTGCATCTTCTTTTCGCTGCACTACAATTACACTGTTTATTCACATGTTAAGTGGCTAGTTAAGTGCATTTTCTAGAGCCGGTTCTGGAAAACGCTGATGCAGCTGCAGCAGCAAGTCTACAGCGGGCCAAGCCGGAACGACAGACCGCGAACCCTAAAGCCCTACACCACACCCCCGAAACCCTGCGTCGTAGACCCTGGAAGCACCAAATCCGAAAGCCCCGAAAGCCCAAAGCGCCTCTTCACCGTTTGAGGTGCCTCGCCAGAGCCGTCCGGAGCCCCTACTTCGCCCTCCTGTCCACCGTGGTGATCTTGGCCAACGCCGTCCGGGGACCCGAATCGTTTGGGCCGCGAGAGTTGTTGTTTCTTTCATTGGGGTTCCTAGTACCCCGGTGGTTACCGTCTGTCTTTCCGGTTCCTTCTTCTGCCCACAGAGGTCGTCATCTTGTATGCCACGGACTACGAGATGCAGAATCTCAACCAACCCACCAACGCCCAGATCCGGCCCGGGCCTTGGGAGGAGCCCGGTCTGTTGGCGCTGGCTTTGGCTTCCTCCGCAAAAGAATAGGGCATGTACCGATTTTGGAGGGCCCTACTGTTTAGGGTATTATGTTAGCCACGTATTTTCTATTTCCCTGGTTCTTTGCAGCATGCGCTGGCGGCAGGCACCACAACATCAGCATCACTCGTATCACGAAGCGTGTCACGAGCCATTTCAGAGAGAGAGAGAAAGGTCTTGAGGCCGACACTGTGGAATGTTTTGGGACACTGAGGCCCTAGAACTCAAAAGCCTGGCAACCCAAACCGCAAGTCCCGTCAAAGCCGCAACACCAGAAGGCGCAAGTCTAAACCCCAAATCCTGCAGGCCCTGAACCCAGAAACCCTAAGCCCAAGACCATTGAGCCCTAAGCCCAGGACCCCCAAGCCCAAGACGCCTGAATCCTAAACCTCTAACCCCTATAAAGCCTAAACTTTCCTGAACCTTAAATCTTACACCTTCTAAGGCCTAAACTTTCCTAAACCCTGAGCCCCCCTAGACTTTCCCAAAGCCCTATAAGCCCTGGAGTCTCAAACCCCGAAGCTCCCAGGTCCATCGACCTTTGCCTCGCGGGCTTCTACGTGCCTTGGAGAGATCCGCTTTGGGTTTTTGTTTTAAGGGGGTTCATGAGGCTGAAGGGTTTAGGAAAGTTTAGGGTTTCAGGGTTTTTAGGGTTTAGCTGTCTAGGGTTTGCGGCAAGGCTGAAGGGTTTAGGGTTTCAGGGCTACGGAGTTTAAGGTTTAGGGTTTGGGGTTTATGGGTTTAAGACTTACGAGTTTGTGGTTTCAGGGGTTTGAGGTTTAGGGCTCAAAGATTTTTTTTCGCAAGCGCCGGGTCCTGTGGGGTTGAAGGGAACAAGGTGTTTCTCGGGCTTGTCTGCAATTCTGGGAAATTCTCCTGTCTGCTCTCTTGCCTGAGGTTGTAGAAGTGCTTTTGAAGCTCATCGTCCACAAATTATTCTTCTTCTGGAACAGTGAATGGCCCGGGCCCCGGGGGGGGGGCTTTTTGTCCCTTCGTCCGAGCAGCTCGGCGGTTCCGAGGAGATGGAACCTTTTTGACTTCTCCCTGGTGCTGTCGGGATCCTGGAGATGGGTAGCAGGGTAGCGGGGGTAGCGGGTGTAGCGGGGGCAGCGGGCCCGGGCCTCTCCGGACCCCTCTGAGGTTTGCGATCGTGGAGAACGTTTTGGCCTACGATTGGATGCATGGCACGCAGGAGCGCTCCCCCCTCTTTACCCGCCGACTTGGATGACGATGGACTGCGGTGATTGTGATCATGGTGGTGAAGGTGATGCTGTTGGTGGTGCTTCTAGTAGGCATGCTGATGTTGACGACGGTGGAGTGGATAGTGGCTAAGATGCGGCCGTTGCTGGTGAAGATGATGTCCATGATGAGAGGCTATGATGGTAATAATCGTGATGAATGTTCATGAAGGTCACATTATGTTGGTTGTGCTGTTAGTGACGGTGCCAGCTCGGCAGCGGGCCAGGTGCTTTCTCTTCTTGTCTTGCTGCTTCTTGTTCTTGTTGATTTCGAACCGGCTGCCACTCATGTCACTGTCGCGGTCACTGTCTCTGTTGTTCTCGTCTAGGTCATCGTCGGTGTCGTCGCACTGCTCCAGCTTCGTTGCCGTCGCTTCGCAGGACACTGGCGTCAACTTGAACTTCCTGAGGCGGGCAGCCCGACCGCCACAGTCAAGCGCAGTAGCCAGCGAAGGGAGACGGACAAGCGACTCTTGTGCTTCTGACATCTTCTGACCGGGTAGTGAACGAGATTGACTGTTGTTCATATGCCGATGACGAGGTTGATGATGCGAATGAAGAGGATGGTGACGAGGTGTGTGTAGCACACTGCGTGTTGCAGGCTCTTCCGACTCTGCAAGATTGTGAAGATCCTGCGTATCTTCCGTACGCTGAAGTTCTTCAGCGAGCTGCGTCTCATGCTGGACTGCAGCCTGGCAGCAAAGAGGGGGCTTGGGAGCCACAGCACTCTCTGTGTCCTTTCTTCGGCCTTTCGAAGTGTCCATAAGATCTCTCCAAGGCATGATCGGCTCGCTGCTGAACGCAGGGGGCTGAAGGAAGCGCACGCTCCTGAGTTTGGTCGCCTCGCCCGTGGAAGCTCCAAGGTGATTTGGTGCATTGTCATGCTGGCCGGGGACTGAATCACAGATCGCAGGGGTCAGATGAGACGAGACCTTGGCCCTCAGGCTTCAGATCTTCTGATTTCTCGGTTTCTCGGTTTTCGACAGAATCGGAGGTCTTTGTGATGTACGTCTTTGCACTCTTCGTGCAGCAGCTCCTTGCCTCGCACCTCATCGAGGATGGGGGCCGCGACAGCCGCCTGGCGCGAATAGGGTGTCCCTCCAGAAAGAGCAACATCAGACCCAACACCAACGTCCCACTCAGAGCACCCAGACTCGCTGTTTTGAATGGCTGATGTACATGAATTCGACCCACACTCCAGGACCGTGCTAAGATTAATTATATAGACCCATAGCCATAGGCATCCTCGACTATGTCCCGCCCCTTGCCTGTCTGCTGCGCATCGCCGTAATCCATGCATGCCTTCTGCCGTCCAAAGCAGTGTCAGGCGAAGAGGACGTCAGAGAGATCCAAAGATTCTTCGGCTCTGCGCTGGCCTGAGACAGAGCTCACATGCTCACATCGGCATGTCTCGGCTTCTCGGCATGTCGGATCCGCCCTGACCGCACTTTTGGCAGGTGGGCATGACCTTGCTGACGCTCTTCCAAGCGTGCACGTCTGGTGTGGACTGGAAGGAGCCTTCAGAGTGCTGCTGCAACTACCAGTGCGTTTCGAGCAACAGCAACGGCAACCAGCGACAACAACGACCACAGCAGCTGCAACAGCCATCACAACCACAACACCCGAAACAGCCACAACAACCAAAAGTTCGAGTGCTAGTACTACCGCCGGAAGGCGGCTTTGAGAGACCGGGCGCCAGGATCCATTCGACGTGCTCAGAATCTCCGGGCCCGGTGCCCCAGTGGGTTGTGGGCTCATGGGGTCAGGCGAACCCTGAAGCTGCGATCGTTTTGATTCTTGCGCGTCGCTCCCAACGCACTGCGGACGTTCTGATCCTACGCATCTTGCGAGTATGTCGGAGCCGCAGTCCCAGTCTGAAAGACTTGAGCTCCGAGCCATCTTGGACCCAAAGCTGCCTATCCCGAAGCTGTGCCGAGAGAGCTGCCGACGCTCCCACACTGCCCTAAAGTTAAAGGCAGGGAAGGCTCGCTCGCCCCTTCTTAGACTCAGTTTCTTGACCGGATGAAGTGGAAGAGCCGTAGACCGGGTGGTGACGCTCTCTACGGCCCGTTTTCAAGCCCTCCCCTAAGCAGGGATGTGCTGCCGGCAGCCTTCCTGTTCTACGTGGCCTTTGTCTTTATCTCCGTCTGGCATCTCGGGCAGCACATTAATGATGATAATATGGAGGGGTCGCTGCGATGCCCATGGCAGTCTACGGTGTGTGTTTTCGATGGTGCGGACTGTTGCAGTTGCTGCGACAACGACAATGCTTGGGTGTGCCAAGGTTTCGCGTCAGATTTTTCCACTTGTTATGGCCAGACCACCCATCGTGCTGCAAGTGTTGGTGCAGCGGCATGTAGCGGCATGTAGCGGTAGCCGGTAGCGTTACAGCCTTCATAGCGGTCGACATTGCAGCGACAGGAACATCATCACAAGTACCTTTGTGGAGAAGGCGGGAGCTTCGGCCAAGTTCCTTTTGGGGACTCTGGTAGCGAGCTCGCCCCCGAAAAGTACCAAATCGGTTGACCCTCCAAAAGGCGGGTTCTGGTTTGGCTCCTCGGGTTCATGAGGCCTAACCAGAAAACCTTAAGACCCAAACCCTTAACAGCCTCAACGTAAAAAGAGTTTTTAAGCACGCGGATTTCCACTCTTGGAGTCCCTCCGCCAGGCGCTGAAGCTGGCGCAGCCGGACATCGACCTCTTGGTCATGGAGCAGCAACTCCAGGACTACGAAGACACGCAGATGCTGGTAAGGGGCCTGGAAAGAGGGTTTTTATTTGCGGCCTTTAGGGCCATTAGGGTTTAGGGTCAGGAACGGGATCGATGTGCTGTTAGCCGCGGAGCATGTGGCGGAGCAGTGTGTTCTAGTGCATGCCCCGGGGAGATGTGCACATATAATTAGACGTCGACAACAGGATTGTTCAAAGAGTCGAGAATGAAGAAGGTATTTTGATGCCTAAGCCCTGAGCTTCACGGTCTGCTACAGCTTATATAACACATGCGTCGGATCACTTAGCAACAATGCACCCCCTGACAGTCTACTTCTTTATGTGCCCGAAACCCAAGTCTAATCATTAGACGGATATGCCCGAAACCCAGGTCTAATGATTAGGTCTTAGGTCCCTCTTTTGCGCCCTGGCGCTTGTTGTTGGGTCGAGGCAGAGCTCTTCTCGGACATGCTGCAGACGGACGAGGACGGCGTGCCTCGCGTTGGGCCGGGTACCTACATGCTGACGAGGACTCCACCTAGAAATATGAAGACTCTGCGGATGATGCTTACTACTACCAGTGCTTCAACTGCTGCTACAGTAGCTCGGACCGCTTCTCCCATAGCTATTCAGATGTGGAGCTGCGTCCGTGACATCGTGTCGGTGGCTGCTTGCTAGTTCTGCTGCTTGTCATCAACATCGACGGCGTTATGTCTACTTGTACCATGACTGTCATCGTCGCCGTCATCAGCACCCTAACACCGTCATCATCATCATCATCAGCAGCAGCAGCAGCAGCACCAGCACCAGCACCACTGCGCCCTTCAGCATTTCCGCTTTTTTGCCGTGCTTCGTCTGAGGCTGGAGGAGTTCCGGCACCTTGTGGAGAACAGCGACTTCCGCTCCTACCTGCAGACCAGGCCTGGACTCCACTCGGGCGCTTTTTTCCGATGGCGAGTCGTGCAGAGCGAGCCTCCCTGCTCCAGGGGGATCGACATTAAGAATGCGGAGACCTTCTTCAAGATGCTGGTGGAGCTGTGACTGGCCGGCACTGAGGGGTTCCGGCCCGAATACCCTGTAAATCCCCAACGGGCTCAAGCTGCGAAACCCTGAAAGCAGCTTCCGTCGAAGCCTCGAGGCACGGAGAGCCAACCATCGACGCCATCACGTTTGCAAATGCTTGTGTGCGAATGAAAGGTCGGCTGGGTCGAGGGTTTAGCGTCTTCAGCGGTCTCCATCAGAAGTCTTTCAGTCATCGCGACATTGCGGAGTCTTCAGGCCTATGTTCCCGAACCGGGCACACTTCCCAAAGGCATCTTGCAGAGACGGTATGTGGGCAGGTGCGGCGACAAGCATCGACCTGCAGACTGTCCGGGGGCCCGGATCCAGGTCTTTTTTGCCGAGCTTGGGGCGTCGTGACTCCCGTCTCGCTCATCCTGCAAATTGCAGCGGTTGGCAGCCGTTTTTGCACTCCTTGCAAGTTGCTGCTGGCACTCCTTTCTTCGTCGCCACGACGTCCCGCAGGTAATGTATACGACGCACCTCATGAACAAGGACCAGCGACGCGCCTTCCAGTTTATGCCGCTTGGAAGTGACAGGATGCGACGTGCTTTGCAGTGTTTGTGCTGTCAGCGAAGCTTCTGCTGTTCTTGTTGATGGGTTGTTGCTACTGCCATTCCTGCTGCTGTTGAAGGCGTTGTTTCGTTGCAGTATTCGATTGTCTTCTTGGTTTTTGGTTCAAGCCTGCTACGGATTACAACTGCTGCGCTTCTACAGCTGCTTCTACTGGGACTGCTGCTGCCACTACTGCTCTTCCTCCTAATACTGCTGCCACTGCTGTCGCGGCTGCTACTGCTACAGCTGCTACAGTACTAGTGCTCTTCTTCCTACTAACATGACAGCTACAACTGCAACTCGTGCTCCTGCTCCTGCTGCTCCTGCCCTGCTGCTCCTGCTCCTCCTGCTACTGCTACTGCTACTGCTACTCCTACTGCTACTGCGCCTACGCTACTCCTGCTCCCACTCCCACTCCCCCTCCCACTCCCACTCCTCCTACTCCTACTCCTCCTCCTCCTCCTCCTCCTGCTCCTCCTCCTAATCCTACTCCTGCTCTTGCCACCACTACCACCAGGATGACCGTTCTTTTTGAGCCTGTCAGGTACAGTCGGTTGAAATCCATCGAGTCCATGCTCCGAGCATCCGGGATGCACTCTTTGGGAGCACTCGTCTTTCGGAATTTTGAGCTTTTTGTCTCCGCATCTCGAAACTGATGCCCTGGACCCTTTAAAGTCCACAAGCCCTGCGCCGGACGCCCTCATGCGTCACAGTTCGGGCGTGTGCGACGCATCCTCCGAGGAGAGGGGTGAGGAATTCGACTGGGACGCGTCCTCCTTCCAGCCAGGGGCACAGGAATTGACAGGGCCGCTGCTTTTTGTTTGGGTTTTGTCTTGAAGGTTACGGGTTGGAACGAGTTTCGTTCGGGAGCCTGGCTTGCAGAAGGCACCGGATGCTGTATCACAGAGGCAGCAAGCATCCTAAGTCCAAGTCCAGCTGCTTGCCTTTCCCCCTGGCGCTCCCCCTCTGCTCCCTCCCCATGCGAAGAAGCCCGAGGTCGCCGAAGAGTCAGCCGAACCTGAGCCGGGAGTGGTCGCGCTCCAGTCCCTTGTCGCGCCCTCGGTGGAGAGTTCTTTTCTGGGCCCTCATTCCCTCATTCTTCATCCTTCGGTTCCGACTTCCCCCCTGGGCTCTGGGCCCTCATTCTTCACATCCTCGCCATCATGACATTGTTGGAGCTGTGATCTCTCGTGCGGCCGGTGCCATATCCGAGCTTGTTTTGACGATGAGAGCTCTTCTGGTTGATCCTTCTGGCATTGTCGAAAGCCTCCCTCCACTGTAGCCATGAGGCTCACAAGCAGACGCCACTACGTTGTTTCGCGATTCCTGTCCGTTTGACGCAATGCGCAGGCTCTGCAGCATTCTGTCGGTGTGGCTCGTTGGGAGCATGCGCCAAGAAAGTCTGCACTTCGTCCGATCTAGTGCGCCCCTGTAGCTGCCTTTGGAAGAGCCCAGGCTGTGCGGGGCCCCGGGGCCCCGGCCGGTTAAGGCCCAAATTGCTGGTTTGGACGTGGGCAGGTGCATACATCTAGGGAGGTAGGGAGGGCAGGCAGGAGGCTGCATTGTGATTTCAAGGATGCTCCGGGGTTCTTACTGTGGAGAGTGGTGCATGCTGGCTTCGCAAGACATGCCTAAGTGTCTTTTTGACGGCAGCGTTTGAGTCCTCAGGTCTGCCATGGAAAGCGAGGCAAGCGTCCTGGTGCCTCACAAGCTCATGTTGATGAGCTTCAGCGACGTCCATGGCAGATGCACCGATCCCGATGGTCAGGCAGAGGGGATGCGCAGCCACATGGAGCTGTTCAAATCGTCAGCGGCCGCGAAGGCAGTCGAGACCACACAGGCAGACGTCATCGTCTATGCGGGTGATGCAACGACGATCCCGGATACGGTGGATTGCGAGATTTCGAACTTCGAAGAACTCGAGGAGTTCGTGGACTGGTTCAAAGAGGTCCAACCGGAGAAGCCGAAGATCTTCATTCCAGGTAATCACGACACGTGTCTCGACGACAGTACCGTGTTGGAGAGTAGGTTCAAAACCCAGAGGCGGCAGCGATTGCTGGACCTCATGGACAGGAGCAACATCCACTTCATAGGGCCTGCTGGTTGGCTGAGGATCCCTCTGGGTGGAGGCTCCGAGTTCAAGGTGCTTGCTTCAGGTTTCTCAGCGGGGCGGCCGCCGGGAGCCAAGCACTTTGCGGAGGAGTACCAGATCGGAGGAAAAGCCGAGTTTGGATCGGAAGTCTTGGATAAAGACGGCGAAAATCTGACGATGGCAGGTGTTTTGGGCGCCTTCCAGTACTGCCCGGCTTCAGCGATCACCAGCTACGTCGACTGCGCTTTGGTCTACAGCAAGGTGACGGAGTCTCTGGAGAAGGCAAGCGCGGCTTTGGGATATGAGGCTGATCTGGTCGTAGTCCACGGTCCCCCCGACAACTTGGGGGTCAAGTTCGGGCCTGGTGGTGGCAAGGGTCCACCGGGACTCCTGGCAGAGGCGCTCATGAAGCCCTTGATTCGGAGAGCTGGTGTTATGCGGGTAGGTCATTATCACCCTGTAGCGGACTGGCGGGAAGGTCTGAGGACCCAGCTGCTCGAATGCAACTCGGCGACCTGCGAGGGGCGCGTTGAGATGAAGTTCGTCCCTGTGAAGGGTGCCAGGCCCGAGGTATGCCAGTATCCGGATGCTTCCGACTCCGTTCACATGCCAGACGAGTACGTCTTCCAGAACCTGGAAGTCATGCAGATTGGGAAAGTTGTGAAGGGCGACATGAAGAACGAGTTGACAAAAGAGCTGGTCATGAAATACCGCTGGACAGGGCCCACATTCAACAAGCCAGAGCCCACTGAAGGGGATGGTGCCAGAAAGTACAAAGTCGTCACGGTGCCACGCCAGGGCAAGAATAGACAGGTGATCATCCCTACCATCCTTTAGATTCACCTGGCTTTCCAAGGAGGCTTTCCAAATAGGCACAAACTTGCTTGAGGGTTGAAGCGAGCGCAAAAGGCAAATCGAGAACGAGCGTGAAAAAGGCTAGAGTAGTGCGCACTAGACCAGGTTCGTGGTCGTGCCAATCCTAAAACCCTCAGTCGAGCCCTCAATGAAGTATTCCGCGTCGATTCTCGAGGCAGCATCAGCTCCATTCGCCGCCTGATCCCCACATGGCCTTGAAACAGCGCGTAAACGCCCCAAACTCCCTTGCAGCCCTCGTCAAAGGGGATTCCAATTCCCTCTCGGCAGTCCGCAACACGAGGAGCCCTCGGGACCGGAACGTGTCCAAGAGCCTGGAGAAGCTCTCCAACGCTGAGACCTGAGGCCCCCGTGGGGAAAAAGGGGGACAGGGACGAAAATGGGGGGGCTTGAGCCGCGGGGCTTTGAGACGGCGTGTTTTGTTTTGTCTTTTGTGAAGAGTCTTGGGATAAGCATGGCAGCTCCTGAGCTTTGGTTCCTCAGTGTCTTGCTGCCAGGCGATCAGGTGCAGAAGCAGAACACGAGACCGTTTAAGCGCGCAAGAAAGGGCCTCCGTCCCGTTGCAGACCGCTCAGATAGCTGTTCACACTGACCCGATTTTCAGGACCTTCGCCGAACATGGCCAGCATGCATCTGCATCTGCGGAATCTGCGGCCTGTTGTCTTTCGCAACTCGCGTCTTGAATCAAGTCATACCCCCTCGCTTTGTAGATGAGCAGCATGGCGGCCGCAGGCTGTGCAAGTGGAAAGTAGGGAAGAATGGGTTTCAGCGATTGGGCCAAAGAGCAGCTCCACGCTGCTTTGCCCAAGTGCTATCTGGTCGCTAACAGCGACTCTCGGCGATTGTTTCTCGAAAATGTAGGCTTTTAAAGCAAAAGCTTCTGTTTCTGCACAGGCCATGTAGTGGGTCTTGTCTTGGCATTGTCGCGCGCTGAGGACTTATGTTCCTCCTCTTCGGGCTTGCGCTACCGCCGATCTCCTTCCTTCAGCGATGCTGCGAAGGTGACCAGATTGAAGCCAGTCCCGTGGGACTCCTTGGTTTGTGGCACGCTGGAAGCCGATGGCGCGTTCTTGAAGCTTGAGGACCGGAAAGTAGGGAAGTGAAGACGGCTGTTGAGCTCTGAGCTCTTGAATGTAGCGAATCGGGGGGAGTCGTCGTTGTTGCTTCTGACAAGTTGGCTAGAGGACGGGTACTATCTGCCGGTCTTCACCCAAAGCGGGATCCGGGTGCTTCACGAGATCGAGCGAGAGGAGCCGGCGGCGAAAGCGAGGGCGAAGAAGACGAAGGCTGAGGCGACCGAGGAAGAGAGGAGCCTCGTCTTCAGTGGGCCGGGTGCCTTCTACGAGGTGATGTCGGAGCGGGTGGCCTTCCGAAATGGCCCATCTTTGGGTGCCAAAGCCTTAGGCCAGCTTCGAAAGGGCGAAGAGGTGGAACTCTTCGGTTGGGATGAGTCGGGCTTGTGGCGGGAGTGCGTGGATCATCGCTTGGCCCGCAGTGGCTTCGTGCTTTTGGACCACCCGGAGTTGGGGCCCCTGCTGCGGCCCAAAGGGGAGCCCCTCTGCATCCGGCCTCTGAACGTCCTGGCCGTGGCGGCCCAGGAGGGCCGCTACGAGGACTTGGAGCGCTTCCTGGCCAAGGACGGAAGTGACGGAAGAAGCAGACGAGCCCCCAACAAAAAACCTTATAGGACTAACGTGTCAAGTTTTGGTTGGGTGTTGTATATATATATATATGTATATATATACTAAATATTCCATGATACTTCTCATATACTTAGCATTGCAGAATTCTTTCTGAGATCCCTTTTTCTCAGGAGCAGGAGGTCGACTTCCAAGATCCACGGGGCCCGGCCGTGGTGCTGGCACTAGCGAAGGGCCAGCTCAGGCGAGGCCCTGAAATATAACAGTTTGGGGATCAGGTGCAGGGCGCCGGGTTCCGTCAAAGCTCCTCAAAGCTGCGAGGGTGCTCTGCAATCCGGGAAGGTCACAGAACTTCGGAAATTCGAAACCTCCGCACAAATCCAAACTACTCTACGAGCTCAGATAATCCTTAGCCTTAACAACCCTTGAACTCCGCTCTAAATGCCTTAGATCCCGAAACCCTGGACCTGAAATCCTAAACCCTCCGCCCCACACCCTAAACCCCCAAAACCTTAAACCCGAAAAGCCGAAGCGAAAGAACGCCCCAGAAGCCTGAGAACCCCTGGAGGTGCTGCCTGAGGCTGCTCCGCGCCGGCGCCCAGGAGGGGAGCAGCCCCGAGCTTGCGATGCTCAGACGCTGCGGACCGGAGGAGCTGGAGGACAAGGGGGGGCGGATAGGCGGATATATCAGATGCATGTCAGCATGCCTTTTTTAGCGGTGCTTCTGAACTTGAGGAGCTCCAGCAGAAGTCCGAGGAGGAGCTGAAGCGGTGGATCCAAGGGGCGTTAAAGCAGACGGCCGCATCGGCGCAGTTTGCTCCGAGCCCCGGGAGCGAAGAGAAGCCCGGAGAAGGCGAAGGCGAGGTCCAGGTCACCTCTCCAGAGAGAGAACCCGCCGAAGCCGTGAAGGCTCAGGCTGAGAAGGGAGAGCTCTACGAGGTGGTCTTCGATTCCGTGTGGATTCGACGTGAGCCGGATGCAAAAGCAGCTCGAGTCAGCAAGCGTATCAGAGGCCAGCGCCTGCAGATCCTGGAGTTTGATGAGACAGGCTTCTGGGGTCGGACAGTCTTCAAGACCAGCGAAGGTATGGACGAAGGCTGGATGCTGCTGGCTCATGGTGAGTTTGGAGAGCTATTGCGACCCGTCCACGATGATGGGCAGGGCTTCGTGGTTCGGCCGCAGTAGCAGTGGCGACCGTAGGCCGTGGCTTTTGAAGACCGCGAACCCACTTTCCCAGAACCGTCGGAAAGCCTCTGCTGACCTGTTGCTCCAGTTCGGCCAAGAGACATCGAAAAAGACGCGGCCCGTAGCGGGAACGTGGAGGGGGGGGGCTTCCTTTGCCCACGGCTGTAGCAACTCGCAGCTGTGTTGAGACGGTCCGATCAGGGAAGAGAGCAGTTACTGTGTAGGCCGTAGGGTGCAAACTGGCAAACAGAGCTGTGAAGCGATTCCGGACCTAACCACCGCAGGCTGGCCCAAGCATTGGTGTCTCAAACGCTTTAACCAGCGCTCCGTTTTAGAAAGCATGCCATCCGCTGCCTGTGAGACCAGCATGCCCCTGGTTTGCACATGCTTTCCCTTTTAAGTTTCTCTGAGCCTCGTGACGTCGTGTGAGAGACTGAGAGACTCAGGTCCATGCCTCGCCTGGACCTGCATCCAGAGCGGGCACAGGAGCGGTGACTTGAAGCGCAGAGACCTGACAGCGTCTTTTACCTTTGCCTCGTGCCAGCGCCAGCGAAGGCCCAGCGACAACACGAGTTGAAGAATACGGTGCGGCGCCCAGTCGCCCAGGCCCAGATCCTGCTCTGCACTCATCGGAGCCGCCCCGTTTTCTGAGGCGATGTGCAGGTTCTTCCTGGAGGGCAAGTGCAGCCGTGGCAACAAGTGCTCCTTCGCCCACACCAAGCAACAGCTCAGGGAGAAGCCCGACTTCCGCCGCGGGGACCTCGGCGAGTCGGCCCAGAGCCGCCACAGCAGAGCCTGAGGCCCTCTGTCCCATCTCATCTCAGGCATGAAGCTCTGCTGGGACTTCGCCTCCAACGGCACCTGCAAATATGGTGCCCTCAGCTGCAAGCCGCAGACCTCCGCAGATTCCCCCCCCCCCCCGGACATAGTCACAGAGTCATCCCTTCCACCGACGAGCGTCTCTGAGGCGCTCGCTGCACGCATGCCCATGGCCTGCAAGAGCTCCGGGAGCCCGCCCACGTGCCAGCGGTGCCTTGGCACTGGCCAGTCTTCTCAAACCGAAGAAGCAGATAAGATGTGAGAAGATATGTGTGAGATGCGGCGTTGCGGCGTAGCAGAACCTGCAGCGCTCTGCCAGGCCGTCGGTCTCCTGCGGCGCCAGCTCACGGACACCTCCTCCGAAGGCTCCAAATGAAAGTCTGAGGCAATACGAACATGAGTCGATAGTAGGGTTCAGAAAGTTCGAACGGTTGAAGCATCATTTCCACATACCGTTCCTGTCTTCGTGCGAGAGCATGAGGTTCTGGCCGAGTGCTGAGTGCGGGCAGCCTTTGCCCAGAGGATCTGCGAGACGGGCTGGTGATCTCCCTTTGAGTTTCACATCATATGAGGGTAAGGGCTCGATCTCACCACAGAAGCAGTAAACCTAGGACCTAGTCTCATCTTTAGTAGTGCTTCTCGCCCTTCCCCTCGCATGATTGCAAGGGAGTCCAGCTCCTCAGACATGTCATCGTCTGGTTGACGAAGAGCAGATGCACCGGACTCTCCTAAGTCTTCATCCTGGAGGTGCTGGCATCGGTCCGTATTCTGCGGTGGATTGTCAGGGACATCCCACCCGAAGTATTTGGTAATCATGGCCCAAACTCTTTCAGAAGGGGGAGCATGTGTGAGTGCAGGAAAGAGCGACAGTTTCCCATTTTAGCATCTGCAGAACCCCGCGTATGGAAGGGATTTGGGCCAGTGCTCCTTGGCGGTGGTTTTGGGCACGGCTCGGTTTGGAGTCTCTCCTTCTGGCTGTTGATGAAAGTCACCACTTTTTGGGGTCTATAGTAAAGAAGAAGTGGCTTCCTTAATATGGGAACTTAAGCTGAGTTCCTTAGTTGGAGTCTCTTTGTCGGGGCCCTGATTTTAAGGCGGTGAGGCTGCGGGAAGAGCTCCTTTTCTTGAGTTCTTTAATGAGGATTCCTCCTGAAGTCATTTAAGGTTTCCTCACTGTCATTCAAGGATGCCTTCCAAGCGGCCCTGATTCAAGTCGGATGCCAAACGCGTGTGTGATTTTTGGTGTTCCGCAGACTGTTTGCGCCGAGCGCTGGCAGATAGCGATTTTTCTGTATAGCCCACCCTTTTTGAGCAAGGCTTGCGCCAGCGATACCGAAGCGTCCTTGCGTTTGGAACGCTGGAGATTCCAAGCCTCACCTGAGTTCCCGCGCCGATACGTAGAATTCTCTGCGACCTGAGTGCACGATGGCCACTTGCCCGCGCTTTTGCTTGCCGAACGTCGTTACACTCCGTTACAGCCATACAAGTACTTGTGTATCTGGAATCCTCTATTTCCCGGCTGTGCCGGAGGCCAGGCAAAGGCCATGGTATGGACCAACGTGCCCGCACTGCAACTGTTGCAACTGTGAGCAGGAGGGTCTGGCGGTCTGTTGCATTCGCCTCAGGCTGGAGCCCCGTTAACGGCTTCGGCGGATGCGGAGAGCGTACTTGACCGATGCAAGAAGTGAAGAGAGTTTTGGAAAACTCCCTCTTCGAGTAGGAGCGGCTACCAGTCAGCTCAGGAGATGCTTTTTTCGATCCACTGCTAGGTGCCGTGATGTCTCGACGGAATGTTTGAGTGATGGTAGTTGGTCATGTTGCAAGATTGTAAGGGTTTGGGGGTCTCATCCATCCCGTCGGGGACAATTTTGAAGCCAAATTGCCAAAGAACACGTTGCTCTTCCTCCACTTGGCTGCCTCTAAAGAGGCCTCGGTTGCCGAGCGCACCATGCAAGCGACTCACCCGTCGTTGCCTAGGGCCCGACCGTACACGTACACAGCTGAGCCAGCTGAGGGCTAAATCACCTTGCCACTGGAGCAAACCCCGAGCGAGCAATGAAGAAAATCGTGGAGGTGCAACCAGGTCTTGCCCCACAGCTTGCAGCATGCTTGCAGCATGCTTCGTGCTCTGGAAGCGATTCTTTCCACGTCTGGCCAGGCGAGTGCGCTAAGAAACCTCCCAGTCTGCATTCCTTGCATCCCGTGCATCCCGAAGACGCTTACAGCGACTGTAACATTCCACATCTCAGTGTAAAGCGACGCGAGCACAATCCCGGCGCCATGTCTTCCTTTCGACGAAGCGGGCAGTGTGTCCTGCGTCAGGTGCGGGAGCATGCGGGAGCGGGAGCGGTTGGGGGACGAAGGGAGCCGAAAGCGAGAGTCGGAGGGCCTCGCGGAGGGTTCTGGGACCTGTGCAGGTTCGAGCCCGAGCAGTTGCAGGAAAGGCGCGGCGGAGTTTCTGGAGAGAGAGAGAGAGAGAGAGAGAGCCGAAGCCGACACTCGCTGTCCACTCCCCTCTTCCCGATTATCGGGTGGGCAAGAGAGAGCGTGAACTTTCGTTTTAGGCGCTTTTGGCTTTTAGAAGGCTTCGCGCCCGGCGAAGCCAACAGGGGCGGCACAGGCGGACCCGCGGGCCAGGAGCAGATCCGCATGCCACATGACTCGCAGTCCCCACCGCCTCCCCCAAGCCCGCTCCTTTTGCCCAGGAGCTTCGAAGAGCGCGGCTTCGAGGCGGCCCGAGATCGGCGCCGGCTGCGGCCCTACTGGCCCCCACCAGAGGCGAGGCGGAAGAAAGCGGCCGGGAGGAGGAAACGGGGGGAGCGGCTGCGGCTGTTTGGGGGGCGTGTTCAACCCGGCAGGGCGAAGGTTTGGAGCTCCCTGGAGGCCGCAAGCAGGCGCGGAGAGAGAGCTCGGAGAGCCGGGCCTCTCTGGGCCTCTCTCTCTCTCTCTTCTCTCCTTGTGCACAGCTGCGTTTGAGGCTCCAGGCTCGGCTTTGTTTCTCTCTCCCTTTCCAAAGCTGCTGCTGGCGGTGAGGTGCAGGTCCTCACCGCCAAGAGCGACGTCGACGGAGCCCTGGAGGCCCAGCTTGCCTTCCTGACGCGCGGCGGGCACCGGCTCTTCTACCTCAACGAGGAGGCCTCCTTGCTCATGCTCTCCGCATCCTATGCGAGGTCTTAGACGTCGTAGAGGTCGTAGATCTTTGTTAAGCCTGCGCAGTAATGCAAATGATCACAAAGAAGACGATGAGGTGCTAATCTACAACTCCGGCACGAGCTGCATTCATGCTTAGCGGCGTGGGAGTAGAGATGGAGCGGATGAGTCGAAGGAGTTGGCGGAGCTGGAAAAGCTAGCGCCACGCATCTCCGAGTACTTCGAGCTCTGGGAGGAGAAGGCTGGGAAGGACGCTGCACGCCAAAAAGCTTTGATATGTACCTGTCCGAGGCCAAAGAGGCAGCGGAAAGTGAGGATAGCAAGCGTCTGCACAAAGAGCTGCAGCAGCGGCCGCTGGAGTGAGGCGAAAAGGCATCGGCATCGTTCTGCATCCAGAGTCGATGCTCTCGGCTCTCGCTTGTCGCCACAATGGCAGCTTTAACAGAGGTTTGTTCTGCCTCCAGCAAGTCTCGCCACCTCCAATCGACGATGTGATTAGGACCCGATGAAATCCAGAATCCAATTGTGTTTCCTGCAAATACCAAAACTCCAGAAAAAATACACGGCAGCTACTCCAGCACAAATGTGAGTTGTTTTTTCTGCGAAATGCTGCGAATTCCGAAGTCGGCAGCGCGCGAACTTTCGGCGGCGCCTCTTCCTGTCAACGCCAAACTCAGCGAAGGCTCAGCTTCAGAGCTGCTCCAGGGCCGAAGCGGAGCGGCACTTCGCTCAGCGACCGGAGCGTCTTCTCCAAGCGCTCTCAACGCGGCTCGTTGTGTTTTTTTTTGTCGCGCTGATGAGGGCTGCGGTCTGGGACGCAGAATGCGCAGAGACGGCTCTTCCCGAAGGCTCTTCCTCCAGGGGCCCTCCTCAAGCCGCAAGCCTCTTGTCTTAGCCCCACATGGCTTCGTGATTATCTATGATTTGGTTGGGTTTCCTATTCCGCATGCGCGACAGCTGCAAGACCTGCCACAAACCTCGGCTTGATTTGCAAGCCGCATCTGCTAGTTCTCGCCTCCACTCAAGCTGGGTAAATCGTCGCCCCGCAGATGCTGCGGCCAATTGGAGTGCTGTGAACCTTGACAACGAAGGCGGCGCTGACACTTGGCCCATCGCCCTAGTCTCCTGCATCTACGTGACTGCAGTGACTACAGATATGTCCTCTTGGTCGGTTGACAAGACGTCTTGAAGGCCTTCGTCGACGGTGTCACAGTCTGGAGCTCCAAGCTCGTATAATTTTGCCTGCATAGAGCCCGCAGGGCCGGAGAGTATTCAACCAGTGCTGAAGGAAGATATGCTTCAGGAGTATTCAGGAGGCTCTCCAGAAGGGGAAGCACCTCCTGAAGGCTTGATATTGAAGCGCGAAACTGAAGAAGCTTTCGATGGTGTTGTTGTTGCAGAGGCTCTCCTTGGTCGGACCCGCGCTGAAACCAGAGTCCACTTGGCCCGACATGAAATGCGGCTGCTCCAGTGAGGGAGTTTCACATGTGACCGAGCCACGAAACCTCAATCAAGCCACGACCTAGCGGCGAGAGGTTCTGGACCTTAGTTCTAGGGCATTCACATGTTGTGGGCGCCCGATGCTCGGCTCAAAGCGAAGCTCTACTCACTCAGATAGCATCACCTTGGTCCGCGGGAAAAGTGGCTGGGGGCCTGTATGAGCACCCGCACACCGCTGGAGTGTTCCGCCGTGTCCGCGGGTTACGGGGCCCGCCTCGGTGATGACTTGGAAACACTCATGTTCCACGTGACCTCGGAAGCCGAAGGCTTGGGAAGCCGAGTTTTTGCGAAGCGCCTGGACAAGAATGGCGAAGGCTGGACCTTGGATTTGAAGATCAGATGCCGGCCGCTAGCAGTGCGCTCTGCTCCCATTCAGAACGCGCTCCAACAGTCACTTGAGGAGTTTCTGTACAATCTCGACTCGTTGAACCAGTCAAACTTTGATTTCGCTCTGCCGGCGCAAGCACTCACCCGGAAGGTCTGTGATAGTCAGAAGCAAGTCAACAACCAGGACTTCCAAGAGGAGTACACAGACGTTTCCTCAGTGCGATGGTGTCAAGAGCTTTGCCGACAGAGTGTGGCGTGCCTCTCGCTCCAGTACGATGAGACGACCAAGCGCTGCGAGTTGACCTGCTCGCCGGAGTCGGAGGGCGCCTGGTTGCAGACGAGCCAGAGCCGGAAGAGCCGGAAGAGCCGGAGCTTGGATCTCGCGGATACTGCCCTGAAGTTGGCAGGTCTGCAGAACTACCTGACAAAGAGCGTGGCTTGCGAGGTCGGGTCTGCGCCTCAGGGTGCTCTTCGGGCCGGACCTTCTGCAGAACAACACCCTGCTTACGCAAACGTCGGCTTTAACCTGGCTGGACTCCGAGGGACATGGCTTCAAAAAGCCCGCCGTGCACAGCCGTGCCTATGATTTCGAAGGGTCGCAGACCCCTGGAAATCCAGCGCTAGCACTCGTCTGAAGCCTCGGGCGGTTCGACTGGTGCCAGCAGACTGAGCCAAGCCTTGACGAGCACACGGTCGTCAAAACATCGAGGCTCCGAGCTTCAGCTTCTCCACGCCTCGGGACTGGAAGAACACTCGATTGCTTTGTGAATTTAGTGCGGCCGGAGCCGCCACTTCGGCGTAGGTTGTTTGGCCTTCGCAAGAGTTCTAGATGCATTGCGAGCTGCGGATTCACGCATTTGCACTTGGAAGCGGAGTCGAGCTTGCTCAACCCCCGCTTCTGGAGCCGAAGAGATTCTGACGTGCCCTTTGAGTGACTCAAAGCAGTCTCCCCGCGCTTCCTTGGCTCAGCAGAGAAGGCCGGGAAGCCGATTCGCAGCTCCACCATAGTCTGTTGCCCGCTGGATCATTCTCCATCGTGTTCCCTCCCTCTGGTTTGCGTGGGTTCGTTGGGAGGGGCCGGAAACAAGTCGAAGGGGCCGGGGACCCGAGAGCATGCATATTATGCATATGTATCATATGTATGTATATATATATATATGTACGTGAAGAGGGCGGAGATGCAGAGGCAAGTAGCAGGTTGAGGAGGTATGTGTGCCCTGGACCGAATGCCCCCCATCATGACATGAGTAGCCCGTGGCCGCAGAAACCTGGACGTTGCTGGCTCTGCCGGTGTTGGCGCGGATCTTACATTCCAGCATAGGCCAAACGTGTGAGCTTCGCGGAGAGCCGTGGCCCCCTTCGCAAAGTGCCTTCCAGGTATTGGACATGTGAATTGTGGAGAAGGTCGCTGCCAGTGCCAAGCCAACATTCTCCTGCACAAAATCCAAACCTGGTAGGCGCAATGGACCCAACTCCTGTCGCGCACGTGCGGCTCTGAGGGGCTTTTTGTTCGCGCACGATTGTGTTCTCTAGGTTTACAGTTTCCACGGTTTCTGGAGGTTTCAGTTCAGATTGCCATTTCGGACAGTTCAGATTGCCGTTTCGGACAGTAGTGGGATGATCGGTGTAGTTCCTGGCAATTAGTTCTCCCAGTCGACATAACTGCAACGGTTAACCACTAGCAGGTTGTAACCAGGCGGCGCCGAAATTGGCAACGATCAACGAAAAGGCTGGGCCACCGTGGACAACGTATATGTGCGCATATCATTCACTGGTTCGATTGGTATGCTTGCCACATGAGGAGTACGCGTCTTTGTGCATAGCATTCGAGTGAGCTTGACTAAGTCTCAGGGGCGCAGGGCCCAACGAAGGCCGATGCGATCTTCGCACATCTTCGCTAGCTTCTTTTTCCTTGCATTGTGAGTTTTCGCGTTCGAAGGACGGGGCCTTAGACTGAGCCTCGCGCAGCACCCACCGCTTCTTTTCGGCAGGCCAAAGGAGCCGCTCCTTCTTGATGTCAGCCGAGCCTCTTCGGCCTACGGCACCCTCACGAACTTCCATCCGGTGAAGGGCTCGGGTGGACGAAGCGAAATATGACCAGCGAGAATAAACAGATGGGAGTCCTCGGGCTCTTCACTCCAAAACGAACGCAGAGATGACACAGCATCTTTGTGTACATACACGTGGGCGGTCTTCAGATTTCCCACGCTTCGGACGCGAGCATCCTGGTTTTGGCGAAGACCCTTTGTTTGAGTTCATGTTTGGGCGCGGGTCTACTCTTCCCCGCCGACCTTTTTGTACAGGTCCTGGAAGCTTTGTGCCACCAGATACAGACTGAGATACCAGAGACACACGCGCGCATACGGCTGCACTTTGACGGCTTGTTGATGCTCGAGCTTCGCGCTGGTAGAGACTTGCGGAAGAGGTGCAGTGAACCGAGAAATGAACTTGCTTCGATCAAGGGGTGTTGCTATGTCTACTCGAGCTCTGCGCTGGTCGGCGAGGGCATACCCTGGGCATCGGAGTGGTTCTTTATTTCACTCCGTACAAAGACAACTGCATGCTTGTATAGTTTCGGTGGCAAACATTTTTGACTGCTTGAATATCATCAGATTCTTTTGCGTTCCATGGTGTGAGCGACAGGTTTCCGAGTTTGCGGAGAGGTTGTGCGGCATCGGGCTTACTGGGAGTTCTGCTATGGGCGCAAAAGCCGATCTACATTATTGTACAGCTTCAAGCGGCTCTACAATCTCCAGTACAGATGCACGCGTGCCAAGTTCTTTGGGGAGCACAACTCACTCTTCACACCATGCCAGTAGCACCAGAAGGTTTGGTTGAACTCCATCCAGCGTTTGGGCACTTCCACCATAACTGGCAACACGCTCGGGTGGACGAAGCACGCCATCGGCTACGTCGACGCCGGCCGTGACCAGCGAGGCTTCTCGGAGAGTTTGGCTCCGCGCAATCTGTGGGTGGCACTTTGCTATCACCGGCGACTCACTACAAAGTCGGCCTCGTATCCGAAATTGGCCCGTCGCAGCGGCGAACATAAACAGAAGCGTGTCAGTCCACAGTCCTGTTCCTGAGTACGCATGACTCATGCAAGATGTCAGTTTTCTTGTTACTGCCCATGATGCAACGCAAAAGCCACACACGCGCGCACACACACATGCATAGTGTCAGAAGTTTCTTGCTTCTTGTCGTGGCTCTGAAGCTTAGCAGAGGTGCCCTTTGTGAATGCCCAATTCTCAAATCGTGTTAAAGTTGAGCCTCAAGACAGGTAGCCCACGTGCAGCGTTAAACGCACACCTGCCAGAAGAAGAGCCACTCCACAGCAGGATCGGCACGACGAGATGAAGCCCTCCATGGGTGGTGTTCCAAGTCTCGAGCCAAGCAAACCAGAAACAAGCACACACCCAAAACGCTGTAAACAAGCGGAATATTCCCCCTAGTCTTCAGGATTTCGCCTAGGCCTAGCAGTTTCCCGACTCTAGAGACTTTGAAGCGTTGGGGCTTCCGGCCGCCGGCCGGGCGATGGGCCGGCGTGGCCAGGTGGGAGCCGTCCTTTAGAGTTTAGGAGTTTAGGGGGTTCCAAGCTGGCAGCTTTGAGGCTTTTGGGACGTCGGTGCGATATCGGTTCTGTGTCGATTTAGGCGAGTGTGATGAGAGATTCCAACCGTTGCAGTCGTGATCATAAGCCCTCCAGTCATCATCACCATCATGGTCAGCTAAACTGACCATGACCATGATGGTCAGCAGCATCAACATTGATTGTTGTCTTCGTTCTCAGATTCTCATCGCGTACATCATCGTTGACTTCATAGTCAGCCACATCGCAAATGACAACCGCCATCATCATCGCTTCGTCGTCGTCGCCATCGTCTAATGACTCTTATTGCCTGTCGACGCACCGTGGTAGTCAAACGAAAGCCACCATGATGGCAGCGTTGCAATCTGCTCAGGGCCGAGGTGGAGGTGGCGGCGGGGCCGGCGGCGATGGCAGGGATAACAGGAGACTTTGCGTGCGCTTTGTGGGCTTGGGAGGTTTCTGTTTGAAGATCTTCCTCGCCTGCTTCCAGCGGGCCGGAGCATGCTGAGCCAGGAAAGAGGGCTCTGACTCTGATTCACCCAGAGCTCGTGTGAGGAGCGGGCCTGTGTCGCAGCTGGAAGATCTCATGCGACGTCGCGGCGTGGATCAGGTGGAGCACTGATTTTCAGCGTGCTTTAATTGAAATCTCTCTCCAGTAGCAGTTCGAGAAAGCCACACTCAGCCACGCTTAGCTCGGGCTTGTATCGCGAGGCCTGGGATGCTTTGCAGGAGATGATGCGAGCTGGCCTGCCGGCCGCCCTGTTCTCAGTGACACAGTTGTGCCATGTTGTGCCATGTTGCGCCATGTTGCGCCATGTTGCGCCATGTTGCGCCTGCCAAGGACCGCTTCACTGCCGGAGCCCTGTGGCGATGTCGAGGCGCTTGGCCTGGCGCGTCTTGCTCTCAGGTGTCCAGGATGCTGATGCGCACCCTGGCCGACGGGCGGAGGCGCGAGCGGAGGAGGCGACTCAGAGCGCCGCTTAGAGTGGCCATTCTGCAGTCAGGAGCTGGGACCCGGCAAAGATCAACCGGTCTGCAGGGGGCTCGGAAGCCCGAAGTGGATCCGGATTTTCCTCCCGTGAATGCTGCTTTCAGGTCGCGCTCGTCGAGCAATTCGTGCAGATCCAGCCCCAGGAGGCAGACGAGGCTTGGAAAGGAGAGGTGAGAGGAAGATCAATGCTAAGCCGCTAAGCATAGAGGGGTCTCGCGCTTTGAGGTGCTTTTCAATGCGATTTTAGATACACATTCGCGAACGAAAGACATCGCCGCCGCCTCAGTCTCTCTGTTCACCGCACCAGTAGCCACCTACTCAAGCACGTCTTCCTTGTCTCAGCGGAGCTTCGGTGGCGAGCGTTCCGTCGAAACTCGAGGTGTGTGTCTGTGTATGTGTGTATGTTTGTGTGGGATTGTGTTGGTATCAGATGGGAAGAGGGAAGAAGAATGCTCCTTGGCAGCGGCATATGTTTCGTTGTTGCGCGGGGTTCGCAACCGCTGCGCGAAAGCTGTCGAGTGGCATTGAAGAAGCCGCTGTTTCCACTGGTACGAATCTCAAAACTGGCCGTGGGTTCATTCATGCTGAGTCTCCGAGGCCAAGTTGGAGACGACGTTTCAGCGCATGAAGGCGAAGCTGCACGCTCCGCTATGCTCCGCTTCTCGCTTCGCCATTCGGAGGACTTGGGCGTGGAGCCCTCCCACGTGACGCTGGGAATCCTCGTTAAGGCTGGGGAAAGGGCTGGAATGATATCTCACGGTATCTACTCCCATATTATTCTTCCGCCGCTGCATCGATGCCTCTACCCGCCCTCTCCGTGCAGGCGTACGGTCAGGTTTGCGATATCAAGAAGGCACCGGGGTCAGGGCCGAGAAAGCTCCGGGGCTGGGACTGGGACGCTTTGCATCACCTTGCAATCAAATCACATCAACACGCAGAGTCCGCAGAGTTCCTTCCGGGCGTGAGAAGCTCCGTAGCTGCATCGGCATTTTACGAAGTCTTCAGGTTGTGCAGCTGTGGGATGAGATGGTCGAGCAGCGGGAACAGGCGAATGCCAGGATCCCATGTGTACGCGCTGCTGAAGCTTGTTGGCACGAGGAACTCCCATGCACACATCTCATTACGATCATGGAGCGTTGTTGACAATGCAGCGCAACCTGCAGCAATCTCTCATCAAGCCTCAACCCTCGTAGATTAGAATTACAAGCTAGTGTCGCTAAAGGTGAGCGGCATTGTGCAACTTGCTGAGGCTGTCACCTACGGCTGCATGATCAACGCCTGCGTGAAGTGTAGCCAGACGGAGAAGGCAGCTTGCAGAGCCACCCTAGCAAAGACCTTGGCGGAGGCGTTATCGGAGTTATCGTCGCACGGGAGTAGCTTCAGCGTTCTGATGAAGATGACATGATGTTCATGGCTGTCTTTCGAAGCAGCCATAGACCAGTATCTAGTGGTTAGTTGTGCTTCCGCTTCCCTTCTCTACGACTCCTCACCAGCTGTGTGTAGGCTTACAGTGGCCTCCGAGCAATCATTTTGCTTGTCCCTCTTTCTTCTTTTCTTCTTTTCTTCCGTGCTCCTGCGCTCTGCCTCGTCCTCGCATGATTTCGTGCCGGAGGCGCTCTCGATCTTTCGTGACATGCAGAAGCGGCACAAGCAGTGCAACACGATCCTTTACACGCAGACGCCCCGGGGGTCTCAGAGTGATTTGCTGTTTTCCTCTCGTGCCTCTGAGGACCTTGATCAAGGGCTATGGGAACGAGAAGGACCCGAGCCTTCAGCCGGAGCTAGTTCTAGGGCTTCTAGGGCTGCCTCTTGGCGAGGACCTGAACACTGCCATTATGCTCTTTCGGGAGATGAGGGAGGAAGGCGGATGATGGGACAGCCACCAGCACTGGAAGCACGACACTTCTAAACTCTTCCGCAGGTGTTCCCTACAACACCATTGCCTACAACTCCATCATCGACGTCTGCATCAAATGCACCGAAGTGGCAAAAGCAGAGGCCGGAGCTCCGAGAGTCCCTTCCAAAGAACTCGCTAGAGTCTAGAGCTCTCGCCCCTTTTCCAGGAATTTTTCCAGGAGATGATGTCCGATAGCAGCACTGTACAGCCGGGCGCTAGGGTGCTAAGATCCTGGGAGGTTTGGGAGTCGGGCCGAGTCGGGGCTGGGCTCAGGCCGGACCTCATCACCTACTCCACCCTCCTGAAGGGCTACTGCCAGGCTCGGGGCTCACTCTCCGCTTTTTTCAGATGTCGTCGTGACATCCGCAAGCAGCGCGCAGCTCCGTAACTTCTTCGCTTGGAGACCCCAGCTGTGGCCATTCTCTTATGCAAGGCCGAGCCGAGAATCCGAATCTCAGGACTCAGGAAAACTCACACACGCAAGGAGGTTCGAGCTGCCAAAGAGAGTCATCGACTTCGCATGCGTGAGACGGCCTGTAACGGCACAGTGCATTCCCATGAGTAACACGAATGCCTCTGAAAGCTCTCAGGTGGGAGACCTGGACAAAGCGTTGCAGGTAGCAGCCACCATCAAGGCGCCAGGGCGCCGCTGTCTGCGGCTCTCAGCGGCTCGCAGAGTTCTTTCTGGAAGGCTTGTGGGATGCAGTGTGACGAGCTGGTCTACAACACTTTGATGGACGGCTGCGTCAAGGCGAGGGAGTTTCATTGTACGCGTGAAGCGACCCTGAAGTTCCATGGAACCGCCTCGACATTGCCATGCAGCACTGAAACCAAGACCCCGAAGTCAGATACGTACTGTAATCCGTGGGAGTGACACCCCCCTGGCCTTGGAGGCTAATGATCTTTCGGCCGGCGTGGGGCTGTTTGCGGAGATGGCCTCGCGGGGATCTTGGTCTCTTTTTGCAGGAATCCGCCGGGCCGCGGCGGGACGGCGGGGCCTTCTCGGGATCTCCGAGGGCTGGGATGAAGCCGTCCTCCATCACCCACAGCATCTTCTTGCGGTCCTGGGCTAAGAAGCCCCCGGGGGCCTCTTGCGTTCGCCGAGCCTTCGTCGGCAGAGACGCCGAGGCTGTATCAGCGCAACGGCTACAAGGGAAATGCCCCCGAAGCTGCAGCAGGGGCGAGTGCGAGAAGCTTGGGAGTGTCTGTGACCCGAGGCCCTGGATGCTGTCGCGCAGCTGTACCAGCATCACGGCCTGGAGAAGCCTTCGGCCGGACCCTCGAAAACTCCGGGCAAGCTCGGGGATTTGTTTGTCGAATCTCTCGTGGATGGAGGGGATGGTCGAGAAAGCGAGCAAGGCCGAGGGAAGTGGGAAGTCCATGGAAGCAGCCTGGAAGCTTCTTTGAGCTTCTTTGAAAAAGGCCGCTGCGCGGCGGGAGAACCGTGCCAAAGGCTCCTCGGCTCCTGGCCGAAGCCCCTTCGCCTTCCCTTCAAGAACCGTGCCAAAGCGAAAGCGAAAGCGAAAGCGAAAGCCGGCTTTTCTGGAGGTTCCAAGAGCCGAAATGGAGCGGGGACCAAGCAGTCCACCCGCGCCAGGCCCCGGGCCCAAGTCGTGAGATTCCTGCAGTTCGATAGGCCGAAAGAAAGCCTGCAAACTAGTTTTTCCTCGCACAGGCAAGGTCCCGCAAAGCAGGGCGGGTACGACGCAGGTGCCCTTAGGGGGGGGGGGGTCGCGGCTCACTATCCGAACAGAAGACTAAGCAAGCAAGACGGACGATGATGATGATGATGGCGATGATGAGGAGGAGGAGGAGGAGAAGGATGGCGACGATGATAACGATAACGATGATGATCAGAATGGTTTCCATGAGATAACGGTGACGACAAAGAGAACGAGGCCAATAGTGCTGCTGCTGCTGCTGCTGCTGCTGCTGCTGCTGCTGCTGCTCGTTATGATGCAGAGGAGGATGACAACGAACGGTGGCGACGGCCGTAGCGATGGCGATGGCGAGGTCTTTTGATGCTGAGGAAGAAGATGGCAATGATGGCGGACACACGGACATGACGAAGACAATGATAAGGGAGCGAGAGTGATGGCGATGACGACTTTGATGATGCTTCTGACCAGGCGGAGGATGGAAGCGAAGTAGTGGTTATAGTGATGGTGGTGGTGGTGGTGGCTGAAGGAAGATGATCATGATGATGACAATGGTAAGTTCAATAGCAACAAAGGATGTCGTCGTTGTTCCAAAACAAGGCACAATGCAGTGGCATGCCTTTCGACATTTGTACGAATCCTTGATTGGCAACGCCACGTCACTGACAACAATAGCCCGTGCAAAGTAAGAGGAGCTGGAATACCAACTTTTAAACTCATCAGATGCTGGTTCTTGGCTGGAGGTGGCACGAGCGGGGAAGCCCAGCGAGTTCACTGAGATTTCAAGGATCGCAAGGAGCTGCCAATGCCTGAGTCCAAGTTTTGTGAGTTTCTCGCCCATCGAGGTCCATCTATGTCTGTGGCTCAGATTTCTCAAGCGAAAACGCGTGGGACCCGCCCCCCCCTCACCAGTTGCTACTCAGGCCCCTTCCCGTTGGCAGTCTCGGGCTGAGCTCTCCGCAGGCACCGAGCCAGAGGAATCTGATGGCTTGTGGCTCTCAGGCACCCAGGGCGGCTGGCAGAGGCTTCCGCTTGTCCTTATAGGTCCCTGTCTTTCTTTCATCTTCTGCTCTGCTAGGACGCAGGCAGCACCATATGCCCCGCCGAAGCCTGAGGGGCAGAGGGCTGCGGTTTCACTTCTCCCATGGGACTCTGTGGGGAAAGAACATGCATGACCAGCATGAGAGATGGTAACATTTGCCACTCAAAGGTTAGGGGCAGAATGAAACGAAGCCTTTGGCTCTCGGGATCCCTTGCGTCGAGGGAGCAGATTTTTTTGACCGACTCTCTGCAAGGAATTCCGTAGCCGACGCCTCGCAGCGATTGCCTGGGTCTGCGGCCTACCTTGCCAGTCGCAATTAACTTTCAGCAACAGGAGATTGGATTTCGAGGCCTGGCTACATGATCTCCGTGCAGACTTCAGGCTCCTTCACAGAAAGACTGACGTATGCCTTATTTGTGATATTGCTGGCCCCAGGTTTCTAGGTTCCTGAGCCTTGTCCGGAGCGGTTTCTGTCTGAGGGCCCGGCCCCGCGGAGAACGTCAACTACGGCATTCCGAGCCGCCGGGCCCACAGAGTCCATGGAGTCCCGTGACACGACAACGGCAAAGCAGAAGAAGCGAGATCAGCGGTGATATTTAGGGCAATCGCGTTCTGCCCCGTGGTGCCAACGGACGGTCGCTATGAAGGTAGTCATGGTAGTGACTATTATTAATGGGTACCTCGACTCAACAACGATGTTGCCATAAACAGCAACACATTGCCAAAGCAGCCGTCATATAATGATCATCGTCATCGTCGTCATCATCGTAGCAGCGGCACCATGATGTTTACCATCGTCATCGTTGTTTTCATCATCCAAATCCATCATCAGTCAATCAGCAGTGAACCAGCCAATCAACCAAGTCAGCGAAAAAGCAAGCAACCAAGCAACCAAACAACCAAGCAACCAAGCAAGCGATCAAACACCCACCCACTTACCCACCCAACCAACCAAGCAAGCAAGTAAGCAAGCAATCAACCTCACCACCAGATCCATCATCATCGTCATCATTATCATCATCATCATCATCATCGTCAGCATCATCATCGCCACCAGCATCATCATCGTCATCAGGACAATTCATCACCGCTCACCATCACTGATCATCAGAGGTCGTCATCACCATTGTGGCTGTCACTATCATCTCGTTGGCCTCGTTGCTACATCGCTCATCGCCTCCATCATCATGCATCTCCACGACTTTTGTGCCTGAAATGGCCTCTAGGGCGGCCGTTGCCATTCGGGCTAAAGAGCTGCCCAGGCCCTGCGACCTTCGCGGGCATGGCCCTCGAGGATCTCAGTGGCTACCCTCAGGCCCCCAGCGTGCCTCGGAGTTCCTGCACCGGACCTCGAGAGTCTCTAGAGAGGAACTTGTGGGAAGTGTGTGTCTGCTTGCGCTGATGGAGTCGTTCTCTTTTTCACTTTTGAGGCACACCTCCCCTTCTGTCCTCTCTCTCTGTCTCTCTCTTTTGGATCGCTCGCTTCAGATGTCACAGTGACTTCAATGCGCTTGCAGGGGCACCCTGGGGCTCAGGGCCAGGTCGGCCATGCCATGCCGATGCACCAGGCGCCCCACGCGCCCCACGCGCCCCACGCGCACGGGGCGCCCTACCAGATGGGCCCATGCCCTCCCCATGCCATGGGCCCTGCCCCCCATCAGGGTTGCGGGACCTACATGCCTGCTGGCTGCCACCAGGGCCCTTGTGGGCCGGGACCCGGGCCGCAAGGCCCCTGCATTCAGATGCATCCCGGAATGGGTCCCCCGCAAGTCTCTTTTCAAGCGAGCTCCGGGAGGGCTCCAGCGCTCGAGCCTCAGATGGCCGCTACCGGAAGCCAGAAGCGAGTAAGACGAGCACCGGGAACCGAGGCGGCCGGTGCACTACGGGCCCCCGTCCGGAGGCCTTGCTGCTGCGAGTTTCTCGCTTCCACGGAGAGCTCAGTGCGAGATCGGTGGAGTTGGCGCAGGTGACCAGCAGGCAAAGGGCCTCAGAGATGTGGTGTCTGGCCCAGATCGTTCCGGCCCTCGAGCTGCCCAGGAGATGGCAATGGGGAATTTTGGGAGCCAGCCGAATCCCAAGGAAGAGAAATCCGCCCACAAAAGGTTTGGGAGTGCGGCTCTTCTCTTTTTTGCAAATTCCTCACCGAGGCCCGGAAACCCAAACCACCACCCGGCGGCGACCGGCCACGGCCCGCCGGGGCGAGGCCGCGGGCCGCCGGGCTCCCGCGAGGCCCGGGCCCCGAGGGGCTCCAAGCGGAAATATCGAAGGCTTTTCAGAAATGCTGAAAGAAAGTCTAAGTCTAAGTCTTTCGCTGTCGAAAGCTGCAGGGTTTGTGGGGGATGCTCGTCTTCGCGGGGGGAATTCTAGCGGAGGCTTCTCGATCAGGTTTTATGTTGGGTCTGCTCTGCCTCGCGCTTCCTGAGGATGACTTTCGAGAGTGGTCGCCCGGACAGGCGCCCACGTCCGTTGTTTGGGCCTTCACTGACTTCACTGATTTCGCGGCTTTCATTTCAGGACGACTTCTTCGCCCACCTCATGCGGTGAGCTGCCGCCCGAGCTCTTACGAGTATCAGATTCCGTGCTAGCTTTGCTGACCTTCGTGCTTCCAGCGCCAGGCCGTCAATGACAGGCCTGCGCACCGCCCGAACTCTTAGGCTTCCCTTCTCGTAAAAGACGATGGTGACTATGACTATGGCTGTAATCCACAAAGCCTGATAGCCTGATTGTGGCCCCTGGACGCATGGTCTCAGCCTTTGGGAGGCCTTTTCCTTGTGAGAAGGAGCTGAGGAACTGAGCTCGACGGCCGGTTTAGGGCCTTTAGGGCTTAGGGTTTTGGGAGCTTACGCTTTAGGTGCAGGGGTCCCTAACCCAACTCCTTAGGACCTAGTCCTAGACATGACATACAGGCGGGTTGTAAGGTTTACTGGAAAGTGCGGGCCGGCCGCCTCGCTTGGTAGCAAACGCGCCATGCCTGAAGATTCCGAGCTTCGGCATACCCTCGTTGCCGTGACGTTCTTACCAAGAAGGAATGGCACTGCTTTATAACCTCATCAGAAGGGAGGTCTGGGATGTTTCCAGAAGGGTTGCAAGCGTTTTTTCTGACAGTTCGACCGGCTACGGACGTTAACACGTTAATCCGGCGATGCAGCCTGCATCGTGTCATAGCCCAGCTGCGGCGAAGCGCACTGCAGCAGATAATGGAAGCCCGAAACAGCGGAGAGAGGTGGGCAGCACGGCAGCACGGCAGCACTGCGCAAGTGCAAGTGCTGCAAGCGGGCGCGAGCACGTCGCAGCCGACTCTGACACGCTCTCTCCGGGCTCTGACCGTTTTTGTCCAAGGTAGGAGATACGTAGGGATAGCATGGGGCCGCTAGTGGCCACCGTCGGGAGCCCAGGTTTCGGAACTCTGCGAGCTTCGCCTCGCTTCGCCTCGCTTCGCCTCGCTTCGCCGCCCCGAGGCTCGATGAGCTCTGGGAGCTCCCATGCTCGATAACTTGGGCAACCGTCCCGCTCCCGGCCTCACTTGGACTTTGCTATGTCGTTGATGTGTCTATGTATGGTTCAACGGTCGTTCTGTACCAAGGCTGGTCCTTTGGTTCTCTCGGCTCACTTCCCTCTGTCTGTCTGTCTGCCTGTCTGCAGCTCTCTCCTCTGTGTATACATGTATATGAATTTGTATATGTACGTGTAGGTGTAGATGTAGATCGACGTAGGTTTTTGCATGACTTTAGTCTTTCTGACTGCAGGTGCCCTCATCACCTACCTTTCTACATGTCCCTACCAACCTCCCGCCCTCCCTTTGTTCCTTCCTTCCTACCAGCCTGGCTGCATGCATGCATGCATGCACACTGTCCATACGTACCCAACAACTCACGTACATGCTTGCAGAGTTTCATACATGCATGCATCTGCATGGGTGTATGCATGAGTGCATGCATGCATCTTGCATGCCTGGACACATGCATGCATGCGTACGTACAGACAAAAGCTCGATCAGGGATTTCGGACACCATCCATGGTGTTACGGTGGCGGGGTCGTCCAATGTGCATGTGAGCTATGCCACACTCACCACATGCATGAAAAGCTTGTTTGGAGATGTTGGACACCATTCATCCTGTTACGGTCATGATGTCGTCCAATGTATATGTGAGCTATTCCACGCCCACATACATCACAAGTTAAGCTCGTTTGGAGATATTTGAGACCATTAATTAATGGTGTTACCATCGTGGGGTAGTCCAATGTATATGTGAGTTATGCCACACTTACCACATGCATCACCATTCATGGTGTTACGGTCGTGGCGTCGTCCAATGTGAGCTATTCCACACTCACCGCATGAATCACAAGCTCGTTTGGAGATTTTGGGCACCATTCATGGTGTCACGGCCGCGGGGTCATTCGATGTATATGTGAGCTATCCCTCACTCGCCACATGCATCAACAGCTCGATTGGGAATTTTTTGGACCACATTACATTCATGGTGTTTACGGTCGTGGGGTCGTCCAATGTATATGTGAGCTATTCCACACTCACCACATGCACTCACCACATGCATCAAAAGCTCGTTTGGCGATTTTGGGCACCATTCATGGTGTTACGGTCGTGGGTTTGTCCAATGTATATGTGAGCTATTCCACATCTCGCCACATGTCGCAAAAGCTCGTTCGGAGGTTTTGGACAAGCATACACCGCGCACACACACAGACACAAACACACACACAAACACACACAAACACACACACACACAGACACACACAGACACACACACACAGACACACACACACACACACAGACACACACACACACACACAGACACACACACAGACACACACACACACACACAGACACACACACAGACACACACACAGACACAACACACACACACACACGACACACACACACACACACACACACACACACAGACACACACACACACACACACACACACACACAGACACACACACACACACACACACACACACACACACACACACACGACACACACACACACACACACACACAGACACACACACACAGACACAGACACACACACACACAGAGACACACACACACAGACACACACACAGACACAGACACACACACACACACACACACACACACACACACACACACACACAGACACACACACACAGACACACACACACACACACAGACACACACACAGACACACACACAGACACACACACACACACACACACACACGACACACACACACACACAGGACACACACAGACACACACACACACACACACACACACACACACACACAGACACACACACACACACACACACACAGACACACACACACAGACACACACACACACACACAGACACACACACAGACACCACACACAGACACCACACACAGACACACACACAGACACCACACACAGACACCACACACAGACAGCACACACAGACACCACACACAGACACCACACACAGACACCACATACAGACACCACACACAGACACCACACACAGACACCACACACAGACACCACACACAGACACACACACACACACACACACACACACACACACACACACACACACACACACACACACACACACACACACACACACCCGCGCACACACACACACACACGGACACGGACACACACGGACATACACACATGCATGCATGCAAGCAAGCATGCATCCATGCATCCATTCATCCTCCCAGCCAGCCAGCTAGCCAAGCCAGCCAGACAGCCAGCCATCCATCCATCCATCCATCCATCCATGCGTGCAAATTCACAAAATTTATTCCCAAAGGTACTCGTATCTTTTCAGTTTTTGAATGTTTTCATATGTACATATGCGCAATATTGCCGGCATCACCCCAAGATAGAAATACCATAGCAAAGCTTGTCGCACAGGCGCATATATATATATATATACATATACATATATACATATATATATATATATATACACACATACATACACACGAATGTGCGTGTGTATCTATCTGTATATACATATGTGTACATATATATATATATATGTACATATATATATATATATATATATATGCGAATACATGATGAGTCTCAGATATGTGTAAACACCGACGGGTTCCACTGAGTCTAATAACAAATGTTGCGCACATGCTACAATGCAGGAGTGTTCTTCTGTAGAAATGTAACCAAAATTTCCACATGTACAACATTCTCAGTATTGCCCGAAGACAGCTCGGCAGATGCACAGTATGTACAAGTATACAAACACAACATTTGCTACAGTTAGGAGAATATATGTAGTTATGCGAGTTTACGGCTGTCGTTGCAAATCTGTTGATGTTTGCTTGTAGAATGCAGTGTGGATTCTATATTTCCAAATGATGAGCTTTTGTAATGTTGAGTTGTGTATCTGAAAGCTTTTCAGGTATATGTTACGATAACAACAGGCCATATGACCATATGCATAAAATTTAGCACAGGAATAATCCTGTCTTGCCGGTGATGCCTTGTTGCTGCTGCTGTGTTAAGCCTGCTAGGCCTGTGCAAACCGAGCAAAGTAAGCAATACTAACACGATACAGAAGCGAAGTCCAATACACGGCCCGGTCAAGAGGTGGCGAAGTTTGAACACGTGACATATCATTGAAGCGGTGTCACAGTTGTAGGGTTGTAGCACGAATCGAGGTCGAACCATGTTATGTGTGGCAACATGATGTCTGAACCTGGCACCGCTTTTCGGGCGTAAAAGTCTTGCCGAGAGAGCTTTCGTTGGAGTCCAAGGCGGAGTTGCCGCCACAATCCGGGAAACGAAGAAAAGGCCCAAGCCCGTTCAACACAAAAGCTTTCCGCACATGATGCAAAGCGGAGCCAGCAAGAAATTGAAAGTCAAACCCAAAACCAAGGATGACAGAGACGCCCAGCTAAACAAACAAACCGAAGCAATCAAACAAAAGGACACAAGCGACCTCGTGGGACAAAGCAAATCGGGGGACCACAAAAATGTACCCTCAAGGCCTTACTGGTTGTTTTAAGGTTCCGGGACTTTGCCTTGGTGTTGCCCGGCTTTCTGCCGAATTTTCAACCAGGGCCGTCAATGACCCTGCGACAAATGTATGCGTGCGCTTGGCCGACGCTGTGGGAGTAGACGTGAGGCGCCAGGCGCTATCGGAAACGGAGGTCCCGTTGCATGTGTTATCGGGCCCATGAAGACAGCAGACTTTATCTTCAGCAGTATTACGTCCGGTGATGTGCCGCTTGCCTGAGCAGCTTTACGGAAGCTGGTCTGCGACAAAAGCAGGCAAGTTGGGAAAGCCACTTTTGGATGCTGGGGGTGATGTTATGGACCAGGCCAAAATGTGGCAACTGACGCTACGAACGTGGCTTGGCACTGGAGGAGGAGTTTCCGTCAAAACAGACCTGTGCAACGCTCGCTCTGACGTGCTACGACGATTCCAGCTCGGTCCAAGCCATGGAAATTGTTGTCCAGTTTGCAATGTGCACACCGATTATGGCAGTCTGGCAATCATGTCTTTACGTTCCTTTGTAGTGACCGTCGCGAAAAGGGGCTACGGCTTCGCCAAGACAAGTCCCTAATGTTGAAGGCATGGCACGCGCGGTTCCATTTTTGACTGTTGCGTCCAGTGCATGACATTGAAGGCTTTAGACAACTAGTTGTGAATGAAGTCTTGAGCTACTTGGGTGACCTGGGTGTTTCCAGGCATGACCGATTTCACACGATGGCGTTTGAATTCATACCTGTTTTCGCGCGGACGCGAAGAGCGGCGCGTCCGTTTTCTTTGGACGCGGGCGACAGCTTCTGCAACTGTCGACGAGCTTGCCACCACGCATCCAGCAGTGTGTGTGACAAAGTTCTTCCCAAAGGTTGAGCCTGGAGCTGCTGCGGTAAATGTGAAAATTTTCCTTAGCTACAATCCGCACATGTTGCAATGTGGTTTAACAGCTGCGCCTGCTGAGTGAAGCCTCGAAGGACAACACGACCGTCTGTGCACGGTTTGATTTGATGGGACAGTCGCAGAGCTTGAGGCAGTGTCGCGCAAACATTTGAGGACACCGTGGTAGAGGCGGCCTCAAAGTTAAATGGCCCTGTGTGCCCGACCTGTCGCTGTCATACCACGTTTGATCCTCAACTTCAAACACGAAGATTCTAAACCCTAAACGCTAAGCTGTGTGAGCCAAGGTTCAGGCTCTGTGCGCCATGGGCCACACGGCATGGGAAGCTGTGAAGCGATTGCCAGTGCCGGCGGGCTTCATCTTTGAAAGCTCTTCGGGCAGACTTCGGCCAAAAAGGCAAACAGTCGTCCTGCAAAAACTTTGACAGGAACTTGGTGACCTGTGCAGGTGCGCCTGAGAAAGTAAGCCGGTGCGCCTGGGAAAGTAAGCCGGGCTGAAGCTTGAATCGGCTCAAGCGTCAACATGCGAGGCTGTGTGCTTGATGTAGTTCGCGTTGATGTTCACGTGTTTCCCGATCGTTGCACATATGTCCGCATGTGCGCACTTGAACAGTTGTTCCTCGTGCTCTAACATCCAGGCGTCGGAGCAGACGTGGCCATGAGCTTCCTCCCCGGCCTGCTTAGTAACAGTCACGGGTGGACTAGGGCGTTTGTGTTTGCTCAGATATTCCAGATATTCACATAAGAAATATGGGTTCGTGTTTGTAGCATAGATTGTACAGCTAGAATTCACTGTCTGTGGATTTCTGGCCCATTGCCAGACGAGGCGATTTCAAAAGAAAAAAGCATAAACCTGACCGTAAACCCTAAGCCTCACCGTAACTGGGAAGCACCTTAAACCCCAAAGTTGAATCGCTCACGACCGCTGGCTTTCCTTTCAATCACATGGCCAGAGTGTAAAGTACTTCAACGAAGCATGTTCTTTTGCGAATATCAAGGAACAGGCATAGTGATCTTCGAAAAGATGTCAAATAATTTTGGGTGGCGCAACCCCTTGCACAATTTTTTGGAAACACTCTACGTTAAATGGTACCGAAATGTATCTATATTTTAACGCTACGCCGCCCGCCTCGAGTCTTCAGCGGCAGGGCGAGGGGGCAGTCGATGTTGTATACATGCTAGGGGGGCCTCTCAACCCCAACCTTTACACGGTTGTTGATAACCAAGTGCGGAAACGCCATCTTCCCGCCTGAGGGGGGTGACGGGGGGAAGGGGGGGGGGAGGGGAGGGGGGGGCGGGGTCCTGGGAGGGAGGGGGGAGGCCGACAAATCAGGTAAAATGAAGGGAAGCCGCACAAGGAAGTTGCAAACGAACGCCAAAAACAGGGTGTCTCCAATCCTCGGACAGGAGGATTGGGTGGAGGGTACCTGAGGTAACCCCCAAGACGCCTGGGCCTGTGGCCTCGGCGGATAATCTGAAAACACCAACGAGCAGTCGGAGGCATTCCAACAGGCACACAAAAATTCAAAAGCATAAGAAAACGTGTGGAAATGCACACAAAACATGCACGTGTGTTTGTTGCCGATATTGTGTCGGATGCTGTGGCGCATGGGTGTACCCTTCTGATTCTGTGTGTGCTTCGCACTGCTTGTGCCAGCAGCAGCGATTTGCTTGCGCTTGTGATGCAGGTTTGTTGCCGATATACTAGCAAATAATGCGACCCATGAGCCCTTCTGGTTTGCTTGCTTGCGGTATGGCACACCCAGACACCGGCAGCAAAACCATGCATGAAACACCGAAACCAAGAAACAGTTATTTTTCAACACGCAGAACTACAAAACCATCGTCATATTGCAAAAAACAATAAGCGAAGCTACGGCCACCAAACAACAGACAACAACAATCGACAGCCAAAACAACCAAAACGGAACAGGTCATGTTCAACAAAGCGGATGGGATTTTTGCATTTTTAGGTTCTTGATTGGTTATGTTTCCGTTGTCTATCATGTGTGATTGTTTTTTTGCGTCGTTTTTTGTTGTGTTCCATATTCCAATCTGGCACATTGAGCCCGCATATTGTTGGTGTTCAAAGAGCGGATTTGTTGTCCTTGCCCGATGGCTCTCGGAGCATATGTTTTGGCTACATGGTACAGTAAACTATATATATATATGTGTAGACAATATGTACGTATGTATTGGTATATATATATATATATGTGTACACACACATACATCTACATATACATGTTACGGAAATCTGGTAAGTGTCGGTGTATTCGTATGTGTATATGTCAATGTGTGTGCTGCATATGTATATTTTTGTATGTATGTATGTATATGCATATGCATACGTGTGCTTCATGGTTGTTTCCAAGAATGGGGTGCTCGAAGCTTAAGTAACAAGGCACGTTGCTACAAGCGTTCTTGGTTGCCAGCTTGAAGAAAGCATTCGGTTCTCATGTGCAGGGGTTTAGGCTTTTCATTCATGGTGCTACGGTCATGGGGTCGTCCAATGTGTACGTGAACTATTCCACACTCACCATATGCATTAACAGCTCGTTTTGAAAGTTTGGACACCACTCATAGTGTTACGGTCGTGGGGTCGTCCTATGTATATGTGAGGTAGTCCACACTCACCACATACGTCACAAGCTCGTTTGGAAATTTTGGACACCATGACGTACCAGCATACAAACCTGCATAGGCATAGTTACACGGTTACATAGTCCTATGTTTACGCACTGACATTAGTACATAACCACACCAATGGATGGTACAGTACATTATCTACATTAGCATTGCGCTACATACATACAGTCTTGCGTCACGATGCTAAGTAAACTGGCATCTTCAAGGCACATGCTGGTAATTGGCACCCGGCAAAGAACTCTCTGGAGCACGGATTTGGCGAGCACCGGCAACAACACTGGATGCCGAGTAGAATAAACCGATAAAGATGAGGCCCACCCTGCGTGTCCGACAGAAGCGGCGGGCATTCCTTGAATCGCCAAGATCAAAAGCGCCTTTAAGGCAAGCATGCCGCAAGTGGTCGTTCATGAATCATAGAAGCGGCGGTACACCCCAAAGCCAGCAAAAGGATCATGACACTACAGTACAAAACATCAGAATATGATGGCAGCGCACATTGATACGTACACATGCATACCTACAGACATACGTACATACATACGCACCTACACAGATACACGCATACCTACACATGCAAACATGCAGACACTTACACACAGGCAAATGTATAAACGAAGGTTCATAGGCAGATCAACAAAAGCAGATCAACACATCAACGAAATACGGGATATGACATGCGTAAATTGCGTATGTCTGTGGGCATATGCACGAATATTGCGTATATATAGAGCTACGAAGTTCTGCATCTAGCCATCTTTCCCTCTGTCCGTGCCAGTGTCTGTCTGTCTGTCCGTCCGTCTGTGTCGCTGCTAGCCAGCCATCCATCTAGCCAGCCAGCCGGCCAGCCAGCCAGCCAGTATCTTCGCGTGCATATACACATGCTGGTGTAGGTTTCTTTCCAGGCTTCATCTTTCCAGCGCCCCAGCCTTCCTATGGAGCACAGTCGTACAAGAGGACGGGGCTCTCATCAACGTGTGCTTGGGGTTCCGGGATGTTCCGGGTTCGAAGGTTGCCCTGCTCGATGCAGGTTCGGAGTTCAACGCCTGATCTTTTCTGTTCCAAGCGTTCCATCTCGTGCTGTCGAGTTGCAGCCCCGGCTCCACGAGGAATTTGTGTTGGATCCCTTGGAACAGCGTCGGCCACCGAAAGGGTTCAGGAAGGAGTCCTGCTTGGCATGATTCTATACAGTGCTAGGGCTCAGCGTGATGGAGTTCCCATAACGACGACGATTGCTGTGATAAAATTGGTGACGATCGCGGGCGAGAGCTGTACCGGTACCGGTTTAGTCAGGACCATGACTACATGTAGTCTAACGATCATGTCTGATGATGCCGCTGACACGCTGGCTGTTGCTTGTGTTGTTGATGCAGCTTCCACGAGCCGTGTGTCTTTGGATTCCGAGGTCATCTCGCCCAAGCGCGTCGGGGAGGAGAATGCCAGTGGCATTCCCTGCCTGTGGCCATGGACCCGGTGCACTGGTGCCATCGCGCACCTCTCGTGACTTCGCTCCATCTGCATCCCTCTCTTTCTGAGAAGTCTCTTACCCTCTCTTCTTGGCTTTAAGGTTCCCGGCGCCCAAGGCGGAAAGCTTGGCTCTCCTTGGATTGGCCCTTTTAGACGTCTCCCCGAAGCTCCGCAGGCAGCCACGGTGATCCTCTTCTTTCATGCCAATGCGGAGGTGCCTCGAGTCAGAAGGCTTTGCTGTTGTCGGACCCCTTCCTCTGCCCAGGACCTGGGAATGTCCTTCGCGGTGCTCCGTCACATCAGGGATCAGTTCAAGGCCGCGTTCTTCTCAGTCCTCCCCGAGTTTTCGGACCCCCCCCCCGCTGCGCCGGAGGTGAACGTCCTGGCCGTGGAGTGAGCCCAAAGATTCGCAGTCTGCAGGTACTTTTTGGCGTGACGACCATCGTCACGACTCACTGTTTAACTTGGTGTGTGTGTGTGTGTGTAGCAGGAACTTATGCCAAGAGTCATTCATCCCAAGTCTTGTTCGGATTATCCTCCGGCTCGCCGGAGATGCCATGAGTATCAGAAGGGCAGTGATCGTGATAGAGGTCGCAGCATGTATGAACCCCGTCGCACCCTACTGCCAGGTACCCCGGCTATGGACTGCTTCACCACATGGAGCCCTCCGAGGTGCTTCGAAGCTTCTTAGGCGATTCAGGGTACGAGCCGTAGATTCGTGAAGTTCTCCATGTCCCTCAGCAGAGCGGAAGATCTGACTCTTCTTTTCTCCCAGCAGATCCTGCTTGCATGAAGTCATGTCTGCTCTGAGCTTCAAAGGATGCCGTTTACGAGGTCGCCCTGGGCTCAGAGATTGTCGGAGACGCGTAGTCTTCAATTTGGGGTCCGGGAGTTCCGGGTTTTAGAGATGTCTTGGTTCCGGGCCCAGGCGCTGACCGCCTTCCGTTTCCTGGTGGACGAGATCGGAGTGAGATACTCCCAGATCATCCTGTCCGGATCCCCGGCTTCTTTCTTCCCTCCACTGGGCCTCCAGTGACATCTTTGCTCTCCTATGATTTGTGTGCTACAGACTCACGTTCGCGGGGAGATCCGTGTGTGTGCAACGGGAGCAGACCCCGATTTGCATCGACTTGTCCCGTGGGCGTGCCCCTTTTCTCGGGACACACCCTAGCCCTAGACTCCTAGACTCTAGCTTGGCTTCAACGGGGCTGCCCACGCTGATCTCCCAGATGCCGTGCAGTCGAAACAGACTTTGTGACTTCTTCAAAATCCCAGAACGAAAGTCCCTAAACAACAGGGAAACCCTAAACTCTACAGGGAGTATTTTCTATGGACCGCAGCCTTTAGTCTCGCCCTAAGCGCGGCCTGAGGTTTGGGAGATCCCTTGGCAGTGGACCAGCAGTCTTCCTGGCTGCCCAATACCCGGTGGGAGGCCCGCAGGAACCCAGCAGCAGGGCCGAAGATACAGCATCTCTATGTACAGGTAACATGTGCAAAGATGTGTGTACTGCATACACACATCACCTACCTGTATTATGGTCAAGTACAGTGGAATAGAACCTGTAGGGGGCCTATAGTATAGCCCTTTGTTGTAAATCTCATCTTGACCGTCAGGCCTGATTTTGGTTTCGGCTTTCTCCTCCATCAAGGCCGCGGTACAGAGTATCGTGGGGTCGCTGCCTCAACGGTGGAATGCAGCTGCTAGTATTACATGTCCCAGCAGGAGGTGTCTCTCTTGCAGGTCATGTTGTCTTAAAGCAACACAAAGAAAACCTATTCCCTCTGCGTTGCATGCGTTGCTATGGTACCGCGGAGCACGCGACATGCCATCGCTTCGCCTAGATCATAACTTGACATTTCTTCTGTCGGAGCTCTTTCGCCTCGGTTCCTGTCAGGACCATCATAGGCCAGTATATCTTAGTAATTGCACAGCCTGCGACGAAAACACGTTGAGGCGCGTGGTCGCGTGGACCTTTGCGGAGCGCTTCCCAAATGGCGGCTCGTCGGCGCAAGGGAGCTCGGGAGCTCATGTGCAGGAGGACTCTACGTAGGTACGTGCTCTCTAACTCATCATCGTAGCTATGTGTTTTTTTGGTAGGGCTTCTTCTCTTGGTTCAGCCTCAGCCTGGTTTCAGCTACCGCTGTTCTTGCTGATCCCAGCTTGAAGGGTGTTGCCTGAATGGGGGGGAGGGCGGAAGGCGCAGGGCGGCGGTAGCTCTTGCATCACGGCGGCGAGTGCCTCTACGACCACCACTGCCAATACTACGCCCACGACCATCTGAGGTCGGATCATCGCGAACGTGTGGCTGGACCTGACTTGGTTCGTTCATTCTGCGTACAGTGCGCTCACCATCAACAGAGATTTTTCATGCTTGGCCAAACAAGGCTTTGCACGGGGTCTGTATTCTCTTAATTAGAGGATATGTCTGCAGGGACCTACTAGTATTCTCGTATTCTTGGGGGCCGCCTGGCGCCGAATCCAGGTCCTGCTCTACGCTCTTCATCCACGGGGAGTCCGACAGCCAGGATCCTCGGCCGGCGGAGGGACGATGCGGGCGCCCGCATCCTCGTTGAGCGTCACCATCGCTGCTGAAGATGATGACGATGACGATGAGGATGAAGCTGGTGGTCGTGGTCGGTCGTTGTCATCCTCGTCGTCCGTCATCGTCGACGTTTCCTCGACTTGCGCGTCATCTCATGAGGTTTGATCCCAGCAGAGCACTCGCTGCGACTCTTCAAGCGCTGCCGGGCACCCACACAGAGTACCGTAGGGGGGGCACAGGAGTCGCTGCTGGCACACCTGGCACAATGCACTACGACCTCACCGTCGAGCTAGGGCATGAGTTCAAAAGCCCCAGGTCGTGCACGCAAGCTTTTAGTCACGCCGCCGAAGATGGAGCATAATTCGAATCTCTTCGGCTCGGGACTTGGCCAGAGCTCGAAGTGATATCCCTCTCAGACCGGTCCGGTGGTGATGGCACGAAATCCGAGGTGATGCATCGTTCCTGGCAGTGCCAGCAATCCACTTCTTCGGATTTCCCGGTGCCTCGTCTAGTCTCCTGGGAAGGCGGAGGGTCTTTGCCTTTCTGGCCAGGCTACTACACAGCTTCTCCGCCCGGAGCTCGGCTGACTCGGCTTCCGCGCGCCGCGGCACATCTCTCTCTCTCTCTCTCGCAGGCCTCGGTTACAGGCGCATCTCTTTGAAGATCCCGCCAAGAGAGCGCCGCGGCCTTGGACTTTTGCTTTGCTGTGCTCTGGTGCGGTGGCCCTTTTGGCCCTTCGAGGCGGCTACTCAAAGAGAAGAACAAGCAGGCGACCTGCCAGTGACCTGCCCCCTGCCACTGCTGCCTCAAGCGCCTGCGCCCGCGGCATCCCGCGGCACCTGCAGGAGCCCCTTTCCTCGCTGACAAAGCCTTCCTGGCTTTGCGCAGGGCTCCCCAGAGCTTGCCAGTGAGCTTGCCAGTGCTTGTGCGTGTGTAATCAGGAGAACGTTCTTTTTTACATCTCCTGAGGACTGCTTGGCCAAGGGCGATGCTCAGCACCTGGATGCCCGGATGCCTGTGCAAGCTCTCTGTACTGCTGCACTGCTACGCGCCGCAGCACTCTGCAGTGGGGCAGAAGCGGCCGAGGTGACCTTCTGCAGACAGGAAAATTCTGTCGAGGACAGGCCTTCCTTGGCTTAGCCTGCATGGCAACAGAAGCACAAATCTCGGAAGATGCGCTCACCCGCGTGAGAGGATATCACCATCCGCTTTCACGAGCCTGGGCCTGGGCAGTACTGAATCGCTGCTCTTGACATGGGTCCTTCCACGCGGGCCCCCCCCGGCCCCGGCCGCCGAGGGCCTCCGCTCCGGGGGATCCGAGTCAGATCAAAGGCTCCCAAAGGGCTCGGGCCGGAGGGAGGGGGCGGTGCTTGGACCGCTTGGACTTGGAGATGAGTTGCTCGATGAGATTCGTGCTATGAGATCTATGAGTTGCGAGATGAGCTCTGAGCCATGTTCTACACCAGGAGACCTCGGGGACCTGCAGCCATCGGATGAGCCGCCGGCGAGCGAGAAGGCGGGGCTCCAAGAAGGTCGGGGAGCACGGAGCATGTGCTTGGGACAAGTCCCAAGGCACCGCTGAAGCCGCAAAGTCATCCTGACAGATGCCTGGCTGCATCACTGCATCACTTCCCGTCGGAGCTGCGGCTCATCCTCAAAGCAGCAAAGGTGCCGCAGACAAGGAGAACGACAAGGCGCGAACGCGAACGGGGTCGTCGATCGATTCAGGCAAAGGCGACAAAGAGCAGTCAGCACTGCTTTTCCTCGAAAGGACGCCGCGCTCTTCCAACAGGAGCGACAGGAGAGGGAGGAGCGTGACGGCGCCGACCCCGGGGACAAGTCAAGTAGCGTACGTTTGTTTTGTTATAGCCACCATAATCGCACCCCGAAGTCTCTAAGTGATCAACGGAGCGACTTGCAATATGGTTCAGCTTTTTGTCTTGCCTCTTGAGTTCGTTTTCAAGCAGCTCTTGGTGTAAAGAAGCAAATTTAACTGTATACGAGCCGGATAAGCTGAAAGATAACGTTCCCACTTCTCCACACTTCCAGGATACAGTCATTCACCATTTACCCGAATTACTCATTCTGCAAGAGAAGGGTTCAAGACTTTGAAGAGTTTATGACTGGCACCACTAGTTTTCATCACCCAAACGCCTTTTCTTCTTCAGAAATCTTGTTGCCTATGCATGATTGCAGTGCCAGAAGCTTTGGACGTGGTCGGCCCCGGACACACCAAAATGTAGTGGGACCCTGTACACATCGAGATCCCTGATCCAGGCCCCACATCAGGCCTTCCCAGGCTCATCAACCCTGCGCGCCCCCGAACTCAAGAAACGACTTCAGAAGGAGAGACCCTCAGCTCCTGAACGCTGGTGCGGAGCGGAGCGGAGAGAAAGGGAGCAACGCGCAGAGTTTCCGCTCCTGCTCGTACCTAGGCCTCGCGGAGTTGAAGGTGGCCGAGGACATCCCCCTGGGGCCCGAGCCGCGTCCAGGGGCCCAGAGACGCATTTAGGGCCTTAGGGCTCCAGGGCTTTTTGGGGCTACATGTCGCACTGCAGGGAAAGGGCTTTCGGGCTTAGGGGAGCCTCTCTTCTGTTCCTTCCGCGGCTAGGCTCACCGGCACCGGAGGACGGGAGCCACGTCGTGATGTCCTATGCCACGTGAATGCTCGAAGCAATTGGGGTTGGCGCCGGGCAATCCTATTTACGATGTGACATATCGACCCCGTTTGGTTTATAAAGATTTTGGAAAATCTGCCTGGCGCCAGACGGCTCGCAGAGAGCTGGCCACGGGCGCAGGGCCGGGAACCACTGGCTCGACTCCGGCGCCCAAGAGCAAAGGGGGAGCTTCGCTCTCTCCGCGTAATCCGGGGGCCTATCCACTCCCTCAGTGTCACCCGTCCGAGGATAGATAGTGTGGCATCGTAGCGGTCGCAGCGCTTGCGAAAGCAAGTTTGTGGGCATCTGCGGAGCCAGCAAGTGCTTGAAGTTTGAAGTGTAGTGTAGAAGACGTTCAACTTCGTCTGCTCCGAGATTTGCCCGCGACGGCCGTAGCCAATGCCGTGTGGAGTAGAAATCCGGCAGTGTTCTTCAGCCCGTTGAGCTCATTCTCGTTGATGGCGAGTTGGGTTCTGAGCCTTGGGGCACATCGGCTCGTAACACCTGCAGTCAGCATGTGGATGCCTTATCATTTCGGGGCTCAAGATATGTCTGAAATAATTGTCCTCGATCTCGTACAACAGATCAATCAGCATCAATACACATACATCCTCTTTGAGCAGAAAGGCTACAACATGTCTACGAACATGTACCAAACAAAATCAAGGTTTGCGAGGCAGGCCCTTCGTCTTTCATCCTGTCCCTGATGCTCTACACTTTGTTAGCCGCACATCTCTTCGCACCAGCCTCCGCCGGAGAGTGCGACGTCAGCGAATTGGAGCAGTTTTTGAAAGGGTCCCTCAATGTGAGATAGCGGATCTCAATGCAGGCCTGTGTGTGGGGAACAACAAGTGCCACAAGTGCAACCTCACCGAGAACGTGTTGCCTACCAATGCTACTGGTTTCCCTGATGGCAAGCTTCTTTGCGCCGGTAGCGATGGAACCACGTGCTCCCTGATCGACAGCACCAGCCAGATTATCTTCAAGAACTTCAACGACTACCTGGAATGCGCAGGCCAATATGTTTGCTCGGACTTCTGGAACGTGCAGAATGCTGGTGCCGCCTGCTGCTTATCTTCTCAATCTCCTGGGTCAACTCAAGAAGGCGCTTGCACGGGTGCCCAGATCTCCTTGAACCCTGACAGCGCCTGCAGGAACGACGTGTGCTGTGTGGGAGAGGACGCGTGCCTTCAGGCCACCCTCGAAGGCCTCAAGAGCATCAACTGCACAGGATCCGACACTTGCTATCAAGCCGTCGTGAGCCTATCCAGGGACATCGTTTGCACCAGTGCCAGCACGCCTGGCAATGCCGATGCCTGCACCTATGCCGAGTTCACCCTTACCAAAGGTGGCGACCATGTTGTGAAATGCCTTGGATCGGGTGTCTGCTATCAGGCGCAGTTCGACTTTGCTGCTAATTCCACGATCTCCTTCGAGTGCGACGCCAATATAAATCCGTACCCCTGTTTCGAAACCAACGTTACCCTTCGTGGTGGTTCTTGCCTGTTTCTGCAGTGCCAGGACGGGTAGCCTTGATTCTGTGCAGTTTTGGGCTTTGGATTTTGGGCTTTGGATTCAGCCCGGTTCTGAGAAGTTGAATTCATACATGCGTCTTCGTGATTTGTCAGGCAGATATTGGTCGGTATCGCTTTGTTCGACTTATCTCTTAACAATATCTGTGGGGGTTTCGCAGGCGTGTGTACCGTTTTAGAATATCTCTTGTGTGTACGCCCGTCTGCACGACTCGCGGAAGGACTCGAATGCCTGCGACGGGTTTGTCGTGAGCAAGGGGGTGAGTGACCTATGCTACTTCTCGGGAACTGGAGCCGTGCCGGCGGGCTGCAATGCGACCAACGAGACGAAGCCGTGTGGCAACATCGATCCCGATGAGATCTGTTGTACCGGTGCTCGTCGCTGCGCCGACTGCTGCCCAAGAGCCACTACCACCACCACCACCACCACCACCACGACCACGACCACGACCACTATTGCGACCAGAACCACCACCACTACCCGGACGACACCTCACACCTACTACAACAACTACTACTCTCGGTATCGCGCACGGCACAGGAACCGTCGCCACCGTCGCCACCGGCGCCGGAACCGGCGTCAGAACAGCGGTCAACGGCACTACAGCTTGTGACAGCGGGCGTTGTCTTTTGCAAGAACTGACCAGTTCTTTCGGCATGGGGACCTCTGTCCTTTTGCCCAATTCAAGCCTGTGAGTGCGCATGAGACACTGTTGAGAAGCTTATTCTGAGCTCAGCCGCGCGCCGACTCCCAATTACAGTCCCAATGAGGTTGAAGAATGATAGCCGCCCTTCATGCTTGCTTGCCTGTCCGCACTGGAAAAACCCTTAAACCCCAACGCAGCAGCGGCAGCACCATTGATTCACCGGCAAACTTCGGCTCAAGGCTGAAGACAGCAAGCAGATGAAGGATACTGGTCACGCTTCTGCTGGAAGACGTAGCCGATATCTGATCTTCTGGAGACTCTGCCTTCCAAAACCCCCCGAAAAGCGCCGGCCTTCAAAAAGCAAAGAGAAAGCGGCCCAGAGGCTCAGAGCCGCATGCGCCCCCGAATTCCCCCCGAAAGCGAAGCCGGGTCCCTGGGTCCGTACTGGGTCCGTAGACGATGCTCCGCTGATCTGGCGAGGAGGCCATGGAGGCGCCCTCCGAAGGACGAGGCCGGAATTTTTTAAAGGACTTGGGAGAGGCGGCTTTACGGGGGCCGAGGGTGGAGAGGGGCCTTGCCCGGAGTTCTTGTGCGATGCGATGTGTTTTTTCTTCATTCCAGCGCATCCAAGATGTCATCGCGAGTTCTTAGCTTCGAAGGAGTACCTTGCAAAGCCTGCGCAGTCGTACGGTGCTGACGTTGCGAAGAGGAAGCGCATGCAAAGCAGCGCCGACTCGCACTCTATAGCGGCTACTGGCCGCTACTTGGGCTACTTCCGCTTCACCGGTTCACCGGTTCACCGGTTCGCGTTCGTTCGAACAGGCCTCGGCCCCGAGCGCAGCGGCCGTTTCCGGGGCGTGGAGGCGCGCGCGGGCGGCCGCAGCTTTGTTGGAGGCTTCTTTGCAGCCCAGAGCTCTGCAGGTTTTGGCACCGATGGTGAAAGGCTGGCGTTGCGGCGCCGCGGCGCCGCTCGTGTGGCATTCCTCTGCAGTCCTGTGAGCTGCCAGGGGGCACCTTGCCTCTGCGGCTGGAGAGTCTCAGGATCGGCGACTGATGTCTTAAGGGCCATTCTCTGCCTCCTTCCACGTGCAGGTATGGGGCGGACCTCGTGTGGGGTGAGGCCCGGAGCCGACACGACGAATCGACGGTACCCTGGTTGGAAGTGTCAGGAGATTATCGACCGCAAGATCATCGGAGCCGTCCGCACGGACGCTTGGCCGCACCTTTCCGCTTCGGTGACTCGGCTCACTGGTCACTCTGGCTGTTGACAGGAGAACTCGGCCTTCGGCGTGGTGGAGTTCGTCTCCCCAGATGAGTTCGGGCCTGATTGGAGCCATGACTTGTTTCGTTTTGCAGCAGCACACAGATGACGCCGCCTTTGCCCATGTCAGTCTAGCTGTAGCCCTGCACAGCAAGACCAGCAGTCGAAGCACTGACACACACACACCACACACCACACACTCCTTTGTTAGGGTACCGCGAGAGCGTCAGTAGCAGCAGCAGGAGCAGGCATGTCATAGAAGCTCAGTCAGCTTTCCGCCGCAAGGGCACCATGCAGATGCTTCGGAGAAGCACCGCGGGAATGCTCGGAATGCAAGGAGCGAGGAGTGCAGTGGTACGAGGCCTCGCCAGTGCTGCTCGCCCGCCCAAGTCGCCGCACCTTCACAAGCGCCCCAGCGCTCCAAGTCCAAGCGCAGCTTCGCCCGCCGCGCCAGCTCCGCGATCGCCACCTCCGGCTCCGGGCCCTCCGGGTGCACCTCCGGCCCCTGCCGTGGCGCAGGCTCCACCAAAGGACGTGGAAACTGCGCCGCAGCGGTATGGGCCCTTGGACGTGAATCTAAAGCCTCGAGACCAGCTTCGTCCTCTGTTGCCGACGTGGAACCCACCTCCGACTCGGCGGCCAGAGCCGGAGGAGCTCGAGGTGAGCACGCGGCTGCGGTTCCTCTTCGAGGAGCGCTGGTGGGCGGCCACTGTCCGGGAGGCCTACGAGACGGAGCTGCGCGTGGGCTTCGACGGTTGGCCCAGCCGCCACGATCAGATCGTCCCCCGCAACAGCGGCCGGCTCTACCTTCACGAGTCCGTGCACCCAGACTACGAGGCGAGAGAGAGAGCCCCCTTTTCAGTGAGCTCTGCAGATTCTGGAGAGAGAGAGGGAGAGAGCGAGAGAGGCAGAGTAGAGTCAGTCAAGCAGCAGATTGAAAGAGAGAGGCGCGCGCCCTCTTCCTTCAAACAACCTCCGGAGCACAGGCGCCCCCCGCGCCGCAGCGCTTCCAGCGGCCCACGGCCACAGATGCCGAGGGGAATCCGCTGCCGGCGTTGCCCCGGGCACCGAAGCCCAAGGTGGGGGACTCCGTCAGTCCGTCATCGCTTAACGGGGTTCGGCATGCACAGTCAATACAGTCGCAGTGTGCATCCGCGAAGCGCCTTTCGCCACTGCAAGGTCTATGACCCCGAGAAGGAGCGGATGAAGCGGGCTTTGAGACCGCCGCTGCCCTTCAACCCGGAGAAGGTGACGCAAGAGAGAAGTGAGAGCAGCGCAAGAGGAAGCGAGGAATACTAGCAGCTAGCAATATCAACATGGTAGCAACAAGAAAATGAATCATGGCAAGCAGACAAAAAAGCAGCACCACCAGCAGCGGCGGCGGCGTCAGCAGTATCTACAGCAGCAGCGACATCAACATCACACCCGTCCTCATTTTCCTTCTCGTCATCCCCATCGTCGGCCTCCTCCCTCTCCTCAGACGCCGGTGCTACGCATCGCCCTCGGGAGCGCAGCGCAGACCTCTCTCTCACAGGTACAGCTACAGCTATCCAGCTACGACAACAGCAACAACAACAACTACTACTACTACAACAACAACTGCTGCTAGTACTACAACTACAACAACAACAACTACTACTACTACTACTACTACTACTACTACTACTACTACTACTACTACTACTACTACTACTACTACTACTACTACTACTACTACTACTACTACTACTACTACTACTACTACTACTACTACTACTACTACTACTACTACTACTACTGCTACTACTACTACTACTACTACTACTACTACTACTACTACTACTGCAGCATCAGCAACAACAACAACATCGCCACCACCAACGCAACAGCAACAGGAGCAACAACAACAACAACAGCAGCAACAACAGCAACAGCAACAACAACAACTACCACTACGACTACTGCTACTACTACTACTACTACTACTACTACTACTACTACTACTACTACTAGTGCTACTACTACTACTACTACTACTACTACTACTACTACTACTACTACTACTACTACTACTACTACTACTACTGCGCTACTGCACTGCTACTGCCACTGCTACTGCTACTGCTACTGCTACTGCTACTGCTCCTGCTCCTGCTCCTGCTCCTGCTCCTGCTCCTGCTCCTGCTCCTGCTCCTGCTACTGCTACTGCTACTGCTACTCCTGCTGCTGCTACTCCTGCTACTGCTACTCCTGCTGCTGCTGCTACTACTACTACTACTACTACTACTACTACCACTACTACTACACGTATCACTATGACGACGACGACGACCACTACTACTGCTACGTTGTAGGTGTGCCGGAAAGTGCGACAGAGATGGATGTTCACATATTCAGATGGCCAGAGAGATAAGCCGCTCGTTTCGCCATGGATACTGGAAACCTCCTGGGACAGTTTTGCACATCTTTGATGTCTTCGTTGTTCGGCTAGGATCAAGCACTTCTGTTCGACTGCTGGTCCGATGTTTTTCTTTGCAGTGCTATCGACAGGAGCGCTTGAAGCGACTCCTCCGTGGCCAGAATGTTCCGCCGGAGTGAGAGGAGGTATGACTGGAACCCGGCACGAAAAAGAGACAGAGAGCCACACACCATGCCTCTCCTTCTCCAATGCTCTCGTACTAAGTCGGATTCCGACCGAGGCAGGTGACTGTGTTCTCTACTTGCGCGGAGGAGAGGCCGGTGCTTTCCTGTTCGTGTTTGCCGTGACTATGTGATCGCCCCCCAACTTGCCGGAGAAGCCCTGTGGAGAGGTCCAAGGTGATTTTCCAGCTGGGCACCGCCGGGTGCCTTGCCTCCTTCTGTGGGAAGAAAGAAGAGGATGCAGAGAGAGAGAGAGAGAGAGAGAGAGAGAGAGAGAGCAGAGCCAGAGCCTCTGCTCCGCCGCCCAGGCCAGCCCCGTGCAGGCGCTGCAGGCAAAGGGCCGGAAAGCCGCGCTATGGGAAGCTGTGGGCCTATACCGGTGTCTCTTCGGCGAGGCCGCCCAGACCGTGTGCAATGATGCCCCGGAGCTCAGACACGGAGCTCAGCTCCAGCTTTTTTGGGAGGATGTTATTCTTCGTCGGTGCCGCTGCTCTCAGGTGTCGGGCATCGACATAAACATGGGCTGCCCCAAGGCCCTCCAGTTTGCAGCCAGCCCTCGTGTCTCCGACCCCAGCCCAGCCGTCTCCTGTATCAGTCCTTCAGCGTGAAGGGCGGCATGGGTGCGGCCCTGCTGGACCAGCTAGGAGCTCATCGCGAAAAACGACCGAGAAGTAATCCAAACATCTGAGTTAGGCCGGAGCTGGTGGCGGATCTCCTCAAGACGCTGCGGAGGGAGCTGCCAGCGCCGCATTCTCAGGCACGTGCAGCAGCTGTTAAATGCTCCCTTTCTTGCAGGGAATACGTCGATTATACGTGCGGTGAATCTTCCATACGCGAGGCTCTAGCGTATTCCTAGATTCTATAACTGGTGGGAATCTCGTTGCGGCTCTGATCCGTTGCGGCTCCGAAGCACGCCAAGGCAGACGACGCTCACGTGCAAGATCCGGATGCTGCCCTCCACACAGAAGACGTGGCTCGACGGCTCTTGCGAACAATTCCAGGGAATGCTCCGGCTTTCTCGGAGCACTGTGTGCCTCGTCCCAAGGCGAGACTTCATGCAGGTCTGTGAGCGCAGCGGCGCCGAAGCTATCACCGTGCCTGGGTTGCCGGAGAATCTCCGAAACTTGAAGCATGGCATGTTGGTTATGGTTTTGATGTGTTACCAAATTTATCAGCTGTCTTGGTTGTGCTGTGAGTTCAATGGTCTGTAGTCTTTGGCACAGAAGAACTCATGCTTTATCTCTCGCGACTTGTTTGGCCCACACAGTCTGACCTTAGCGAATACTCTCGTGTGGTGGACGTCGCCTGTCTCCGTGAGGTGCACCTTCGCCTGCGGCAGGAGCGCCCTGCCGAGCCGGCGCATTGGGACGAGCTGTGTCGACTGTGCCTCGGAGACCCTGAGGAAGTACTGCTCAGGGTTGGGCCTGCACGGGCCGGGGAGGTCGGTATACGACGATGAACGCACTGTGCTCTTGCAGATGCTTGTCTGTGGTGTGTCGGTCGTGTATGTAGCATGCAAGTATACGTCGTGTGCGACCTTTGTGCTGCATGGTTGTATGTAGGTCGGTATTTATGTGTGTTGCATGCATGTAGTTTAGTTGTACTTCGTACATTTGTCGGTTGAGCTGTTCCATGGACACGTGAATGCAGCCACACACGACACAGATGCAAACAGCTAAGTGACGCAGGCAAGCACTCAGGCAACAATGGAGGGAAACAATTGCGTGTCTTCATGGCTTGAAGCTTGCAAGAAGCCTCCGAAGCCCACTCCTCAATGAAACAGCAGTGGTTTAGGCAGTGGTGTAAATTCTACACCGGTTCCTACCCGAGGTGGGACGCTGTGCAGATTCCGGTGCTGGCGAATGGCGACTTCTTCAACCGCCGGCAAATCGCCGAGTTCTGGTGCCTCGTCTTGTAAAGACTTCATGGAGCTGAATATGGAGCCCTTGACAGGCCCTTGGGATTGCGGCCCCCTGTGCAGAGGTACACTGGCACAACATGCCCCGTGATGTATATACATCATTTGGGATAAGTCGGCTAATAATCCCCCGCAATACAGTCGGATTTTTTGTATATATCTATGCTTCACTCTGACTTGTTTGCAGGAAGCACTGCGGCAAAGGCTCCGACACAGCAGCTGGTTGCCCCGCCGGGGTGATGATCGCCAGGAGACGGCAGAGTTTATGACGGTGATCACGGCCAAGCATGGTTCCTGTTTTGGGGTTTAGGGGAGCAAGGCGACGGTCTGTGTATTTTCAATGGGTGCGAGCTGCCTTGCTGTGCTTGCTTTCAGTCTCTCTGTTTCATCTCTGTGGTCCCTCTGTCGCGGAGGGGTGCGCTTTGGAATCCGAGCATCTTTTGTCGTGAAGGCCGGCTTTGGAGCATCCCATGAAAAGTCCCTCGGCTCAGCTGCCTCTGCAGGCTCGAGTGAGCCACCGGGCTTCGAGGAGATGATCCAATCCTACGTCTGGCACCCTCAGATCCCAAAGCCCTCAGCACCCCGCACTGTTCTAGTTGGGCACCTTTCGGAAGGTTCGCACAGCCGTGGCCACCAATGCCAACTACCAAAACACGCGGGAGCGCCCAGAAAGCAAAACTGGCATTCAAGACATGTGCGCGCCGCGGCGTGCGTGGACTTAGGAAGTGGGTCCTGGGTCAGATGCTCGTGGCAGGCACGGGCGTGCTCGTGCCCACCTCCTTCAAGGCACCTCCGAGTTCAGGCCTTGCCTTGAGCGCATGTTGCGGCTTTTGCGTGGCCCAGGGCACCAGCTTGAAGACCCTGAGCCGCGACCTCGCCTCCGCGAAGTCCATGGCAGGCTTCTGGTGGCTTCGAGCTTCTAGCCTGAAGTGCTCTTCTGAATGGGGCCAACAAGCTCAGCCGCCGCCTCGCCGCAGGCCTCTGCGGAGTCATCGGAGAGCCCTACAAGGCAGGCAGAGTTCGGAGTTCGGCGCCTGCGACAGCAGCAGCAGCAGCCGCAGGCTGCACAGATGCGCAGTCTCGTCGACAGGTGGTTGTTTCCTTCGTTTTGTCGGAGACGCCAGGCCGAGGCGTACCCGGCGCGTTCCCACAGCGCCGGCTTCTACAAGTGCCGAGCTCATTTGTCTGGCTTTTCCCAGGTGGCCGCTTCAGACGTTGTGGACATCAAAAAGCAGAGTTCGTGCTGCAGGGGCTTCCAGAAGTTGCAGCAGGGGCAGCAGGCGCCCGCCAGCTGCCCAGCGACGCTGCCGCTTCCGCTTCCTCCGCTTCCTCCGCTTCCTCCTCCGTAAACACATCTTTCGGCTCCGGCTCGCAGCACCTGCGGCAGACTGAGGCGGACAGGTTTGCCGAGGCTTCGCAGCTTGCGGAGCCAGAGGTGGAGACGGAGCCCTCGGCGGCGGGACCCCGCAAGGCCCGAAGAGTGGATGCCGGCGGAGAAAAAAGGCAGGCGTTCGTGTGCTGCGATCACTGCGGAGCTTTTCCCTGCCATTGTGCATGCATATCCGGCATCTCAGCGGCTTGTGATCTGATCTGTGGCTCAGGAGTGCCCGTTTGAAGGAATGTGCGGGCTTCCGACAGCATGTGGCGGCTGCGGCAGCAAGCTTGGAGGCCGCAGGTGGATCTCCGAGACGAGCTCTTGATTCCTTCAGCTGCCTCCCGGCCCAAATGGCACTTCCTGGCCGCTCTTGGCCTTTCCGCGCCAATGCTCTGCCTGCTTTGCTTACCTCAAGATCGAGGGCTGATCTCTTCCACGCGCCTGAGCCGGGCAGTCTTCCTCCAGGATGCCAACGTGGAGCAAGGGAGCGATGGGGCGAGCGGGGCTCCCGCTCGCGATTCCTCAGTCGGAGCTGCTCGGTTTCCTTGGCAAGATGCCTGTGCTCCTCTCGTCAATGGCACGCGGGACACCGTGCCCTTCGCGCTTGGTGAGCCTTGTTGGCAGCAGTGCTCCGACGCCATGTCCGACGCCGTCCTCGCAAGCTTCGTGGGCGAATGGCACAGGCAGCTGATGAGCTCCAGCTTTGGCGTGCGGTTCTTTCGCTTCACACCGGGCTGGCACGCATTGCTGCAGTGGTACAGCTGCATCTGGCTGTTTGCCGTGGCCGCCGTGATCTGCAACATGGCCTCCCACTGCTGCCTTCAATCGAGGACCGTGGATGTTGACATCACTTTGCGGAAACTTGCCGAAGCGATCGATCTGGCCATCACGCAGAACTCCGACGCCATACTCTTTGAAACAGTCGAGCAAGCAGCCACACTGGTCGAGACAGATGATGAGGAAGCAGGAGCTGTGGCTGCAGCACCCTTGGAGCTCTGTGGGGGTGGTGCTCTCTCCGACGCCTGGGGCTCCGGCGTCAGCATCCGACCCGAGTCCTTCGAAGCCGTTCGCAGCAAAGTGCAGGGCCTCATGGCCAAGTTGGAGTTGGAGGAGGAGAGGGAAGATAGCCCCGTCGAGGAGCCTGACGGAGAAACGTCGCCTGCGGTGTTGACCTTTTTCTTCTACACCGAAAGCTTCAGACGGCCGGTCGGTTACATCGAGCTGGCGCTCAAAGTCGTCTTCTTCGTCTTCTACGTCGTCTTGCACTGCTGGTTTTGCTGCATCCTGCAAGCCGCGATCATGGCCGCAGGGTGGGTGGACCACGAGGATCTGCTCTTCCAGCAGCACAGCTGGGCAGAGCCCTGGCTTCATGTGCCGCTGCAGGTGAGGCGGCTGATGCACTTGGAAATGTTGCCGATGCTGCCTTGCCACATTGCGTTGTTGGTGATCTTCTTCGTGCTTCTGAGTCTGGCAACGGCCTTCTTCGAAGCCGCGTCGAAGGCTCTGCAGCAGACCCAGCGGTGGACGAATCGATTCTATGCAAGCTTCGTTTTGGCAGACATTGTGCAAGATGGCTTGAGGACAAGTTCGATGATGTCGAAGATCACTTCGCTCGTGTTCTTCCTGATCAACTTGCTGGTGATATGCCTGTGGGCCTTAAGCACCAAGCATGGCTTGGTCTGGTCCTGTTCCAAAGCGTATTCCAGCTTCCTCTTCGGCTGGCTACCTGACTGGGCTCCGCTTGCGGCGGGCGTTGTGTACGGCGCTCTGTCCGTCTTTCACGGCTACACCTTGAGCATGCACGCAACCGTTCCCCATGTGGAAGGACCGAAGCCCGACAAGTTCCAATTTGGTTGCATCCCCGACACGTGGGTTGCCTACAAAGAAGTCTTCGTAACCACCGTCGGCATCTGGTTTGACACCACAATGGACGTGGGCCAAAGCATGATCTTTTTTCGTGCGGGCCAGCCCTTCTTTGCCACAATCATCTTCGTGGGAGTTGGCATGCAGATCAGCATGCTTTGGATTGACTCCTTGCGGAAAGGCGCCTGGGACGTGCAGAAGCTTCTCGCAGCTTTCTTGCAATCCGACACGATCCAGGCATGCAGGGGATCATGGAGCAAGGGCATGTTGCTATCGGAGCTGTACGAAAAGGCTTACCGCGAAGCTGCCAGCGAAGCGTACTTGAGCTTGCTTGTGGGGATTTTCGGCTTGGTGACTGTGCCTCTCAACAGTTCATTGGACATGTGTTTCTTGCTGGTGTCGGTGCTCTTCTCTTTGAAGTCGGTGATGACCGGCGTGTCAATGTCGGCCGAGCTGTTATCTGCAGAGGAAGAAGTTCGGTGCGGACATGGCGATCTGGTTCCTTGCTGCTTTCCGTTAATTCCCCATAACGACTACTACAAGCGCAAGAGCTTCGCGGCCCAGCGAAGCTTGCATGTGGTGAGCATCTTCCGACTGAGCGAAGCTTTGGCGGTCGCGTGCACCCTGGCAGTCTGCATCAGGTGTGGCAGCGTGGTGACCACGTGGAAGGTGTGCTACTTCGTCGGCCTGTTCAGCCTTGCGCTGGTCTTCGCACTCGTGGTGTCTCGCGGCGGCTGGGCGTCGCTCCGCCGCTTCACGGAGCTCTGGGAGACCTTCGTCGGGACCTTCGGGCTGGAGGGCGATTGGGAACCTGTGGAGGGCAGTGCACCGAGCCTTTCCTTTCGCGGCAGCGCCGTGAAGCTTCAGTATGGAGAGGGCAGTGCTGAATCCAAGCAGTGCAGGCGGTACCCATGTGGCGGGGACATCAGCTCCTTCCAACTGCTGGACGGCCAGCAGCAGCAAGAGCACTCGGTGGTCTCAACGAAGTGGGTGCTGGCCTTGCAAGGGGAACAGCTGCATTCGCGTTGGGCGGCCTGGGCGCGGACTGGTAGCATGCAAAAGTGCACCGGCTTCTACCTTCGAGCTGCCATCTTCGTGATGGCGACTGCTGTGGTAGGTGCCCTCGGTTTGTTTCTTGCCATGCTGGTGGTGCCTGCGTGGCAGGTGATGCTGTGGAGTGGCGCGGTCACCAGACCCAGCCAAGAGCAAAAGGACATGAGCGATGTCGTTTCCATACCGTCGGATTTCGCTACGCACTTGTGCCAAAAGTGCCTTTGGCTCCTAATCACTTGGTCGCTGCTGTGTGGTTCCTTCCTCAACGAAGCCGTGTCCCCGTTCAGCCTCAACACTATGGTTGCAGAGATCATCGTGCAATTGAAGGACGGTGCGAAGGAAGACGGCTTGTCGCTAGCTCTGCTGTCCAACGTCAACTTCGTCTCAGGAGCAGTTGGACTGGTGACAGTTCTGGGTGGACTCGTTGGAAGCATCGCTTTGCCTGTGTGTGCCCATTGGCTTCACATTCAGCGGTGCCGCTGGAGGCGAGAAGATGGACGTTTCCAGTTCCACCTTGCGAACACCATGCTTCGGGCTTGCCACCGACACTTCTCTGTTGTAAAGCATAGGCAGTATGCAGAGATGCTGAGCAAGGATGCAGCTGCCGAGATGCTGGAGACCCAGTACTCGTTGGGTATTCGCCCGTCTCGCACTGAAGTGGGAATGGTGTCGCTGATCGTGGAGGCAGTCATTGATGCGGTATACGGCAAAGCGAACCGGGTGCATTTTCAAGAGTTTAGCCTGCCTGTCTTGCAAGTGATCGAGCTACAGAAGCACCTCAGCAGCAAACACACCAGCGACAGGCAACCTGTCCTGGTCCCGCAGTCCTGGTCCCAGAACGAAACACTTCAGGGTTGGCACCTCTGTGGTGGCGGCGATATTCTGTCCGTTGGGTACGGAGAGCCAGTTCTGGGTGGTCAGCTAAAGCATCTCGTTCATGGTGTTCGTAAATCCAATGCCCCGAAGATCAAACTGGTCTTTAGCAAGCCTGTTTCCGAGATTCCCGGTATGATGGGCTGGGCTGAGAGGCTGCTGCGGGCACAGTTCACTCATGTAGCAAAGGATCGCCGACTGAGTCATGTGCTTGGCGACCTCTCAAAGGTTTCGACCTTACTCCGAGATGGCTGCCTGCCACGCTTTCCGGCAGAACCCATGCTTGCTCTCAGCAAGCGCTACCAGCTGTTGGTTGACGGCATGGAGACAATGCGGCACTCCATCAGCTGGAGCACGGAGCCTCTTCCCACACCGGCACCCAAACCCGGGTCCGGATCGACTTTGTGTGGCTGTGGATGGTTGTGTACAAGCTGTTCAAACTCCGGGCAGTACATGCCACTTGTCCCGTCTGATACACCGGAAGCGTCAGAGATATTGACGGGTGACAGAAGACTTGGTTTGTGGGGTGTGTGCTACTGTGGCTGTGACAGCACTCCATCATTTAAGTGTGGTCCTGTCATCGGCCGTCAATGTGAGGAATGCCAAGACTTGCAAAGCGCATTGGACAGAGCCTCTCCGCTGAAGTGTTTGTACGGGCATGATCTGGAGCGTGTCTTCAACAGCAACTTCTCGTGTGACGCATGCGACCGGCATGCTGAGAAGTCTCTCCTAGAGATCAGACTGCAATGCCGTGCATGTGATGCTGATTACTGTGCTGAGTGCTACATGTCTCGAAGCAAGATCGCGGCAGAAAGTGGGGTGATGCCTTCGGAGCTACTCTATATCCACGCTTTGGCGGATGATATCCTTAAGGCTGCGAGCGGCTTGGTACACAACGTGCATTCTTCTGTATTGCAGTATCTTCCAGCTGAAAGACTGGCAAGCTGCTTGCTTCGGTCGTCGGCTTCAAATCCAGATACGCCCGAAGTCAGGATGGGATCCGGGGACTGCAGAGTTTTCATGTCAGAAATATAAGCTGATGTATTTCTCATTGCAGGCTTGAGCTTTTGTTGGATCTTGCGTTGGCTCCCAACACTCCTCAGATCATGTCGGAATTCTAATAGTGACTCGAGTAGTGCTGCAGCCTTCCCACGTGGTGCTGCTTGCCAGGATGGTGGCTTTTTATGCCTCAGACGAAAGCATCCAGAACCAGGCACTCGAGATGCTCGTGGGAACCGCTGATGTCGACTTTCACCTTCAGTTCTTCGGTTTCTGTCTGCAGAGGCTGACCAGTCATGCCCTGAATGAAGTCCAGCGACAAGCAGAAAAGAAGCGCTGCATGTTGTTCCTGAACAGCTTGCGACAGCACGGAGACGCCAGCAAGAAGGCCTTTGCACATCCGGAATTTCTTGCGCTCCTGCGAAAGGTTGCTGAGTTGGACGAGATGCAGCATGATCTTCTTCCGTTTCTGCTCCTGGCACGAGATGAAATATTGCTGGAGCCTTTGTTACAACAGAAAGAAGAGCTCGAGCGTCTCACTGTGGAGATTCAGCATTGGCACAAGAGCCAAATCACGATGGACGACCAGGGAGACCAGCAGCCGATTTTCGTTTCGTCCGGTCATCCTTACCAACATAGCATGCAGGAGGTCGTGGCCATACCCAATGCCAAGGGGCTCACGGTTGTTTTCAGCCCTGCCAGCGCCACGTTGAACAGCAAGAGCTTGCTGAGAATCACTCCATCACAGTCAGTACGTGGATCTGCGGCAAGGTCATCAGGAACAGCAGCAGCAGGGGAGGTGCGCGAGTTCTACGGCTCCGATAAGCAAAGGTGGACTGTCTGCGACTTTGCTGGTACAGAATGCTTGATCTTCACTTTCGAAACGGATGGAGCAGGCTCAGCTGAAGAGCGTTATGGTTTCACCGCGGCGATCTTGCCCACGCAAAGTGGCATAGATAGGGAAAAGTTGGGCAAACTGAGCACGGACCTAGAATCAACTGCCCTCATGATCAGCAATGAGCTGGAAACGCGAGAAGCCAACAAGAGCAAGCAGCGGCCATTGTTTGTCGTGCTCTTGTCGGTCATGAAGGAGTATGCTTTCTCTGGTGATTCTCAGCAGGCAGCGAAGTTGCTCCATTCGGTGTTGACGTGTCTCGGCCGCTCCACGTGGCTGGAGCCCGGTCACACCGAAGTTCTTGTAGCCGAGAACCTCGGGCTGCAGTCCGTTGCCACGCTTGTGCAGCAGGCCATGTCCACTGCATCTGATCAGGCTCGCACAGTCTTTGAAGCCTGGCTGGAAAACATCAAGAAAGCATATCAGTCTCGCTCAGAAGATGCCAGGACGTGGGAGCTTGCGTTGCCGATCGTTGAGCAGGTCGGCCCTTGCTTGGGAGACCTGCGCTTGGAGCTTCTCAAGGAATCTTTGGCCAAGTTGGAGACCTTGCATGCGGCCGTATCCACAGCAAGCAAGCAGTACTCGCTGGCGCAAGGCAGGATGCGCTACCACGCCTGCGACCAGTTGGCACTTCTCATTGCAAGCCGCAAGCTCCCCGAGGGAGTTCGACTGGTCCAGAGCTGCCATCCGTACGCTGCGCAAGGCCATGAATTTAAAACTAGCCTGGACATGACGGTGAAGTCCGACTCCGCCGAGCCTCTGGAGGTGATGGTCGCCTTCGCGCCTTGCAGTTGCACGTTCGACTCCGCTGCAGAAGTGACGATCCCAGGTTCACAGGGTTTGTCTGGTGGAGCTGCGTGGTCGGCAGAACCCGTGAAGCTGGAGGTGGGAAAGAAGCTGACTGTAGGCTTCAAGACAGATGGCGACGGACGTGAGTACTCCGAACGGCGGTGGGGTTTCTTGGCCCTCTTCGTGGACAGCCGCACGGCAAGCTTCAGCAACTTGGCCCAGGCGGCAGAGAAGATCGCGGAGAGGATGTCAGAAGCTTCGACGGAGGCTTCCTGCACTAACCAGCTGTACCTGGATGCTGTGGAAGCTGAGGCCGCATTTACGCAGGCATACGAGGAATTCATGTCGCAACTGGAGGAGATGTTGGCATCCATGGGAAGCGCTACACGCATGCATCGAGGTGTTGAAGATACATGCAGGCAGATGTGCATCTTCCTGGCAGGCATGTGCAGATGGTTCGATGGCCCAGAGCTGAGGAATTACTTGATGCAGTGGAAGCAGAAGTTCCCAAGCCTGGGGGAAAGTATAGCGGACTCCCGCAAGACAAATGCGACAAGTATGTTCTGGTGCTTCAACGATGAGGGTTCAATGGTCAATCATGGCGAGAAGCTTACTGACCAGTTCTTCTACTGCGGCCAGCAGATTCAAGGGACAGGGGAGTCTTGCTCCCAAGCAACACAGTGCAAATCTTGTGGGCGCTTCCAAAGTGAGGTGCTCCAAGGCTACACCCGCCAAACCGGGATAGTGCCGTCATTCGCAGAAGAAGCTCGTCAGGACTTTGAAGAAGTCACTGACTCAAAGCAGCTACGCACATCCAAGTAGCGCAGAGAGCCTGCGACACGCGAATCCGTGGATGTCCGTGGCGTCTTGAGCTGGCTCCAAAGTGGGCGCAGCTTGGGCATTCCAATCCCGGGAAGTGCTGCAGTGCGGACCTGAACTCAAGCGGCTCGGCTGCTCGAAAGAAGGCCGGATGGAAGTCTTTCTGATTCGCTCTGGCACATGTTCATCGCGACATCATGACCGCCGCCGGCGGGCCGAGCATGAGCGAACACATCCAGTGCGGCTTGCAGCATCCAACATGCAAATACCAAGCCTGCACATCGAGATAGCGTCCGACGACACGGCGGTAGCTTAAAACCTAGGAGCCGGAGGATCGACGAGGTCATCCTACACTCTCAGCAGCTGATGCCTTCAACAAAAGGACACGTCGTCGAAGTGCCTATACTGATTAGCCCATGCATCGCTGCCGTATGCCGTTGGCTACATGGCAGCTAATGGCAACTTTGTGCTCGTTCTCTTCTCTTCTCCTCCTCCTCTTTCTCCTCCTCGTCTACGTCCCTATGCTTATCATCTCTGTTCCTCACGCTGATCGCGATGCTCCTCATCATCAGAACTGTGGGCACAAAACAAGAGGTTCGCAAAGTCTCTCTTCACCAGATGTTTCGACATCCCTGCAGGACTGTTCTCCTTGTGTTTGAAATCTGTGTCGGGATGCGGCAGTGTGGGGCACAGTGTCTTGCCAGGAAGCATCGGCTTTCATCGCTGTGACCATTTGCGCCGCTACTTCTATTGCCACTATTGCTTTCTTAGTCGTTGTGGTGGTGCGCCAGATACATCCTACCGCTGGTTCTTTGGATAGCTTTCTCTGCCATGGAGTTCAAAGCTCAATCGCGTCCTTTATCCACTGTCATCGGCACCCAGGCATCACTGCAGGCATCACAGGGCCGCCGTGACACGCCGGGGGGCAGCCACCATGCCCAGACTGCCCCTGGCAAGCAACTGCAGGCGAGGAAAACGATTCTTGCTCGACTTGCAGAGCCAGGGTTTCGATGCGATGGAAGATTCATGACATGTCCATGGCTCGGATTGTGTGACATTGTGCATGCATATCCGGCATCTCAGCGGCTTGTGATCTGATCTGTGGCTCAGGAGTGCCCGTTTGAAGGAATGTGCGGGCTTCCGACAGCATGTGGCGGCTGCGGCAGCAAGCTTGGAGGCCGCAGGTGGATCTCCGAGACGAGCTCTTGATTCCGCCAGCTGCCTCGCGGCCCAAGTGGCACTTCCTGGCCGCTCTTGGCCTTTCCGCGGCAGTGCTCTGCCTGCTTTGCTTACCGCAAGATCGAGGGCTGATCTCTTCCACGCGCCTGAGCCGGGCAGTCTTCCTCCAGGATGCAAAAGAGCAAGGGAGCAATGGGGCGAGCGGGGCTCCCGCTCGCGATTCCTCAGTCGGAGCTGCTCGGTTTCATTGGCAAGATGCCTGTGCTCCTCTCGTCAATGGCACGCGGGACACCGTGCCCTTCGCGCTTGGTGAGCCTTGTTGGCAGCAGTGCTCCGACGCCATGTCCGACGCCGTGCTCGCAAGCTTCGTGGGCGAATGGCACAGGCAGCTGATGAGCTCCAGCTTTGGCGTGCGGTTCTTTCGCTTCACACCGGGCTGGCACGCATTGCTGCAGTGGTACAGCTGCATCTGGCTGTTTGCCGTGGCCGCCGTGATCTGCAACATGGCCTCCCACTGCTGCCTTCAATCGAGGACCGTGGATGTTGACATCACTTTGCGGAAACTTGCCGAAGCGATCGATCTGGCCATCACACAGAACGCCGATGCCATACTCTTCGAAATAGTCGAGCAAGCAGCCACACTGGTCGAGACGGATGATGAGGAAGCAGGGGCTGTGGCTGCAGCACCCTTGGAGCTTTGCGGGGGCGGTGTGCTCTCTGACGCCTGGGCCTCCGGCGTCAGCATCCGTCCCGAGTCCTTCGAAGTCGTTCGCAGCAAAGTGCAGGGACTCTTAGCCAAGCTGGAGGAACAGGGGGAAGACAGCTCCGTCGAGGAGCCTTCGGGGGAGGCGGCGCCAGGGCCGTTGACCTTTTTCTTCTACACCGAAAGCTTCAGACGGCCAGTCGGTTACATCGAGCTGGCGCTGAAAGTCGTCTTCTTCGTCTTTTACGTCGTCTTGCACTGCTGGTTTTGCTGCGTTCTGCAAGCCGCTATCATGGCCGCAGGCTGGGTGGACCACGAGGATCTGCTCTTCCAGCAGCACAGCTGGGCAGAGCCCTGGCTTCATGTGCCGCTGAAGGTGAGGCGGCTGATGCACTTGGGTCAGTTGCCGATGCTGCCTTGCCACATTGCATTGTTGCTGATCTTCTTCGTGCTTCTGAGTCTGGCAGCGGTGTTCTTCGAAGCGTCGAATGCGCTGCACCAGACCCAGCGGTGGACGAATCGCTTCTATGCAAGCTTCGTCTTGGCAGACATACTGCAAGATGGCTTGAGGACAAGCTCGATGATGTCGAAGATCACTTCGCTTGTGTTTCTTCTGATCAACATGCTGGTGATATGCTTGTGGGCCTTAAGCACGAAGCACGGCTTGGTCTGGTCCTGTTCCAAAGCGTACTCGAGCTTCCTCTTCGGCTGGCTACCTGACTGGGCTCCGCTTGCGGCGGGCGTTGTGTACGGCGCTCTGTCCGTACTGCACGGCTACACTTTGAGCATGCCTGTAGCTGTGTCCAAACTGGAAGGACCAAAGCCGGACAAGTTCCAATTCGGTTGCATCCCCGACACGTGGGTCGCCTACAAAGAAGTCTTCGTAACCACTGTTGGCATCTGGTTTGACACCACGATGGACGTGGGTCAAAGCATGATCTTCTTTCGCGCCGGCCAGCCCTTCTTCGCCACAATCATCTTCGTGGGAGTTGGCATGCAGATCAGCATGCTTTGGATTGACTCCTTGCGGAAAGGCGCCTGGGACGTGCAGCAGCTGTTGGCAGCACTGCTGCAATCTGACACGATCCAGGCATGCCGCGGATCATGGAGCAAGGGCATGCTGCTATCCGAGCTCTACCAAAAGGCTTACCGAGAAGCCGCCAGCGAAGCGTACTTGAGCTTGCTTGTGGGGATTTTCGGCTTGGTGACTGTGCCTCTCAACAGTTCCCTGGACATGGGTTTCTTGCTGGTGTCGGTGCTTTTCTCTTTGAAGTCGGTGATGACCGGCGTGTCAATGTCGGCCGAGCTGTTGGCTGCAGAGGAAGAAGTTCTCTGCGGACAAGGCGATGTCGTTCCTTGCTGCTTTCCCTTGATCCCCCGTAACGACTACTACAAGCGCAAGAGCTTCGCGGCCCAGCGCAGCTTGCACGTGGTGAGCATCTTCCGATTGAGCGAAGCTTTGGCGGTTGCGTGCACCCTGGCAGTCTGCATCAGATGCAGCAGCGTGGTGACCACGTGGAAGTTCTGCTACTTCGTCGGGCTCCTCAGCCTTGCGCTGGTCTTTGCACTCGTGGTGTCTCGCGGCGGCTGGGCGTCGCTCCGCCGCTTCACGGAGCTCTGGGAGAGCACAGTCGGGACCTTCGCGCTGGAGGGCGATTGGGAACCTGTGGAAGGTAGTCGCACTACTGTAAAGCTTAGCTTCCGTGGCAACACCGTCAAGCTCCTGCATGGAGAGGGCCAGGAGGAGTCCAGGCAGTGCCGCCGCTATCTGGAGGGCGGCGACTTCAACAACACTTTCCAGCTGGTAGACAGCCAGCAGCAGCAAGAGCATTCGGTGGTCTCAACGAAGTGGGTGCTGGTCTTGCAAAGCGAACAGCTGCATTCGCGTTGGGCCGCCTGGTCCCGAAGCGACGGCGTTCCAGATTACAGTGGCTTCTATCTCCGGGCTGCTGGCTTTGTCATGGCGACTGCTCTGGCAGCTGCCTTCGGTTTGGTTCTTGCCATGCTAGTGGTGCCTGCATGGCAGGTGATGCTATGGAGCGGTGCCGTCACTCGGCCGAGTCAAAAGCACGATGACATGAATGATGTTGTCACCATACCCTCGGATTTTGCTACATACTTAAGCCAGAAGTGCCTTTGGCTCCTCATCACTTGGTCGCTGCTCTGCCTTTCCTTCCTCAACGAAGCCGTGTCCCCGTTCAGCCTTAACGAAATGGCGACGGAGACCATCCTGCAACTCAAGCAAGGCATGAGCGAGGACGGCTGGTCGCTAGCTCTCCTGTCCAACGTCGACTTTGTCTCAGGAGCAATTGGGCTGGTGACAGTTCTGGGTGGGCTCGTTGGAAGCATCGCGTTGCCGTTGTGCTCCTACTGGCTGCACATTCAGCGTTGCCGCTGGAGGCGAGAAGATGGACGTTTTCAGTTCCACCTTGCAAACACAGTACTTCTGGCCTGCCACCAACATGCAATGGTTGTATACAAAAATCGGTATGCAGACATGTTGTGTGAGGACGCACGTCAAGAGATGCATGAGACGAGATTGAGCCTGGGTATTCGCCCTTCCCGCACAGAGGTGGGGATGGTGCAGCTGATTGTGGAAGCAATTGTTGACGCTATCTATGGCAAGGCAGATAGGCTGCACTTTGAAGAGTTCAACGTTCCTGTCTTGCAAGTGATCGAGCTGCAGAAACACATCAGCTCAAAACTCAGCGACAAGCAAAATGTGGAGGTCCCACAGTCCTGGGCGCAGAACGAAGCAATCCAGGGTTGGCACCTCTGTGGTGGTGGCGATATCACGTCCGTCGGCTACGGCGAGCCCGTTCTGGGTGGTCAGATGAAACATCTCGTTCAAGATGTCCGCAAATCTAATGCCCCGAAGATCAAACTTGTCTTCAGCAAGCCTGTGTCCGAGATTCCCGGAATGATGAGCTGGGTCGAGCGGCTGCTGCGGGATCACTTCACGCATGCAGCGAAGGATCGGCGCCTGAGTCATGTCCTCGATGACCTTCGGCACGTTTCTGAGTTGATTCGAGAGGGCTGCGTGCCGCACTTGCCGGCGGAACCTTTGCTTGACTTCAGCAAGCGCTACCAGCGTCTGGCTGACGGCATGGAGACGATGCAGCACTCCATCAGCTGGAGCATGGAACCCCTTCCTACCCCGCCACCCGCACCCGGATCTGGATCGACTTCGTTCGGATCGTTGTGTACGTTCTGCACAATCTGTCCAAATCCTGGGGAGTACAGAGCGCTGGCATGTGTCCCATCTGAGGCACCGCAAGCGTCTGAGATCTTGACAAGTGACAGAAAGCTTGGTTTGTGGGGAGTGTGCTATTGTGGCTGTGACAGAGCCTCATCGCTCAAGTGTGGTCCCGTTATTGGTGGTCAATGTGAAGAGTGTGCAGATGTGCAGAAGGCACTGGATAAGGCCTCTCCGCTGAAGTGCATGCACGGGCATGATCTGGAGCGTGTCTTCGACAGCAACTATTACTGCGACGCGTGCGACAGGTCCGCTGGCAAGTCTGTGGTGGAGATGAGCCTGCGGTGTCGAGCTTGCCTTGCAGATTACTGTGTTGAGTGCTACATGTCTCGCAAGAAGATTGCCGCAGAAAGTGGAGAGATGCCTTCCGAGCTTCACGATATCAAAACGCTGGCGGACGATGTCTTCAGTGCTGCAGACGGCTTAGAGCACAATTTGCAGTCGACTTCACTGAAGTCTCGCGCAGCCGGACTATTGGCGAACCATGTGCTCCAGTCGTCGGCTGCAGATGCAGACAGCTCTGCAGTGAGGCTGGGAGCGTGCCATATCGCAGGTTCATGGTGTCTATACGAGTAGGGAGAGAGAGTCAGCCAGCCTTGTAGGGTCGCTGCCGTGCACTCGGCAACCGCAGCGACAGCCATGATAGGTCCTGCGATTCTCATGTATGGTGTCTGTGTTTGCAAGTTTGTAAGATACGGTGCTTCAACAGGTTAAGTATAGCAGGCGTTGCCGCTGGGTTCTTCTTTTGCCAGGACGCTCGCTTGCTACTCCGTAGACGAGGAGGTCCGGAATCGCGCAGTCAATATGATCGTGAAAGAGGGCGACAGTGCCTTGCACTGTGATTTCTTCAAATTCTGCATAGAGAGGCTGGCCAGTCATGTGTTGAATGAAGCCCAGCACCAAGCAGAGAAGAAGCGCTGCATGTTGTTCCTGAACAGTTTGCGACAGCAGGGAGACAAGACCGAGGAGGCGTTTGCAAACCCTGCGTTCCGGCACCTCTTGCTGCAGGCTGCTAAGTTGGAGGACATGCAGCTGGATCTTCTTCCGTTTCTCGTCTTGGCACAAGATGAAGCATTGCTGCAACCTTTGCTGCAGAAGAAGGACGAGCTGGAGCAGCTGACCGAGGAAATTCAGTATTGGCACAAGAGCCAAGTTACAACGGACAAGCAGGGAGATCAGCGGTTTCTCTTGGTTTCGTCCGGCCATCCTTACCAACACAGCATGCACGAGGTCGTGGCAATACCCGGTGCCAGGGGGCTCACCGTGGTGTTCAGCTCTTCCAGTGCCACGTTGAACAGCAAGAGCTCTTTGACAAGCACTCCATGGCGGTCTGCGCACGGGTCCACATCCAGGAGGGCTTCAAGAACAGCAGCAGCAGCAGCAGAGGGGAGCCGTGTTTTCGCTGGCCGCGACAAGCAAGTCTGGGAGGCCTGTGACTTTGAGGGAACAGACACCCTGCTCTTCACTTTCGAAACGGACGGAGCAGGCTCAGCCGAAGAACGCTATGGCTTCACGGCGGCTGTCTTGCCCAAGCCGACAAAGACTCGGAAGTACTGGGCAAACTCGGTGCGGAGCTGGAATCAACGGCGCTCCTAATCAGCCATGAGCTAGAGACTCGAGAAGCCAACAAGAGCAAGCAGAAGCTGTTGTTTCCTGTACTCTTATCGATCATGAAGGGGTATGCATTCTCTGGTGGTGTGCAGCAAGCGGCGGAGTTGCTACATTCAGTGTTGGTCTGTCTCGGTCGTTCTTCCTGGTTGGAATTGGACAACACAGAAGTCGCTGAAATCATCGGACTGCCGTCCGTCGCAGTTGGCAAACTTGTGCAAGAGGCAAAGTCCACTTCGCCTCAGAAAGTCTTTGATGCCTGGTTGGAGGAGATCGGCCGTGCAGTGAGGTCGGAGGCCCGAGAGCTTGCGTTGCCGATCGTGGGGGAGGTCGGCCCTTGCTTGATCGACCTGCGCTTGGAGCTTCTCAAGGAGTCTTTGGGCAAGCTCGAGACCATGCATGCGGCCGTAGCCACGGCAAGCAAGCAGTACTCGCTGGCGCAAGGCAGGATGCGCTACCACGCCTGTGACCAGCTGGCACTTCTCATCGCAAGCCGCAAGCTCCCGGAGGGAGTTCGACTGGTCCAGAGCTGCCATCCGTACGCTGCGGAAGCTCACGAGTACGAAGTCAGTCTGGACATGGAGGCTCCCAAGGTGCTGGTGGCCTTCGCAGCCTGCAGTTGCACTTATGACTCGTATTCCCACGTCGTGATTCGTGACTCGAAATTCTCTGGTGCAGGCCCGTGGTCGGCAGAACCAGTCGAGGTGGAGGTGGAAAAGAAGCTTGCCATCCGCTTCAAAACCGATGGCGATGGGCATGGGAGCCAAAACCGGCGCTGGGGCTTCCTGGCGCTCTTGGCGGACAGCCGCCAAGCGGTGAGTGTCAGCAACTTAGGCGAGGCGGCGGAGAGGATTGCGGAGACGATGGCGGAAGCAGCGGATGCTGAGAACTGTACGAATCAGCTGTACTTGGATGCCTCAAAGGCTGAAGCAGCGTTGTCAGAGGTCCTTGACGGCCTGCCTCCACAACTCAACGCGATCTTGGGGTTAGTGGGAGCCGCGACGCACGTCCATCAAGCTGTTGAAGACTTGTGTGAGAAGATTTGCTTCAGCCTGGCAGACATGTGCAAATGGTTCGGTGGCCAAGGCTTGTCGAACTATCTGACCCAATGGAAGCGAAAGTTCCCAGACCTGGAGGAGCGCATAGCGGCCTCCCGCAAGACAAATGCGACAAGTATGTTCTGGTGCTTCAACGACGAGGGTTCAAGGGTCAAGCATTCTGACAAGCTCATTGATCAGTTCTTCTACTGTGGTCAGCGGATTGAAGGGACCGAGGAGGTTTGCTGCACAGGCACCCAGTGCAAATCTTGTGGGCGCTTCCAAAGTGAGGTGCTCGAAGGCTACACCCGCCAAACCGGGATAGTGCCGTCATTCGCAGAAGCTCGTCAGGACTTTGAAGAAGCCACTGACTCGAAGAAGCTGAGTAGATCTAAGTAGCGAGCCTGGAGCACTAGTCAATCTGAAGACGCCGTTTGTGTTTTAAGCAACGAGCTGCCGCCAAAGTGGGTGCAGCTTGGGCGATCGAGTGCCCTAGAGTACCCGTGCATGGAAGTGCTGCAACGCGATCGCGAACTCAAGCGGCCTCTCGAAAGATGGTCCTTTCAGGCATATGTGAGTGCTTGATGCAAGATGGCAGGCCACTGGAATTCTGGGAAGGCCTTCGGCTTTCAGACACCACTTTCAGGAGCCGACAAAATACGTTGTCGTTGTCTTCAGTAAAAGACGATGCCTTCAATCCATCGTGACGTCAGAAAGCGTGACGTCAGAAAGTGGTCTCCTGACAAGCAGTACACAACCCACACCTCCGAGAAGAATCGCAGTAGAATCAGTAGAACCAGCCAGCATCAGCCAGCATCAGCCAGCATCAGCTTAGGGCAGCCACGGTATAGTCCCGGTGCGGAGCTGAAAATGCCGACACTCTTCCCCGACGAGGTGCCGCTGCGACGTGCTCAGCTGCGGAGCATCTGAGTTTTGAAGTATGGCTTCGGTCATGTTGTGCAAGGCCTGATGGGCCGCTCCTAGAGCGGCCATCAGCACTGCTGGCTGCCTACAAGGCAGGCCAGCAGCACGAGGCCTTGTAGCGAGGGGGCTGGTGTGTGTGTGTGTGTGTGTGTGTGTGTGTGTGTGTGTGTGTGTGTGTGTATATATATATATATATGTGGGTGTGGGTGTGGGTGTGGGTGTGGGTGTGGGTGTGGGTGGGTGTGTGGGTGTGGGTGTGGGTGTGGGTGTGTGTGTGGGTGTGGGTGTGGGTGTGGGTGTGGGTGTGGGTGTGGGTGTGGGTGTGGGTGTGGGTGTGGGTGTGGGTGTGGTGTGTGTGTGTGTGTGTGGTGTGTGTGGGTGTGTGTGTGTGTGCGTGTGTGTGTGTGTTGTGTGCGTGCGTGTGTGCGTGTGTGTGTGTGTGTGTGTGTGTGCGTGTGTGCGTGTGTGCGTGTGTGCGTGTGCGGTGTGCGTGTGCGTGTGTGTGTGTGTGCGTGTGTGCGTGTGTGCGGGTGTGCGGGTGTGCGGGTGTGGGCGTGTGGGCGCGTGTGCGTGTGGGCGTGTGTGCGTGTGTGCGTGTGTGTGCGTGTGTGCGTGTGTGCGTGTGTGCGTGTGTGTGTGTGTGTGTGCGTGTGTGCGTGTGTGCGTGTGGCGTGCGTGTGTGCGTGTGGCGTGCGTGTGTGCGTGTGTGCGTGTGTGCGTGTGTGCGTGTGTGCGTGTGCGGCTGCGGCTGCGTGCGCGTGTGCGGGTGCGGGTGCGGGTGCGGGTGCTTGGGTGCGTAGGTGCGTGAGTGCGTGGGTGCGTGCGTGCTTGGGTGCGTGGGTGCTGGGGTGCGGGGGTGCGCGGGTGCGCGGGTGCGCGGGTGCGCGGGTGCGCGGGTGCGCGGGTGTGCGGGTGCGGGTGCGGGTGTGGGTGTGGGCATGTGTGGGCATGGTGTGTGTGTGCGTGTGTGTGTGTGTGGGGTTGTGGCGGTGTGGGGGTGTGGGTGTGTGGGTGTGTGGGTGCGTGTGTGTGTGTGTGTGTGACCCTGGGTCTGTCATCCCATGCCTTTCAGGACGCGCTTTGGCTCCTCGTCGGGGTGGCCCTGGTGCTGGCCATCGGAGCTTGCGTCGTCCGCACAAGGCCGTGCGCCCACAACGCAGCCAACAGCCAACAGCCCGCAGCATTAGCAGTGCCTTTGCCAGGCTGGCCCGCTGCGGACGTGGCAGTGCATGTGGCTCAGTGTGCAGTGCGGCTCCATTAAGTTGCCACTGTTTTTTGGGGCCATGTTGGGGCTTTGCAGTTTTAGAACAATGTCCCTGGAATCCGGATGCTTTCAAGAATCATTGCATTCAACGGGTGAACGAGTTGACAAGAGAAGTGAAGTAGTACATGATTTGACGTGTAGCGTCAGTTGACTGAGTCCCATGAGAGGAAAGCGGCGAGTGAGCTGCATGCACGCAATCAGATAGGGGGAGTGAGCGAGTGGAAACGAGTTGAATGAGGGAGTGCGGGCTGGGGTTCTTTCTCGAGAAATTCAGGCACTTCCGGGATCCGGCTGATGCCCAGCCACACTCCTGTCACAGATAGAAATGCAAGATTTGCTGCGCCAGCACTCGCTCATCCTGTACGCCCACGGACCCTACATCGCCATTGATCTACCCCACTCGCCTTTTCACCCGGACTACAGAAACTGCCCGCTCATGGTGGCTGCTTTCGTTGACCATGCATGGCTCGTTCGCTGAGGTCCGGGATGCCACCGAGTTCCGGCAAGGGGCTCGTCGCGAGTGCAGCGTTTCCGACTGCGTGTGTGCGTGCTCTAGGACCCTAGGAAGAGACCCGCTTGCGATGAAGTGTAGCGTGCATACGCCGAGGGACGAGCGTGGGGATGTCTGGCCCCCGCAAGCCGTGATGATGAGGTTTTGAATCAATGAGCATCATTCAGCCCACTCCAGGCCCTTCTAGAAATGGAAGAAGGCGCATCCCAGGCACGGAGCTCAGGTGCAGCCGACGACTTGAAATCGTTCTGATCACTGTCACTTCTTCGTGACCTTGTTCAGATTGCAGCTATGCCAGTTGTGCTAGGCTGTGTGGTACCATTGGTGAGGTGGCTGTGACGATGATGTATGCCAGCGATGCTTGCTGCTGAATTTGCTGCTGCTTTTTCACGTGGAGGGGACGTGGCTTAAGTTACTGTGTTGCGGCATCGCATGATGACCATGACCATCCAGTATCTAATGTCCCCCTTCAGCAACCTGAGTTCGGGCTTGGGTCTTGCAGTCGGGGGAGATCGGGCACGTGAAAGGATCACGGTGCAGGGGCAAACGAGCGTGGCCCGCACAACCATCTAATTACTGTGTTTACGGTCGATTCCTTCTAGGCACTCCAGGGCCTTCGCATGCACCCAGCAAAATCACGAAAGCTTCCCGCCGGAGCGTCGTTCAAGGTATGGGGCAGGCCAATCGGGAGGCGTTCCGGAAGCTATGCCCCACCAAGGAGGGCTGGTTTTGGACAGGGTACGGGTACGGCCGAGTTTGTCCGGACGGGGGGACGGTGACTCAGTTTTCGATCCCTTGGTGGTCTTGGAGTGTGTTTTGGGTGGCTCTAGCAGCTAGAGTCAGAGAGCATATGCGACCATCATCCCGGCGCCGCCAGATGTAAAGCCGGCTTTGTCATGCTGTTGCTCCACACGTGCATCCGCCCAATTTTGGAGTTTTCGTTTCCCCCACGGGGTGCGAGTAGCACGCCAAACGCAACGATGCTTGACAGATTGTCGAAGCCCCACAGGCTGTATGACAGACCAAAGATATCGAACCAGAACAAAATCGTTGCTGAGGCTTGGCGTATGGAAGGGTCCTACAGTAACTTAGTATCACCAATCATCGAGGTCATCTCGGGGAGAACTAACATGGAACTGCAATATCTCGGATATCCCGGACCTGAAAAACGCTGGGCCAAGGGTGGGGTGGGCCTGCCAACTTCAAAGAGCTCCCAAACTGAAGCTTCCAGCGGCGCTCTCACATCATCGTGGAAATTCAAGGTTCAATTGCGCTGGTATGCTAGACCCTTGTCAAAACGGAATTCTTTCCAAAGGCATGGTACAGGCACTGAAGCTTCTCCTCAATCGATGCTCAGGTGGCACCCCACCCGCCTGGCTTCACCCCGGAGGCGAGAGTGTTGCCCTAAGCCTAAACCCACACAGCTTGGAGCTCTTTGGGAAAGGCCTGTGGAAAAAACAGCCGCCGTGACGTAGTCATTGTGCGTTCATGCTGCGCAGGGCCTGGCGGACGAAGGGCAGGCTCGGGCCTGTACTGTGTCGCACTTTCTGAACCTGCCGGCAGCTGTGACACGCTAGGAATCCCCAGCGATGTCGCCAGGCTTCACGCCGGAGGTGGGGTTTCCCAGGAGTTTAGACGTAGCTCATGTCATGTGCTTAGTGTACCTGGAGTCGACGCCTTCTAGGCACGCCATGGGCCTTCGCATCCACCCAGCAAGACTGCGAAAGCTTCCCCTGCAGCGTCGTTCGAGCATGCAGCTTTGCTGGCGTCGGGGGAACCCGCAAAATCTCCTGTTCTCGGGTACGAGAAGTCCCAACAGATCGCAGATCAGGGTGTGAGGGGGATTTCCAAGGCAGGTCGCAGGAAAGGTCCCAGTGGGGGGGTGGCCTTCGAGAGGGGGCCCAGGCTGCAGCCGCGCAGACAGAACTCGGAAGGAAGAGTTGACACAGTTGTGGCGAAGTGGCGCCGCCTTGCTTGAGGCTTTGCGCGGTGTCGGACAGTGCCGCAGTCTTCACATGCTTTTTGGGGGGTGACAGAAGTTTAAAGGTCTTCCATGCAACAGTTGGTAGGTGGCAAACATCCTGGATATTCAAGGTTCACTTGAACTACCATGCAAGACCTTTATCAAAACAGCATTCTTTCCAAAGGCAGCAGTTCTCCTCAAGCCGATGCTCAGGTGGCGCCCTACCCTCCTGGCTTCACTCCGGAGGCGGGCAGGGTACGGCCGAGGGTGTCTGGACGGGGGCACGGTGACTCAGTTTTGGATCTTTTGGTGGTCTTGGAGGGTGTTACATATGGGTAGCCCTGTATCCCATCGCCGGCAGATGAAAAGCCTGTTGCTCCACACGTGCATCCGCCCAATTTTGGAGCTTTCGTTTCCCCCGCCAAGGGGCCAGTAGCAGGCCAAATGCTTGAGATTGTAGAAGCCCCACAGGCTGTATGACAGACCAGAGATATTGAACGAGAGCAAAATCGTTTCCTGGGACTTGGCGTATGGCAGGGTCCTACAGTACGTTAAGAATTACCACCAATCATAGAGGCCGTTTCGGGAAAACCACGAATAAGTAAGCACAGAGAGCACATTAGACCAGGAGATACCAGATCTAGCATATTAAATATCCCGAACCTACGATATGCTGGGCCGAGAGTGGGGTGGGCCCACCAACTCCAAAAAGCTCCCAAACTGAAGCCTCCAGCGATGCGCTCACATCATCTTAGATATTCAAAGGTCACTCGCACGACTATGCAAGACCCTTATCAAAACAGAATTCTTTCCAAAGGCATGGTACAGGCGCTCAAGCGGCTGCAGTTCTCCTCAAGCCGACGCTCAGGTGGCAGCCTACCCTCCCGGCTTCACCCCGGAGGCGAGATAGTAAACCCACGCAGCTTGGAGCTCTTTGGGAAAGGCCAGGCTTCACGCCAGAGGTGGGGTTTCTCAAAAGCTTAGACGTAGCTGATGTCAGGATGGGCGTGGGGATGTTGTCTACACACGCCAAGCATCGTCTTGTTCAAAGGGCCAGAAAGGTTTGCTACAGGTTCGCTGTCCAGCGCACGCATCAGGGGTTTCGTCAAAGTGGAATCGCCATTGGCAGTATGTCGAAGGCAGCTGCTAAGGAGCTGACGCCTGATGGCTGAAAGTCGAGTGATGCCTCTGAAAGCAATCGCGCGCACATCAACATGGGGCTACCCAAATTTTCCAAATTTATTGAGAAATAGATGACTCAGGGAGTCCTGGCACAGGGGGGGCAACGCGACCAGCGCAAGGCCATGCATGGCCATAGAGGTGGCCACACGAACAAAACACGCCACGCAGACAGCAAAGTCGGCAGCAGCTAGCGAGAGTTCCGAAAGTGACTGAGCTTCCCGGCACTCGGAGGTGGGAACTCCGCTGCTGGAGGAGGCGGGCGCGGGGCTTCTCCAAGGTTTCAGCCGGATGCGCCCCCCCTGCAACCAACAAAGTGCCATGCTGCCGTACGTGTCAGGCCGATGTTCTTCGCATCCCGGCAGACATTGCGGTGGTGCCCTTCCATGAGGAGCGATCAGGGTATCTGGACTTGGGCTGCCAAAGTCCACCAGATGCCGCGGCCTTCGTGAGGCATGGGAGCCCACGGCCGGCGACCCGCTCGGCGAAGATGGCAGCGTGCGCATTGCGGTGTAGCTGAAGCGGCCGTTTGCTGGCAGGTACCGGGCACTCCTGGCATCACCTTGCCCAACTGGAGCAAGGCCAACCCCAGGATCAGGATACTACCATCTAGAATCCATCTACATCCATGTTACGGTCGGTGTAGTATCGGATGCTTCGCGGCCTTTCTTGGTACGGCTTGTAGCTTTCGGCTCTCGGCGTCGTGCAGGCGTGGAAGAAAATGCTGCCGCATGCCGTGAACTTCGAGCACGCCAAGCTTTTAGGCAAGGGGACTGTGATTGCGTGAGTTTCAAAGGGGAGAAGGACGGACCCTTAATGGGGATCCCTACCCTATAATGGGCTACATAATGGGTATATAAAAGTTATATTAAGGGAATATATTTAGGGGTTCTTATTAAGGGTCCCTCCATTTACCCTTGGAGAGTTGCGAAGTCTTGGGGTTCACTTGGAGAGGTCCCGTCGGCGGGTCGCCGGTGTCTCCAGCACGGGCCTGGGCCACCGGGGAAGGCGCCCGAAACCTCGTGCTGTGCACTCCATGCGCTTCATGCTGCGTGCCGCCTGAGGGCCGGGCGAACCCTGAACAAGCATGTTCTGCTGCTTCAACGATGCGGGTTCGATGGTTGACTATGCCGGCCAGCTTTGTGAGCAGTTCTTCGACTGCGGCCAGCAGATTAAAGGGACTGGGGAGGTTTGCTCCCCCGGAACCCAGTGCCAATCTTGTGGGCGCTTCCAAAGTGAGGTGCTCGAAGGCTACACCCGCCCAACTGGGATAGCCTGATTCGCGGAAGAAGCTCGTCAAGACTGAAGACGTGACTGACTCGAGGAAGCTAAGATCTAAGTAGCGAGCCTGGAGCACTAAGTCAATCTGTAGAAGGCGTTCGTGTTTTAAGCATCGAGCTGCTGTCGAAGTGGGCGCTTCCAAAGTGTGGTGCTCGAACGCTACGTGGCTACACCCGCCAAACCGGGATAGTGCCGACACTCGCAGAAGCTCGTCAAGACTTTGAAGACGTGACTGACCCGAAGAAGACGAGTCGATCTAGGTGCCGAGGCCGCTCTGTAGATGCCGTTCGTGCTTTGAGCATCGAGCTGCCACCAAAGTGGGCGCGGCTTGGGCGATCGAGTGACCTACGGTGGTACCCTTGCATGGAAGTGCTGGAATGCGGACGCGAACTCAAGCGGCTGCTCGAAAGATGGTCTTGTTCGGTGCGGTTTTGTGCAAGATCATGTTGGTGCATCCCTGAAGGACCTACCTGGGCCTGCATGTTGTGTGCCCATTGGCCTATACATTTCAGATCACAGGGCCGCTGGAATTCTGGGAAGGCCCTCGGCTTTCAGACACGACCTCAGGAGCCGATAAAATGCGTTTTCGTCGTCTTCAACAAATGACGATGCCTTCAAAGCATCGGTGATGTCCGAAAGGGGTCACCTGAGAAACAGTACTCGACCCACACCTCCGAGAAGAATCACAGTAGAACCAGTCAGCATCAACCAGGATTGGCTATTTATGGTTACGACAGCCACAGTAGTCCGGGTGCGGTGCTGACAATGCCGACACTCTTCCCCGAAGAGCTGCCCCTGCGACGTGCTCAGCTGGCCAGCGTCTGAGTTTGAACCATGGCCTTGGCCATCTTGTGCAAGGCCTAATGGGCCGCTGCTAGAGCGGCCATCAGCATTGCTGGCCGCCTACGGGGCAGGCCAGCAGCACGAGGCCCTAGGGGTGGGTGCGTGCGTGGCTTATGAAGAGAATCGATGTTTATACATAGTTTGTGCCTGTTATCTTGACTCACCCAGTTCGGCGATGTCATGGAACAATTGATCTCGCTTGGCAGATTCTTGCGTTGCATCTGCATTTGCGCAATCGACGAAGCCACATCATCTGATTTCAAAGTTTATCCATGCCAGGAGCCGATCCGGAGATGGCCATCGGTGAAGTAGCTAGTGTCGGTAGTGGTGGGTTCCATGAGCCGGCAGTAATTCATGGCGAGAGCCGGCAAGTTCCACTGCATGATTTGTGCTTCATGGCCTCGCATTCACGGTCCATCGCACCCCATACTCCAGCCGTCAGATACTTGAGCCTCCATGACCGACCCCAAGCCTGCATCACCCTCGAAGACTCGCCTGCATGCAGTGGAAATCATGTCAGTCGTCCCGAATGAGGCCATGCTGCATACAGCAACATTTCGCAGTGTCGCGCGGGGAAACACTCGTCATACTTGTAGCGCGGTTTGCAGCTTTGTTTGGCATGCCAATTTCATGATGTTGGTGGAATGCGTGCTGTCAGTCATATCGCATTTGGCCGAATGCAAGCTTGTGGTTGGTTGGTGGTGTTGGCGCTTGCTTGTTTTCTTTGTGTGTTTGGTTGGTTTTTCGCAGGTTTGGAAGGAAACTTGCCTCGCCAATCCCGCAAGTATGTGTTTCGCATGCTTTCCAACATGTGTCCATACCCCAGTCCCGCACTTGCATGTTGCAGCATTCTGCAGCGGTGTGCACCGCGGTGTGCACACGCGACTTCCTGAGTAAGCATCTGGCAGGCTGGGATCCGACTGTCATGAGTCGTATGCTTGCATGTGGTTACATGTTACTTGCAGCCAGCCGAACATCCTAGGCGTCATTCGAGGTTTAGGTCGTTCGGCGCCACTCACCGGAGCCTTTCTATCAGTTGCTGATCGTCTGTTGATCTTGTACCACGAAGTCTTTTCCCGGTTGGCCGCGCCTATCGGGAGGTGGTCATGCACGGCCCCTCATGCCGGCTGCAGTGAGATGTTGCTTCGGCTGAGTGCAGACTGTACTGCAACAAAATTGGCAACGAGGCTCGGAGCACCAGGATGCAACCCAGGGCACGCAGAGACGCAGCTTGCATGTCGTGTTCACACATGTGCACGAACGTCAGGGTCCTGCCACCTGCTTCAATGAAGCACGGTATATGCCATGCCGTATGACATCGTTGGTTCTTGCTTCTCACCGTGGGAAGAAATATGGTTGGGACATGGAGAGGAGGTCAAGAATGAAAGTTGCGCTTGCTCTCTTCAATTGCTGCTTGCATAATCAATTGACGCCGCAGCAGAAAAAAATCAGCTCAAGGCCTGGTGAGTGTTGTCGTGCGGCGTAGCCGTTGCAATGTCACTGTCCGGCCTTCTCTTTCCTCAACCCGTCCAGCTGCCTGGCACCCGGATGGGCTGGATAGTTACTTTCCTCAGCACTTACACCACAGCCTCCCGCCAATGGGTACTGTAAACTGCTGCGAGGCCGAATGGAGCCCTGCAAAGCGCGCCTGGGGAGTTGCTGCAGGCTTATGCGGCCGGCCAGCACTCCGAAGCACGGGACCCAGAAGACGGGACTGCTGGCAAGCCATGGCTTGATGCGATGTCAAGGTCTGGTTGTGGCTCTTGTCCCTGGCCGTGCTGGGGGGAGCAGCCCGTGCCTCATGGCAGAGCCTGCTGGCGCAGTCGACGGAAAGGGATGTGGAGCTGTGGAGCACTCACTTCAGGTCCTCGCAGTGCTTTGGTTCCGCCGCTGCCGGGAGGAGGACCCCGCGAAGCGAAGTTCTGCTCAGCTCTCCTGTCAACGTGGTGTGAGGACCGCCATGTGTCGGAGGCGAGACACCGGGAAGGGTGGGCTGTTGTGACACTACAACTCCCCCTTCCCACCTCAGGCATGTGCCTACAAATCACTATAGTGTCTGGATTCAAGCGCTTCCTTGGTCCAATCTTTTAAAGACTTGCAGCTACACCGTTGCTTCAGCATTATCATAATACTCTCTGCGCAGCAATATGCTTCCTGGAACAGTCTTTTGTGTGGAAAACGTTGCACACTTCGTAAACGGTGCCGGGGATCTTTCTACCTTCGCGTGCGGAGATTTGTGCGCGTGCAGTTGTGAGCGCAACTCGGACCCGTGCGCCACATGTAGCACCTTGAAAATGTCGGAAGAATTTGTTTTTTCATATGAAGAACACTGGAGTTCCAGCATATTCCAGCATCCTTTCCGGGTGCATGCAGAGACTTACCTGTGCCTCACAGGCTTGCCCAATGAATGCAATGTTATTCCAAGAGTTCATGTGGCCCAATGTCTCTGTAGACTTGCGGCTAACGTCGTTCTTTCAGTATGTTCTTGGGGATACGCTCCGGGCAGCCATAGGCTTCTTGGATTTTTCGTTCCGGTCGAAAAGCTTGGACACATGGGAAACTATGCATGCCGGGAAGCTTTTCTACATTTGCGCCTAGACTTCTGTGTGACTGCAATTGATGCACATGTGACCGAACAGTCATTCATTCAGTTCAGCTGTCAATAGGCAGAGGTGGACTTGGAGATGGGCCACGGCCTCCCGGCACAGTCCCTACAGGTGCAGATGCCCTGAAGTGTGCCGAAATGTGCACGGAGAAAACCCTGGGCTGAAGACTTGGGCAGGTGCCTCTGGCGCACTACGGGGACACTCAGGTGCGCCTGCAGCGAATCCGTGGCCAGCCCGAGCACAAGGATGGAAAGTGCACAAATGCAACCGCATCGCAGGACATGGCACAGCAGCTGGAGGAGGCGCAGCCTCATTCTGTTTGCAGCATTCGGACAGTGCCGCAGTCTTCAAATGCTTTTTGGGGGTACGAGAAGTTGTAAGGTTTTCCATGTAGCAAGAGGTACTGTAGGTGGCAAACATCCTGGATATTGATATTCAAGGGTCACTCGCACGACGATGCAAGGCCCATATCAAAACAGCATTCTTTCCAAAGGCATGGTACATGCTCTCAAGCGCCTGCAGTTCTCCTCAAGCCGATGCTCAGGTGGCCGCCTACCCTCCTGGCTTCACGCCGGAGGCGGGCAGGGTGCGGCCGGTGTTTTGGGTAGCTCTGGCAGCTAGAGCATCTGTGGCCAGTCAGTATCCCAGCGCCGGCAGATGAAAAGCCGGCTTTGTCCACACGTGCATCCCGCCCAATTTTAGAGCTTTCGTTTCCCCCGCCAGGGTGCGAGTAGCAGGCCACACGCAACGATGCATAGATTGAAGACTTCTAGAAGCCTCACAGGCTGTATAACAGAACAGAGATATCGAACGAGAACATCGTTTTCTGAGATTTGGCGTATGTACGAAAGTTTTCCCGTCCAAGCATGCAGCTTTGCTGGCCTATCCGGGTTGGGAGGCATTTTGGAGGCAAAACCCCATCAAAAAAGTCTGGTTCTGGGCAGGGTGCGGTCGAGGGTGTCCGGATGGGCGGACGGTGACTCGGTTTTGGATTATTGGGAGGGCTTGGAGGTGTCTTGGGTGGCTCCAGACCCTCTTTGGTAGTTAGAGCATCTGTGACCATCATCCCACATGCATCCGCCCAATTTGGAGCTTTCGTTTCCCGACCAGGGTGCACTTGGAGGTGTCTTGGGTGGCTCCATGCTGACAGATTGTAGAAGCCTGCGAGGCTGTATGGCAGAGTATGGAAGGGTCCTACAGTAAAATAGTACAGCCAGCTGCCAAGGACCTTGGTTCTCGCTAGAGGTCGAGGAGGACTGGGCACCTTGGGCCTTTGCTAAAGGCGATCCTGGCAACGTCATTGCCGCGCTAGAGCGCTACACTGGTTGGCGTGCAACTCTGGGTGCCAGACGGCAACGCTAAGAAGACCTCGCGACTGGCCCTCAGGGGCTACACCGACAACCAGTCGAACGAGGCGCTACTCAAGAAGGCCATGACGCGAAGTTCCCTTCGACCCTGAACCAGCTAGCAGACGACCTTACCAACGAGAACTTCGCTAGCTTCGACCCGAACTTCAGGATTGACCTGAAGGGGGAAGCGCTAGTGTGGCGGGTGCTTGGTCGCCTCTTGTCGCACACGACCAGCTATTTTGAAGAGCTGGGCAGAGCTAAGAAGACTAAGCCGCAGACAGCTACGAGGTTCGCGAAGCGACCCCGAAAGCTGGAACCCTGGTAGCCCTCCCGCTTCGCTAGGAGATTGGCTAGCCTTGGAGGCTAGAGACTTTCTCCGGGCGACAGGGAACTTTCGCCACACCGCTAAAAAGAAAGGGTGTCTGCATGAGCTGTGTGAGGTTCGCCAAGCTTGCTTGGCTGCTACGTCCCCCTGGTGGTGACTAGGGGTGGTGGCGGGATAGGAAGTGCTAGCTAGTGTACGCACTCGTTCCGAGGAACGAGGTACGACAGTGTATGCTAGCGCCAAACTTCCGCTAAAAGAAAACATCGAAGGTGTTTTGAAATGTGCAACATCGAAGATGTTCGCTAGGAACACACCGCAGGTGTTTCCGCTAGTTCGTTGCGAACTCCGGGGTTCACATGGCCGCTAAACGTACATGCAATGTCCGTGGCCATTGTGCTAAAGAGCCTTCTAGGGGGGGGCAATTTTCGAGTGCCCACCCAACCCACCCTGGAGATTGGCTAGCCTTGGAGGCTAGAGACTTTCTCCGGGCGACAGGGAACTTTCGCCACACCGCTAAAAAGAAAGGGTGTCTGCATGAGCTGTGTGAGGTTCGCCAAGCTTGCTTGGCTGCTACGTCCCCCTGGTGGTGACTAGGGGTGGTGGCGGGATAGGAAGTGCTAGCTAGTGTACTGAACAGGTACGCGCACGTCCTTCAGAAGGCCATCTGGGGCGGCAACCTCCACTCCATCCGAGGTACAGAATCAGTTGACTACCCTGGTCAACTCCTGTGTCGACCCTGGGAAGTTGGAAGTCGACATTGTGGTGGTATGGATGGGCAATGAGCTGTGCGGGAAGCACGGGGTATTCATAGACCCAGGTACCCCACGATGGGGCGAACCAAAAGGTGGCGTGGCGGCCACCGGTGTGTGGGCCGACATCGCTTCCAGGGTCTGCGGGGAGATTGGTCGTCTAGCCGCCCTTAAGGGCAGGCCGGTAGTGGGATCTGTGCAGATATTGTCGGACGCTGATCCGCTGGATTACGGTCTTCCCCCGCAGTATAGAGAGGCAATTCGGAAGTTCCTCTCATATGCTCGCTCCCGGGGAATCTACACCGGCACTTTGGAGCAGCCCGTTTCTGTGATCCCCAAGCACGACCATTACCACTTCAGAGAGGACTCCTACCCACACGGGGGCACTGGCTAGCGTAATCGCGAACCGGATCGGGGTCTGCAATGCAGACTTCACCTTCAGATCCCCGCGGATACAATGAAGCGGCTCCAGCAGCAGTACCCATACGATCTGTATGGGACTCGTGTCTGCAGAATGCATTTTGTGTTCGACAAGCAGCTCATGATTGCTCAGGAGTCCCGCCGCCTTAAAAGGCTGGCCGAGATCCGCGAAGCCCAAGCTGAATATCCCGATCCATGGATCGGGAGAGCAATTACGTTCCTCCACCTGAGGTTCGTGTGACTGGAATGCGCCCAGTCAACGTGCCACCTGAGGTCCTCCAGTGGGAATACGCAGAGCAGCTGGAAAAGGCCAAGGCCAAAGCTGCCGAGGAGGCCGCGGAACGGTTGCGCAGGAATCCAGCCCCACTTAGTGGAGGCCCTTCGGGAAGCTCACCGGACCGCCCCGCAGAAGCCACCTTTGATGAGGTCATCGCTGCTATTCCGTATCGTACGGAGGAACGCCGGATGTTCAGTACGGTCAAGCAGTCGATGGAGGAAGAGGCCAGGGCTTCTAGCGGCTTACCAAAAGCACGCCGGGGCGAATTCATCGGAATGATTTTCGAGGACGACATGGCTCTCCTCGATATGTGCGGCTTCGACGATGAGGAGCAGTGTCCGGAAGACCCAGAGGCAGAAGGAATGGTCACCATTTTGCAAGGTGACATTCCGAAGGAGCACCTGCCTCAGTTCTACATGGCCCAGAACCGGCAGCACACCATGACAGGCCTCATCCGCGGTTCCATCAAGTCCTTTAGCAGCAGGCACGGCAAGTGGATCCGCATCAACGAGCTGATTCAGGTGTTGTGGGATTCCTACCGCATTAATGTTGGAACTCGAGGCATTGTCAGCTTGGTTGCATATGACAGCAAGGGGCGTTTCAATCTCACTGGAAGCCCCGACGACTTGAGGAAGGAGTACATTGACACTGAGGTGTGGCCGACTTGGATCTCGGCGTCGCACGGGCACAGTTCGAAGATCGCCAACCAAGTCACAGACTCCTCGATTGCTGTGCACTGGTTCTCTTTGGATTCGAGGCAGGAGCTAGGTCCTTCAGCCGCCTATCAAGGCAGGCCATGCTCTGGAGGAATGTCCGCCTCGCCTCTACCACAGGACCACTCACGACGCAGCCTTCTCGATCCTCAACTCGGGCTTCATCCCCGGCTACGGCCGCTCAGGCAAGTATCACAATTACTTCGCGAAGGCCACGCTGGAGGAGCTCGAAAACCGCGCTGGGTCCAGAGCCAACTTGCCTTACGAACTCGTTCTGGTAACCGAAGAGGTACTTCAGCGTGCCTATCTTTTCGAGACGACCAGCGAGGGCATCTTGACAAGGGACCAGGTCCCAGGAAGCTGCATGTTGTACGTACGCGACACTTCCAAACGAGCCATCATCTGGACACGACAGTCCCCCAACGACGAGAATGAGGAGGAGATGGTCGTCGATGCTCCTATGATTGCACCTACCGAGGTCATGGAAGATGAGTCAGAGGAGGCTCTTCCTGAGCCCGCGGCGCCATCTCCAGCCCCACTTAGTGGAGGCCTCGAGGCTGCAATCACCAAGGAAGAGTTGATGCCCGACATTGCCATCAACGAAGCACCACCGCTGCTCGCACTCAACGATGTCACCGCATCTGATGTCCTTCCTGAAGAAAGGGCCACCCTGGATGAGGAGCGCCCAACCACAACACCTTCCAGGAAGCGTGTCCACTTCAGCCAGGAGGAGGAAACCATCGAGGTGAAGGTTGAAGTTGAAGTCGACGCCGAGTCCGAACAGGAGGAGGAAGTGAAGCCAGCTCAGGAGCCATCACACAAGCTCCGCCTCAGCCGGTTTCGGTGCCTTTGGCGCTACCTTCTCCAGCCCCCGTTACGGGTGGCCGATATCGTGCGTGCAGCCACTGTGGCTGCCAGTACATTGTCGGCCAGATGATGTGCCTCGGTTGTCACGCGAGCATCGTGAAAGCCAGCTCGCAAAAGCAGCGCAAGAGAATGAAGACGGCGAGGTGGTTCGCTGAGGAAGCGGCAAGCAAAACCGCTCAGAAGGCACGGTCAGACCTCACGGCGAACGAGGTGATGGCCGAGATGCTTCGGGATCACACCACCGTTAGAGGTGCCTCAAGCCTGGATGCGGAAGCCTTGGACAAGTCCAAACAGCAGTTGAAGTTGGCGACCAAGGCAGGCTTCCGGACAATCGTAGAGCGTTTTGACAATGATGTTGACTTCGCTATGCACTCCATTGCTTCTGGATACGATCGTGAATTCCTGGCTATCGAGGATGTCCTGAACAACTCTGCACTTCCGAATCTCGGGCGCACGAAGGAGCAGCGCTTACTTGCCGTTGGAACGACAGGCGGGGGAGGCAGCTCCAGCATGGCCCGGAACGAGCAGTTTGCCCGCTTGCTCTACATGCATGAGAGCAATCCAGCCGCCCTTGGGGCAGGCCTGTTGTCGTCGATTTCTGATGACCCTTTTTGCATCATGTGGCTGGGGGCTGCGTACAGTGTAGAGAAGTTTGTGAACATCTATCTCAAACACAAAATTGTACAGCAGATCGTGACTTTCACTGATCGCCCCATTTACCTTGACGCAGATGCTGACTACTCTGCTCAGGAATGGGTCGAGTGGATCAAGGGCATAATTCGGCAACAGGTTCAGGTTGCATCTCGTGCTTACGAAGACAAGCTTCGCAAAGCCGAACGATCCCGCGAGGCCCAAGCCAAGGCCGATGCTCGTAGGG